GTAGCGTTACGAAGTGGGTTGGTTGTTGGCAGGGTGTGGAGGTTAGTCCACATCTTGATCGCCCGCCTCCAGAAACGTTCCTGCGCGCTGGCGATATGTGCCTCAGCTTCTGCTACGCTTGTTGCCACTGTGAGAAACGTTCCCACGATTGCTTGTGCCCCAATCCTTTGGACTCGGTTGATGGGACTGGCTCTTCTGTACTTGCACGCGTGCATCCAGACGTTCGAGGCGTAATCTACTGCTGGGGCAACCATGGCTGTAAACAGTTGTCTTGCTGTCGCTGGGGTGAGACCCCTGAGCCGTTGTAACTCCATGGCCGCTTCCAAGCCCTTGGTCGCTGCTCGTGCAATGTGTTCTTTGTACTTCAAGCCGGAATCCATAATCATTCCGAGAACCTTGACTTGGGTTTTGGGTCGGACGAGCCGCTCCTTGATTGCAAAGGGCTCTGAGTTAGACTTATACGCCTTTCGGGTGAAGTGTATGATCGCCGTCTTCTCCGCCTCAAAGGTTGCGCCACTCCTCCTCTCCCAGTCCAGCGCATTCTCGATGATTGCTTCAATTCCGTCGCGATTGCTCTCTGCTGTCGGGCCTGTGACCCACGCTGTGAAGTCGTCCACGAAGGCTATCGCTCCTCCGTAACAATCAATTCGCTGCTGTACGAGGTCTGCGTTGAAGAATAGAAACAGGATCGGAGACAGAGGGGACCCTTGCGGCAGACCAGCTTGTGGCAAGCTTCGCACCTCCGATGCCTGTCCGTTGACCCGAATGGTCGCTGTGCGATTCGAGCAAAAGGCCTGAATCCAGTGAAGCAGCTCCTCTGGGATGCCCCTTGCTCTCAATCGTTGGACGAGTCTCTCTTTGCACACTCCATTGTATGCCCCTTTGACGTCGAAACTCACGAGGCTAAGGATTCGTCGGCCTCGCCAGGCAGCGTAGATTTGCTCTTGCAGCAGCATCAGCGCTTGCTCAGCAGACCGCTGTTTACGGGCTCCGAAGTGGTTTGTTGGCAACAGTCCATATGTCTCGACGGCATGTGAGATCCTTTCTGCAATGACCGACTCCAATACTTTGCCCAGCGTAGACAGAAGCGATATAGGTCTCCATGCCCTCGCAATCGAATAATCTCCTTTATCTGGTTTCTTGAGAGGAATAATATTGGCACGCCTCCATTGGTCAGGCAGTACTCCTTCTTCCAGCGACGCCCGAAATAACGATAAGACTCGTTGCTTAACAACTGGCCAAACCTGTTTCCAGACCATAGCGGGTAGTCCGTCTTCACCGGGTGCTTTCCACGGCTTTGCCGCGAAGAGCTGTCGCTCTATCTCTTCCATGGTGATATCTGGCATGGTAATGGCAGCTCCGCGCTGTGGTCTCTCCCCTTCCTCCTCGATATGCTCCGGTAGAGGGGGAAGAAGGTAGCTAGTATTTTATCGGCCTGTTCGCTATTGTTGGCTGTGCGCATGCCATCAGCCCTTACAAGCTGGAGCACCTTGCCAAATACTGTATCATCTCCAGTCTTAAGATACTTTACTGCCTTCTAAATGTTATCGTTATTAGCTAGGAACTCGTTCCAGTGCGTCTTTTTCTGCTGTCTGATGGCATCGTAGTACTGCTTTGCTGCTCCTTTAGCTGTATTTTCGAGCTCCTCACATATTTATCCTGCTCGCCTTGATACTCTGGCGCGATTTCTCCAGTACGTATATATCCGCCGGAGTTACATAAAGTCTGAGGTCCACCAGCACTTTACATAGGGCGACGGCTTAGCTCTGGGTGTCAGAGCGCGAACCGCCTCTAGCACCACTGACATGAGCCTGTCCGTCTCCTGCTATACGGTACCACCCGTCGGAGTGGTCTCTAGTGCAGCGGCGATTCGGACGTTGATTTCCTTCCATAGTGCATTTTTGAGTAGGAGTCGTTCCTGGGCCTTCGGCACCGGAAGCGAAATGTCGAACTCCGTCTCAATGGCACGATGATCGGAGCCATGCTCTGTACCGTGTATCGCGCATTTGACAGCTGAGGTCGCTAGGTCCTCGGATGCGAGGACCAGGTCGATCGTTGATTCATGTTCTCCACCTTGCCAAGTCTTCGTGCCTCTCTGGAGCAGGCTGCTGAGAGCAAACTCACTCATCAGACCGATGATTTGGTCTGCCTCGCCCTGTCTCTCTAGCGAGACAATAATCCACTACACTTGGACCTGAAAGTGGATGTAATGGAGTGGATTTAGGTGGATTTAGGTACAGTGGGATATTCCCTGACCCTGTACGGTCCAGAGTACTTATTTTTGTATATAATTGGCTATTAAATCGAGGTACCTGGACCCAAGTTAGCCGAGGTCGACCACCCCCACTGCTAATCTTATAACATTATACGAGAAACTACCACTATTGAGCGCGTTTTCTACAGATTTCCTCTTTTGTTTTTGCAAAAAAAAAAAAATTGTCGATGTCAGCCAACCAGCCAGGCTAGCCAGGCCAACAGCAGCAGCTCGAAGACCGTCTTTTTCGCCATTTCAGAGGCTGGAATTGGTCAGAACGCGCTCGTGATACTAGCTCTTGGCTGTGGGACTTTGGCTATGATATTCAACGTCATGGCTTACGCAAATGGGCTTGCAAGGACTGTATCCTCGGAAATCGTCCCATTATCGCGAGTTTTACCTCTTCAGGTCTCCAGAACGCGGCAAATCATCTATGGCGTGAGCACAAAACACCAGCACCTGAGGGAGAGAAAAAGAGCACAGCACAGCTCAAATCCGAAGGCGCACTGAAATCGAACCAGCCGACTATTGCCTCTATTTTGAAACTGGACGTCAACAAGCCTACGGAACAGAATATCGCGAATAACTTCATCTCACACTTTGATAAGCAACACTTTCAGCGTATGCTAGTCGAGTTAATCGTCAGTAGCAACCAGTCCTTTTCCTTCGCCGAGAACCCCATCCTCCGAGAAATCTTCGACTATTTGAGTCCCTCCGTTTCGATCCAACGCGCCAACTTGAGTGCCAGGGCTGTCCGATATAAGATCATTCAAGAGTATAACCGCCACAAGCAGAAGGTTATCGAGGTGCTGAGGAACTCCCCTGGAGCGCTTCATATCTCATTTGATGGCTGGACGTCTCGAAATAAGCTTGCCCTCTACGGCATTGCTTGATTTTTCAGAGATGAGAAGAATCGGCCATGCAAAATCATGATTGGGGTTCCAGAGGCTCATCGTCACTTCGGCTCAACGATCGGTGGGGAGGTTCTCGACGTCCTACACACTCTTGGCGTGAATCCAGAGAAGATTGGCTATTTCACGCTCGACAATGCTGAAAACAACGATACTGCAATGGAGGTCATTGGTGCTGAACTTGGGTTCGATGGCCGACTACGCCGAGGACGCTGTATTGGCCACACAATTAACTTGTCAGCCAAGGCGCTCTTATTTGGAAAAAACGCCAACGCGTTCGAGCAGCAATTATCAGGCGCAGAAGCGTTATCTGATACTGAATACGCTCGATGGCGGAAAAGAGGACCAGTTGGCAAGTTACACAATATCGTAGTTGATGTGCGTATTAGTCATCGGCTGATTTACTTATTCAAGGAGGTCCAGAGGGTAAGCGGTTTTACTAAATCCTATTTGTCTTATATTAATTCGGTATATCTAACAGGACGAAATTAATCGCGCCACCACCCTTAAACTCCGATCGAAGAAACCACTCAAGCTAATTATCGATAATGACACGCGTTGGCTGTCACAACTCTACATGATCCGCAGGGCTCTACGGCTGAAAACCTCTATCGAACTCCTACTGATCAAGTATAAGGCGCAATGGGAGGACGAAAATCGGTCTAAAAAGACTGGCCAAGTAACACAAGCCAAGTTGGCAAAAAGACCACGCATCCTCCGAGACGAGAATCAGCTAACGGACAAAGACTGGGAGGTTCTTTACCATTTGGAGGCTATTCTGACTGTTTTTGAGACCGTGGTAAAGACGCTTGAGGGTGATGGGCACATCCGCAGGCGTAAGCAAGGCTGGACTGGCTCCTATGGCAATATCTGGGACGTGGTGCTTGGCTATGAGCTGCTGCTTAACACACTGGAAGAATATAAGCAGCTTGCTGCTGATTTTCCTGATCCAGAGCACTTCCGCGTCGGAATCAACCTTGCTTGGGATAAGCTGGATGAATATTATCAGCGGCTGGACGAGACGCCTATCTACTATACGGCTATGGCGCTCCATCCAGCTTATCGTTGGGACTGGTTTGATGAAATGTGGGCTCATAAGCCTAGTTGGGTTGAAAAGGCAAAAGAGATGGTTGCCGACGTCTGGCTGTCCGATTACGCTCATCTCGAGGTTAGAACCAGCCGCAGCAGAGGCGACGACGAGCCACCGGCAAAAAGACCTCGGTTATCCAGGATGGCCTTGGACTTGCTGACGATCCAGCCGATGTCAGCCGAGTGAGAGGTTATTTTCAGCTGCTGGCAAGATGGTCTCGGGGTTGCGTACGAACCTAGATGCTGAGATTATCGCCATTGCCAAGTTTTACGCTCTTGGTACCGTGCTGGCCTTATCAAGGACCTAGATCCATAGCTTAAGTCACACCTTGAAAGTAAGCTGAATGGCGGTTGTGGGACTCTAAGCGACGACGAGCTGGCGCTTGTTGAGTGAAATTGGCTATTGGAGGGCGAGGACAGTGCCAGCGAGGTTGACGATTCATCACAGCAGCAACAGGCTGAAGAGTTAGTGTCCACCTCTGAAAGTGAGGCTGAATAGGCGCCGACGAGGTTGTGAATAGCCTCAAAAACCCACTTATAAATCCACTTATAAATCCACGTGTGTACATCCATTCCACTCCGGTCGAATATGTGCTACATCCACTATGTAATTGCCTAAAAATCGTACATCCACTCTACTTGGTCCCAAAGTGGAGTGGATGTAGTGGTTCCGACCCTTGCTTAAGGGTCATACTCCAGTTGGTGTTGTGATTGACAATGCTACTCGATGGCTTTCTCAACTCTCGATGATCGAGCGTGCCCTTGTTTTGCGGCCATTCTACGATTCCTTTGTCCAGAGAGCGTCAAGCGAGTGGAACAAAAGCAATTTGACGAAGACTGGTAATATCAAAAAGGGCTCGAAGAAGCCATTCTTTCTCCAGAATGAAAATTGCATTACTGATGACGATTGGCACGTGCTCCAGGCACTTCACGATATCCTTCTTGACTTCCAGTTGGTAGTTAAAGCCCTTGAGGGTGATGGACAGGGAAAACACCAGGAGAAGGCCGAGGATAACGAAGTCGAACCCCCATTGTCAGGTAAGTCTTGGATTTCTCGAGGCAGCTATGATTATTATTGTTATGGTTAACTCCTCCAAGGAACAAGCTGGGACCTTATCCATGCGTATGAATTTCTTCTCGAGAGTCTTGAGTCTGCCAAAAGAACAGTCGCCAAACTTCCAGATGGCCACCACCTCGTAGTCAATATCAACCTTGGTTGGCTCAAGTTGAACGAATACTACGAGCATTTGAACGATAGCCCCCTCATCTATGGCGCCGCAGCTCTCCACCCTGCTTACCGGTGGGCGTTGTTTGATGATCTGTGGGGGGACGATGAGGAAAGACGACTGTGGGTTACAAAGGCAAAAGAGATAGTCCAGAATCTTTGGGAGAGCGAGTACAAGGATCTTCAGCTTGATGATTCAGAGATCAATTTGCCTGCAAGTAAGCGGCTAAAGACCTCGAGGAACAGATTCACGGCATGGCGCACCCAGAAGAGAGGACTGGCAACTGGTGGGCTTTCTGTTAATGAGTCGCCCGCTCCATCATCCGGGTCTTCAATCACCAGTCAGGATCTTGATGAGTACGAGCAGTGGCAACGCGATATCGATGATTCTGATGCCCTTGTCACGGATCCTTACGATTACTGGCATATAAGGCGGCTTAAATACCCTAGGTTATCTAGGATGGCCTTGGATCTGCTTACTGCGCCGCCTATGTCAGCCGAGTGCGAGAGGCTATTCTCAACTACTGGCTGTATGGTCACAAAGAACCGTAATAGGCTAGATGCTAGTATAATTGGACTTTATCAGACGTTACGTAATTAGTTATGTGCTGGCTTGAATAGTTTGTTAGATAGAATTCTAATAGAGCAATAAGCAAAATGTTTACTTTATCCGAGGTACTATATATAAGCAGATTATAATTGTGTGGATTTATTTCCATAAATATGGAAATAGATCCATATGGATCCATATCACCCATTCCACCTGGCGATTATTAGTCAGCATCCATATCCACGCCATATTTCCGAATGTGTCGTGGAGTGTCATGGATTGCAACCCTGATTACCGGTATGCCCGGGTTTCCTGCATCTTCCACCTCGCCGTCCCCTCGTCTCCGTCCGTCTCCCCCGATCACCACTTTGCTGTATTTCCTGCTCTATCTGCTCAGCAATTTCCCTTTGAGTCCGGCACTCGAAATTGTACGAACTCTTCCACCCGGTCTCGAGTCACTCTACAGGCAAATGATGAAGCACATCTAGTAGCGGAAAATCGGCCCGATTAGAATGACTAGCGGGGGTAAACTAGATGAGGAAAAATAAACTTCGAGACAAAACGCGGCCGTCTATCTCAGCCCAAGGTTAGGATACGGGAGTCGCCGATTTTCTTGTAATACTGCTTCGCCCACAAAGATCTGTCTCAGGAATTGAGACTATCGGGGATAACCGAGCTCCGCTTTACTAGTTCGGGCTTGAACTTAGATTACTGTTGGATTGACCCTCGGGTGACGGAATAAGGGCCGGATAGGCACAATCCTCTGATACATCAATATCCTGATCTTATGTTAGATGTTGGATCCGTTACGGTCAATTCAATCTGATAAATAGGGATCAATACAGTGATGATGATGTTGATGATTGCTTGTCCTCGTCATCCGGATCGGTCGGAAGAGGGGTTATCATACCCCCCCTTCTGACTAAGGTCCTGATATCAATCTATCAGAGGTTTCGTTATACAGGGTCATGTTCCAACATTAGATTGTGGCTGTGTATTGCATCAAGGAGGTTATTCAGGTATCAGAATACTGGGATATCTGCATCTATGACTGAAGATGACAATAAAACCCCACTCTGGAGGAACATGGAGACGGGAGTCAACGAGAACAAGAACAAAAAGAACAACCAAACATATCATCAAGAATTGATCTACATTTATCTGGCTATCTCGAATCTTCACTAAAGACACACCGCGTATCCAACATCTTAGTCATAGAGGGGGGTGAGATTGACAGGAAAAACCCCTCACACAAAAGAGGGGGCCGGAAGCAAGCAAGAACATCATCAATCAATACAATCATCATCTTTGGTCTCCACTATCGTCTTGATCACTATTGCCTAATTGACTTGGCCGTACCGGATCCATCAATTACTATCCTCTCTTACTGCTGGTTAAATGAATAATTCAGCAGCTGAGCTTAGCACAGCCAAAAGTAATAGCCCACCAGCTGAACTATGAGGCTGCTAGTATGATTCAGAAGTTTAAAATACGAGAACGTTACGGCCCGGATAAACGGCTAATTACATGGATAAATAGACTTACCCACTTTTAGTCACACTAAGGAGCATCCGACAGCTGTTTTTCCCCTACTCAGGGGTGCTTTATGTAGCACTGCCCCGAGAGGACGGTTCCGGTCCAGCACCCCTGCACGCATGGTCTTTACCGTGCCGAGGTTCCAGTAAAAGCGGGACTGAATCCGGGGTCAGCTGCTGTCTAAATCCACGTACACCGTATCCCGGGTTAGCTTTAACTAAAATAGTTGATTCTGAGAGTCATTAGCATTGCTTTGCTAGATTAGACTTTATAAAAATACGACGTAATACGGCTTCGATATATGAAGGCACCTAACTATAAATGCTTGAATACATCGCCATCAAATTGAAGCATTTCGAACAATCTCATCATTCTCATTGCCTTCAGCCCACCGCCCCCGTCTTCCACTCAAGTTAAACCTCCAAGCTACCCATATTAACTCCGTAAGGCTGCAGATCCAAAGTTCCATTTTACATGACAATTCTGACAAAATCCTAGAAAATGCTGCCAGTCACAATCCTCCTTCTCGGCTCTGTTGCCCTTTCGGCAGCGATGCCAGCCGCTGATCCCGCGGCTGATATTGCCTCCACCGCCGAAGTTGGTGTGCCTCTCGAGTTTAGTCGATCGTATACCTCGGAGGAACTCAAAGACCTTGCGTCTCAGTTCCACGCCAAGCGCGACGCTGTACCTGACGATGGGAACAAAGACCCGGTCCTCGTCAAGCGCACCACCAGCAGAACCGCCACTGTCAGCGGTATATTCCAATGTCCCCGTGGCGGACAGATTTCCCGCTCGATGAGAGCCCGAGCCACCCTTGAAGGTGTCACAAGTGCCGGGTCGGGGACCGTGCGCTTTGAGGACTTGCTCAACGTCGACAGCTGGTCGTTTGGAGACCAACTTCGCTTCCACGCTCCAGAAATTGTCGAAAATGTGGCCCGCCATGGTTTCTGCCTCTCTTTCGGCAACACTATCTGTGGATATTGGCTCACGTCTAACCTTCAAGCGGGCACTTTCGGCAATGGTGGTCCCGGGTCTACCACTGTGGATTTGACAGACTTTGATCCGGAGGCCCCCTTTATGGTTGAGCATTGCATCACTATTAGCGGCGGAGCCGGCCAGTGCCCTACGGCGTCAAGCGGCCAGACGCAGCAGTGCACTCGCCAGACTTGGAGCGTGGGTCTTTGAAGTTGAAGACTTAATTACTGGATGTGGGAGAGGTATTTTTCATTCTTATAAGACTGGTTTATATAGTGGCTGTTTCAACAACGGCGTCGTTTCCATAGGTATCTCATTGTTTACTTTGAAATTATATATTATCTCTAACTTAAGAAAGACCCATACCTATCTGTAACCTTGGATACTCCAGCTTAATTTCACTCTTTAAGAGATGTAAAATACTGAACTTTAAATATTGAGGTTGTAATCTTATTTAGGCAAATACAGGTTTGCTTATATATCTTTCAGTAGTGAGTCTGACAGTTCTGGCTTAATTATTAACTACTTTCTATGTTAAGTAACTTAAGAAAGGCAAAAGGGAATATATCTGGTTATAACTAATATTTAAAAAAAATAAAAATAATTGCGCCCCAGAAGACTATTAAGGTATATACTTTAATAATATTTATTATAACAGAGCTAATTTACCACTACTTTAACAGATCTATTACCCCTTGCCTATTCCAATCTGTAAGGTACAAAGACACTCTAAGTATATTACCTCCAATCCTCGCACGGTTCACTAGCATCAGAAGGCCTATAACACTGAAGATTCATTCTGGCTCATCCGACATGTAAGATATTAATAAAATATCAAGGGCTATCTGTTGTGAACGGCCTCTAGTAACTGTATTCCAGCTATCTAGTCCAGGATGCTATTTACATCAAAGATGAAGAAGAAAGAAAGAAGTGTCGGAAAGCTAGCGTAGCACTCTGATATTAATCGTGTATATTATATTGTATATGAGAAATCGTTCCACAGATCAGGGGCATTTGGGAACTTCTTGTTAGATTGGACCATGCACCCGGCATCAGACCGGGTGGGTCATGTGATCAGTTGCCTAGCACTTTGCCACAAGGCTTAGGAAGCAGCTTCTAGCTGATTCTACACAGCACAGAACAGGTATATAAAGCTTGCTCTGATACCTCAGAATAAGAAGAGAGGAGGAGAATACACATATACAATATAATATACACGATTAATATCAGAGTGCTACGCTAGCTTTCCGACACATCTGATCAATTGCTCAATTGCTCGACCATAGGCTATTTTAAGCGGCCCAAAGCACCCGACATCAAGAGGCTGAAGTAGGTGAGATGAATGAGGTGGCATACAAAGCGTAATGATGTCGTTCTCTTCACAATATTTCTCAAAGTCGACGGAGTGGTGACTTTCGTGCCCATCGAGGATTAGAAGACGATAGCGGCCGATCGATCGATCCTTTGTGTGCTGATTAAAGTGCTTGAGCCACTCAAGACCTGTCTCATTGTCGGTCCAGCCATTTTGAGTTGTTGCAATAGCCCAATCGCCCGGGAGGTTGCTTTCTTGGTACCAGTTGGCGAGGTGATATTGGCCTGCAACCACGATAAACGGCTGGATCGCCCAGCCTTCCGCATTAATTGTCTGAATGACCGTAACCCATTCCCGGTTTCCAGGCTGGACTGATTTCGGATTTCCACGTCTATCTGCGCCTGTGACGACCATTCCGCTTGCGATAAGGCCCATCATAAAGCCGGTCTCATCAAAGTTATAGATATCGGCTAGGTCGATACCATATTTCGCGATTGTATTCTCCACGAGCCGAAACCAATTGCGAATAATAGTTGGATCTTCGCATTTGGCCCTCTGATAGTTATATTTACGAAAAAAACGCGTCTTGAGCTCTGGTTGTCGCCTGACTAAGTTAGAAGCCCAGCGCTTGCCGACCGGTGACGCGTCGCGGTCAGCGAGCAGTCGGTTGGCCATTTCTTCAACACCACGCAGTCGCGGGGGAAATCCTCGTGAATCTAGGTCGAGAATAAATTGAACAATAATCTGTTCCTCGAGATCGGTTAGTCGACGCGAATTAGGGATAATATCGCCTCGAGAAGGTTTGCCATGATGTCGGTCATAGAGGGTACTAGGCGGGACTTTGTAAATCCTCGCGGTAGGGTAGACGCGTAATTTTGGATCATTTTGAAGAGCCTGAAGGGCAAGGATGATATTTGCCTCTTTACTTAACTGTGACATATTTGGTGGTTGAGAAATAATTGATTGAATAAAAAGAAGGAGAGTTGAGGGATTTTTTCCGACTCGCTTGTATTTCCGACTCGCTTATCATGTACGTTATAAATATTATAAAATATAAGACCTGGTTTTTATTATAAATCTACTAAAATTCTATATATTACTATTTTTTATAGAATTTATATTCTATTATTTAAAGCTAGAATACAAATAAGAAAAGTAGTAAAAAGGGCTTTTTTGTCACGGGCCAGGGCCCATATCCTTGCGGCTGTGCCGCAAGACGTACGAGGCTCGTGCGCTCCAGGGACGGGAAATCGTTCCACAGCTCAGGGGCATTTGGGAACTTCTTTCTTTCTTCTTCATCTTTGATGTAAATAGCATCCTGGACTAGATAGCTGGAATCCAGCTACTAGAGGCCGTTCACATTTTTTACATAGTTAAGGGTGGACCACATTTTTGTGGCTGGACCAGGTTTTTGTGACCAACCTCGGAGAGGTTGGCATACGTGTAAGCCCCACAATGCCAACGGGTAGCCGGTTCAACAAGGCCCTAGCGGTTGCCTTGCGGCACAACCACGACATTCGACTCCTCGTCACGGTCACATCAAGCCTAGCCATGAGCTATTACGCCACGAATTACGCCACGAAGCTAGACACGCCGTTATGGAAACGGGCGGCGTTTATGAAGACGGTGTGGGAAAGGATGTCAGCGGACGTCGGGGCCGAAGGCCAAGTAGCGCATGACGACGAAGCCCCGAGGGCCGCGCAGGTAAATAATAAGGCCAGGCAATTCCTGGCCCGAACGGCAAACCAGATCTTCACCAGCAGGGAGCTATCCGCCGTGGAGGTATGCAGCAGGCTCCTCGGTCATCCCAACCACTACTCCAGCGTGGAGAGATGGCAGAGCATTCACCTCAATACGCTGTACTGGGCGGTCTTCAGGAGGTGGCGGGGTCTACAAGACGCAGCCGGACCGGAGGCTCGTCTGCGAGCGGCCCCGGAGACGATCAACATAGCGCAGTCTGGTGTGCATCTTTCACTGCTGGAGGCATACGCCGGGCGTGGGGCTCTATTGGAGGACCTCTGCTTCTACGACTATGCTAGCGTGATTCAAGTGCGTCGGGTTGGGAAGCGGACGAACGTAGACAAGCCGCAGTATTTCCCCTTCGACCAAGACCTTGTCAATGGAGAGAGATGGATCCAAGAGCTCCTGAAGGTAGGGGCGCAGTACGTCCCGGTGCTCACCGGCCCGCTCAACCACGACCTGGATAAGCTAGACCCAGGATATTACCAACGGTAGGAGAGGTGAAGAGAGAGAGAAGGCTCGTCGAAGAGCTAACGGCATACAGAACCGCGGTGGTCCTCCTAGCACTCTTTGTACCTTGGCAACGCTTCACGCGCCTGGACGAGCTCTACGGCTACCGCTATGCATCTGGTGAGTACCCCTCAGTCAAAGACGTGTGGCAAAAGCTGTCGGAAGCCATACCGGACCGGGTGAAGGGGGTGGTTAGCAACATTAAGCTTCTGCACAAGAGCGCCGAAGATGCTAAGAAAGACGCGGCGTTGTGGGCTAGCCGCAGCGAAGGTGACGAGGAGAAAGAGCACGAGCCGGCGGAGGACGGAATAGCCCCCGGCACCCCTTGGCGACCGCAGAACACGGACTTGAGGTACACATTCCATGACGCGGTGTATAACCTGCACGGCGATCAAGGCATTGCCAAAGACTTCCCCGCACTGGCAAGGCTGCTACAGGCGCTCGAGAGAGCCAGCTTCTCTGACCCCGAACCGGACCCGTGGCGCGCGGACACGCAGTCCGAACATCAAGCGACAGTAAAAACGATGACGAAGCCCGAGATTGGCATGGTACGGGCGGCCCAGCTGCGGCTCCACAGAGCCAGAGTGCTAGCCATCGAAGGGGATGATGAAGTTGGCGAAGACAAGAACGGCGACGAGGCTGGTTTCGGTCCCGGCGATGATCAGTATTTGTTCCCACCTATCCCGGCGCCCAACCTAACCCCCGCTCCAGCTCATACTTGGGTAGATATAGCACCTGGCAGCAGCTTCCTCCTGGTCGGAACATGATAGGCAAGCAGCGAACGCTAAACCGCATGCAGAAGATCGTCCTCGGCCTCATCTGTGAGGCGATGGACAGAGCGGAGGAAGTGTCAGATATAGCCGCTGACGGCAACGAAGGACACACGGTGTGGGAGCAGCCACCTCAACATCTCCAATACATAGGCGGAAGCGGCGGCACCGGGAAGTCTTGGCTCATCGAGACGCTGAAAGAGGTATTCGCGGCGAAAGGGTCGTCGAAACGTATTGTCATAACAGCTACGTCCGGGACGGCGGCGGCAGGGATCGGCGGTAACACCATCCACTCCGCGCTGGGGCTAGCCTTCAAGGATCAAGACGGAGCCGCGATGGAAAGCCTACCATCCGCGAACCTGGAGAGGAGCCGGCAGCGTTGGAGAAGGCGTGACGTGCTTGTGGTCGACGAGGTAAGCATGTTGGGACTTAAGACGCTCTACGAAGTAGACCACAAGCTGCGTGCGCTCCGCGGCTTCCCACACAGGCCGTTCGGCGGGATACCGGTGGTGGTCTTCACGGGCGACTTCCTCCAGTTCGGACCAGTACTGCAGAAGGGTCTGCTGAGCCGGGTCGACCCCAGCGACTGCGGCAAGGGGCTGCGGAACCTCTCGGATCGTGCGACGCAATATCGATGGCAGCAGATCCAGGCCAAGACGACATGGGAGCTGTTTACCAACGTGGTGATCCTAGAGGAGCAGAAGAGGGCCGAGGGCGACAAGGAACTGATAGGGCTCTTAGAACGCATCCGGACAGGCCGACAGACGGCGGCCGACCTGGACAAGCTCAACTCGCGATACATCCCTGACGAGAAGCTCGACTTCACGGGAGGCCGGCGCGCCATTATCCCGCTCAACCGACACAGGTGGGACCTCACGCTCTGTGCCGCCCTGGCCTTCGGCGAGGAGCACGGCAGGAAGGTGTCCCTGTTCATGTCCGATCACCAGTGGAAAACCCGCATGCCCAGCGAGGAAGAGATGGAGGCCGTAGTGCTGCTCGGAGATGACGCGCAGCTCCCCATCCCAGGCATCTTTCCGTACGTCGAGGGCATGCCCGTCTTCGTCAACCAGAACAAGTACCTAGGGCTGAAAGTAGTCAATGGAGCAGAGTTCACGGCCGCCGGCGTCGTCGCAGACGGAGAGGTAGAAGAACGGGTGATCCACGACCGGCTGTCCGTCTTCCTCGGGCCGCCAAGCGGCATCCTTCTCCAATCGCAGGACACGGAGGGGCTTTCCCGCACATACCTCCGGGTACCCTCATGCTAGGGACAGAGACTGTGCAGCTTGACAAAGAAAAGCACGGCAAATACGTCTGTCCGCGACTTGCAGCCAAGCGGGAGTTTAAGATGGGGCTGACGCGTACGGGGCTGCCATGCACGCCGGGCTTTGCGCTCACTGACTATAAGGCGCAGAGCAAGACCCTAGAGAAGGTCCTGCTCGGGCTCTATGGGAGAAAAGGGACGAAGGGATACCCGAGCATGGAGAAGTGCGACGTGCTTAGCTTGTACGTGCAATTGTCACAGTGCAAGCGGTTGCGGGACATACGGCTTGTACAGCCAATCCCAAGGGAGCACTTCGAACAGGCGCGGATGTATCCGGAGCTCACTCATAGAAGGGGTCGATCGATTAAAAGAGCTAGCAAGACAGACGGTTGAGCGGTTTGAGGTCAGGCATGGGAAGCAAGGTTAGGAGGCAATCTCCGTTTCGTTCACAGTAAAAACGGAGAGCGGACCCAATCAGAAGCCATTTTATTAGCCTATCAGAAGGTAGCTAACTTTGCAACCAATCAGAGGCCAGGGACGGCCGGGGACTCAGGGTGTGAAAGGTCGGGCGCGAATAAGAAAGACCTTCCTAACGGAAGGCATTCGAAAAACTTAAGCATTGATGTAGAGTCAGCCTTCGGCTGAATTACCCTGATTAAATTGACCGTATCGGATCCAACAGCAGATTAACTGGGAGCTGGGCTGCTTGTGTAATTGCATATTAGACATCATCAAATTCTTCAAAGCCATGCACAATACGCGATGCGAGAGCGAACTCGAGATCTGACTTTTTCCCCGCCAATTAAATTACGGTCCATACGAAACTCTCGCCCCGCTTAAACCGAACATCGCTTGGGGATTACGCGTAATTATTGCGAGTGCCCCCCCAACAACTCAGAAAGTATAATCCTTTAGTCTTGATACACGTGACGTCGCACATTGTAAGCTTATTTCTTTTGGGTCTATGCGAGAACGAGGCGAAAGACACGGACTGCTAATTGTACAAGATGATCCGTAGATTAAATTACAGCACCTAGATAACGAGAACGAGAACGAAAGTCATGCTAGAGAGGTAAGGAATTGTCAGGGTGGAGACCATGGTCTCTCTTCTTGTATCAGTATAAGTTCATCTTCTTCCCATTCACTTCGAGTCAAGCACGCACAGCTATTCAATCATACAATCTTACACTTGGAAGCCATGCATGCTTTTCTTCCCTTCTTCTTTGCCACTCTAGGTTTGGCCGCTCGACCATTCCTCAATGAACCGGATACTGGGTTGTTACCTTTTCGCACAATCATAACAGACATACATCTGATCTGACTCTTAAACAGCATCGAAAGTGCACTAAAACTCCCCTCTAACGGGTCACTGCCTTCATTAAATCGCATGCTTGGACTTCCAGACTTCGACTATTTGGCAAGAAAGACACTGGACTACTCGGCATATGCATACGTCTCCCACGGAGCCGGAAGTGAGTCGTCTTATAGAAACAACTTGGAGGTCTTCAACCGATTTCGTTTTCGTCCCCGCGTCATGGTTAATATTACCGATATCGATGCGAGCTTGAAGTATGAACACCAGCCTATCTAGGGGTATTTACTAACTAGCACAGGACGTCAATTCTCGGACATGAATTCGATCAGCCCTTCTTCATCAGCCCATTTGCTTCAGCGGGTCTGACCAATGCGGTTGCAGAGGAAGGCTTGGTTAGCGGGGCAGGCAAACACAACGTACTCTACATTGTGAGAAACCCCGAACCTGCGAAAATCCGATATTGACTCCAATAGGCATCTCAAGCTTCGACACTTTCCATGGAGGAAATATCAGCCTTGAAGAGTGACGGTCAGGTTATATGGCAACAGGTATGGGCACGAAGAGTTTTCACCAGGGCGGAACTAATTGCTTCGCAGATCTCTCTAAGGAATATTGGGAATGAACCACCTCTGGATCTCTTTACCGAGATTGAAGACGCTGGTATGAAAGCCATTGTCCTGACGGTAGATTCAGCCGGTGACAGAACTGCCTACCGTTCCAAGAGAATGTTGCCAGACCCAAGTAGGAGCCGCGATCCCAGATACACTTTCATGAGCTGGGACTTTTACAAGGAACTTCAGAACGCAACGTCTCTCCCAATTATTCCCAAAGGCATCCAGACGGTTGAAGATGCTCGTAAAGCGATTGAAGTTGGAGCACCAGCTATTTTCCTCTCTAACCATGGTGGACGCTCATTGGATGGCTCTCCTTCGCCTCTGGAGATTGCTTGGGAGATATATCAAGAAGATCCCGATGTTTTCAAGGAGATCGAGGTATATGCCGATGGCGGAGTCCGGTATGGTACCGATGTTATGAAGCTTCTTGCGCTTGGCGTAAGAGCTGTTGGTCTTGGGCGTCCTTTCATGTACGCCAACCTCTATGGCGCCGATGGGGTTTCTTGGGCTATTTCTCTTCTTGAAAAAGAGGTGACCAGCGTTGGGGCTAACATTGGTCTCTCTGATATCGGGAATATTAACCCTTCTTTTGTGAGTGAGACGAGTGAAAACGCAGAGCGTAATGCTAACTCAGGGTTAGATCAAATTGACCTCCACGCAGTGGAATAGCTGAGATTTCAACCTTGGTCGGCTTTTCACTGTGATGTGTCAGGGGGTTCGACCTTCCGCCCCGGGGGGCGGGGGCATCTGAGCGTCGTATATTTTCCTTGAGTGTTTCTACTTCTACGCGTCACTAGTTAAGAGTCGAGTGCGGGCACATTCACGAGAAAGACCCGCTGGCTTAGAGCCCTAAGGGTACAACACCATAGATAGTATTGGAGCTGCGGGTAGGAGTTGAGCGCTACGAAGAAGACTATCATACCTCTATCTTCGGGTTTGCAATGGCCGCGATTGATTCAATATATTTATTCCGAGCTTGCAGGCCTTCTGGAATACCTACAGGCTATTACATCGTTCCCGGCTCTTTCTAGCGTTGTCGCGCTTTTCTTAGCTGTGCTGGTCTATCACTCCTGTATCAAGACGCGGGGGCCAACACCAGCCCTTCCTGTCGTTGGGAAGCCAGGATCACACATCACCAAAAATGTCATTTTGGAGGGTTCACGCAAGGTGAGAGATGAACAACAGCTGTACTATTCATAACAATCCCCGGCTAACCATCAAAGTACCCGGATTCGCCCTTTATCCTCCCCATGTCTCCTCCCATCGTCGTCCTGCCCATCGGCATCCAGGATGAAGTGCGAAACCTGCCCGAGTCCCGCGTCTCCTTCACGCAAGAACATCAGCGCAACTTCTTCGCCCAGTATACGGGCATTGGTGACCATCGGCCCGAAATGATCAAGGCTATTCGCATCGACCTCACCAGACACATTGCCAGCACGCTCCCGGCTCTTCAGGAGGAAGTGCGATTCGGTTTCGACAAGGAATTTGGCGACTGCAAGGAATGGTCGCCATTTCCGGTCTATCTCAAGGTCCTCCGCGTTGTCGCCTTGATGAACGGCCGCATCTTCGTGGGACGTCCTCTAAGCCGCGAAGAAGAGTGGATTCAGTCCACCATCAGCTACACCATTGATTGCGTCAAGGCTCGAAATGCTATTCGAGAACATCCCGTTTGGAAGCGAAGATGGATCACCAGGAGTCTGCCCGAGATCGCCAAGCTATCCCACCATCGAACGCGCGGTGGTGAGATGCTGGAACCTATGATGAAAGCCCAGCTGTCAAAGCCGTCGTTCAAGGAGAAGCTGCACAACCCCGAGTCTGGTGATGAAGAGGGCAACTTTATCGAATGGATCCTCAAGTACACTCCTGAAAATCTGCGGAACGATCCCGAGAACCTGGCTGTCAACCAGATGGTTTGTAAGTGCAAAACTGGCAAATCTTCTTCCTCCCTGGCAAATTACTGACCTTGGTGATTAGTGTCGTTTGCTGCCATCCACACCAGCTCAATGGCTACAACTCATACTATTCTTGACCTTGCGGCGCGACGCGAGTACATCCAGCCTCTTCGTGACGAGATTGACGAGATCAAGGTCGCCGACGGAGATGAGATGGATGGCGACGGCTTTGTGAGACTCAAGAAGGAGAGCATCAACAAGCTTCGAAAGCTTGACAGTTTCATGAAGGAAAGCCAGAGGTTTTCGCCTCCCATTTACAGTACGTCCCCATGAACTGAAAACTCCTACGTATTACTTCTAACAAACAAAGCTTCCGGAACCCGCATCTGCACTTCTGATATTCACCTCTCTACCGGCCACACTCTGCCTGTGACGGGACAAGAGCACGAACGAGGTCGAGTGCGACTTGGGCAAAATGATTGTTTACAAGGAGAGAAAGAGATTCCTAAGGAAAGCTCTGACTTAAGCTATTTACACAATTTCATAAAGTGAGGCTATTCATAAAGTATGAAAGTCACATGATCGTTCCCTCACACTGCCCAAGGGCACTCGCATCTGCTTCCCCTCATTCGCTGTGCAAACTGATCCCCGAACGACCACGTTCTCTCCCGAGTACAACCCGGCAGGATACACGCCGCCTGACCAATTCGATGGCATGCGCTTCTACAACCTGCGTAATATGCCCGGAAAGGAGAGCCGTCACCAGTTCGCCACTGCTGGACCGGAGTCGCTCACCTTCGGCTACGGTAACCATACCTGCCCTGGCCGATTCTTCGCTAGCAACGAGATCAAGATTATCCTGGTCGAGCTCTTGATGAACTGGGACTTTAGACTGAAGGGTGATGTCGAGCTCAAGGGCGGTGCGGAGAAGAGGCCGCCGAATGTCGAGGTTGATCTGGTCATCACGCCAAACCCGATGGCCATGATGGAGTTTAAGCGCAGAAGAGCTTAAGCAGAGAATTCACTGAACGCTAGATACCAGATGGTTGAGTAGAACAGTAACTTTTTACATATTCCCCCCCGACATTTTCTTTGTTTGACAATGCGTCCAAATGCCTTGACAGGAGAGGCTAGCGCAGTCCATAATTACCCGTAGGGTCTTACTAAGTGGCTCCGCCACTTAGGGACCCAATAGAGCCACGGGTCCGTACACTCACGGGTCCTCTATTAGTCAGCATAACCCTAACCCTCTGCCTTGCTGCCTTTTCCGTCTCCCTTCTGCTTCACCGCCTGATACTTCATCATATCTATCCTTACTTACTACTATTAACAAAATGAACTCTCTTCCTCCTCAACAGTGGTATTCATCACAAGAAGATCTTATTCTAGATCTCAATATCTGGGCAGCAATCGGAGGCTATAAATTTATAACCAGAAGATCAACTACAGAAAGGTCTGGTCGACTTACGGTTACCTACGCATGCAATCGATTTCGCACTGGCTGCCAATTTTCAATAGTAGCCAAGGAAGAATGGAGTGGAAATTGGCTTCTTAAACATCGAACCGAAGCTCGATTTTGTCAACACAATCATGAGCCCCAAGGCAAACCACAAGACAAGCGACAAGACGAACCACAAGACGAACCACAAGACGAGCCTCAAGCCAGGCCGCAAAACAAGCGACAAGACAAGGGGCAAGATGAGCCACAAGATGAGCCGCAAGATAAGCCAGCAAAAAGACTACCTACATGTAGCAAATGTCATATAGTAGGCCATAGAAGAGGTGCAAAATCTTGCCCATTAAAATACAGAAGCAGCCCTTGATAGTTGTGATGGAGTGGTTATAGGCGGTCAGCGGTGAGGCGAGAATATTACAGTGGGTGTTGCTGACTAAGCGTAGGGACCCGTGGCTGTACGGACCCGTGGCTCTATTGGGTCCCCGCCACTTAGTAGGGCCGAAAAATCTGGAACAGTCAGAAAAAGTTAGAACACCCCACCACTACGGAAGGCTGTAGGGGGCAACTCGTCAAAACCCTCCCCGGCCTGACACCCCCCAGTAAATCTCCCTAGACTAACCCCGGCGTGTGAAGCGAGTCCCGCTTAGATGAATACCTCTTCTTGGCGGCTCGCTGGTCCCAAAGCAGTCAAGTTGGCGAGGGTTGATCAACTGGCGTACGCACTACTGAGGCTCGGCGCCGCACCACTGCCATAGTAGAGCTTATCACTACATACGTAATCTGCCGTTCTCATAGCAGCGTCGTATTCGTAGTGTTTACACAATGCATTGGACGCTGATCTCTTACATTCTTCCTCATAGTTGACTGCCTCACTCATACGTATAAGAGAGCCCTCATCTATCCTCTTCCCTTCAGTCTCACAACTCCTACTCATCATCCCTTAGCAACATCATCTTTACATCCTTCATGACTTCTCTAATTACTGCATTCTGCCCCTCAGGCCTGGGTTCTCATACAAGCATTCGAGCGAAGTTCATGAGCGCCCAGGCCTGCCCTCATTGTAATCAGGGGTTCCAGCCTGTTGAGTCCATTGATCTCACTGCTCCCGACGATGACAGTACCGAAGAGTTACCAACATCCCCCCCTCCTCCTCCTCCTCCTCCTCGTCCCCCAATACGTCGCAGAACCCGCGGGGTACTCTCATCAACAACGATCCCCTCAAGACGTTCAGGCTCAATGCCAGCTGGCTATGAACGGTCCACGCTCTCAGCTATACAAGGTCGCCAAGAGAGCATCGCACATACACGACGCAATGACCCAATGGTTGTTGCCATCCAAGCTTCCTTTTGGGTTGCTAGTGGAATATACGAAATGGTCGGCGATGTGAAGACCGTTGAGTATCGCAGCCCTCCGAGAAGCGCTTGTAAGACAATGGGCAATGTTGCATTCGCTCTCTACCGCACATTTTCGTGTCACAACGCAATGATCCGGTATATCATTGAGCAGCTAGATCCAGCGCAGCTTGGCAAGCCATGGGAAGTTGTTCACAACGTTGAGAGGAGCGGAAGCTCGGCTGGTCCTGCAAGGCTGCCCGAAAAGGCATACTCCTCTACCAGGCTGTATGACCTCTTGTCGCAGATTTCTTCCGACTTTGAAAGGGAACTTAGGGGTAGTAAGGTAACTCTGAACTTCTGGTGCTTCTTCGAGCTTGACCCTCTGGAAATGCCACCAACGAAGTCAAGGGGCAAGAGGAACTGGGAGTATGCAACTGATGCCGACTCAGAGCCATGGACACCAAGCCCCAAAAAGAAGAAGTTTACTCCGCGCAAAAAGTCTGTACGCCTCCCAGCAGTCAAAGAGGAGCCCGGTTCTGGTAGTATTGTTGTGAAATTGGAGGGAATCAAAGCGGAGCCAGGCACGCTGGGGAAGACAGCTGTCAAAGAGGAGGACAAGGAGATTGATGTTTTCTCTGATGCTGAAAGGGAAGCAGCAGCATTATTTGCTGAGATTGGTGTCTCTGAGAATGAAGAGGAAAGGGTGGAACAAAGCCTAACAAAGAGACAGTCCGGTCGCGTGCCAAGGAAGTCATGGAAGGTACAGCAAGAGCCTTAGTTATTGTGTGTTACAGGTTGTGTCTTCTTCATTATTACTCTGTATTATTAGATCTCTTTGTATTTACTCTCTTTACTCTCAATCAAAGCTCTTTCTTTTGTTGTCAAATATCTGCATTTGTGTGGACCATCCTTTGAAGATTTATTAAGTATGTTCTTTATCTATGATCGTAAAATAATTTTGTGCCTCAACTGTAATAACAAAGGCTCATTATCAATGCGTGTTACCCTTCCTTTGCTGACCTGCCTACTGGCCTCATACGTTGAAATGTTAAAGACTCTACGAAGTCATTCATTCACAACCCAGAGCGAGTATTTATAGCCTCAACCTCTTCCTCTCGTTTCCTCTCTATCAACAACATCAACACCAGTTCACACTCTCTCACGCCTTTCTCCCTACAAATCACTACCGCCACTAAGAACTCAACACCATGCCAACCGCAGCCCGCAGCAGAATTCAGGCGAAGGTCACAAAGGACCAAAAGGCTTTCCTTCGGAGTAGAGCCTACCCAATGCGCGAGCATTGGTGTATCCCTTGTTTTAGTACCGCCCTCTCTACTGACCTGGCTGACCTCCGGCGTTCTGTGGATATGCACTACAAGTCTATGGATCGTGTAAAGAATGACTGCAATCAGCTCACATCAAGCACATACAAATGTGACTATTGTGAAGAGAAGAACCATGTCTGCATCAGGTAATCTCCTTTATCTAGTCACCTACTTGTACCGCATTAACTGACCTTTCGCTAGAACCCCTGAGCTCCTCCTCGGAACTGCCTTTGACATGGACCGACTCCTCTAGTGGGCTGATGAGATTATCGAGGAAGAGGAGGATATCGACCCCAATGACCCCAGCCGGGCCCCAGCCTGAGCAAGGCGATGCTAGAGTCTTTCATCTCAAGCGGCGCACCCGCGCTCGACTCGTCAGGGCGACAGCAGACCTTCGTCAGTCTTTCCTCAAGATTGTGAAACAACATAATGTAGAGCACGGTCTTGAGACTTCGGCAGGAGCAGATAAGAAGAAGAAGCGACCGGCAGGCCGAGTCCCGGCCGAGTACAAGAACTTCATGGCCTTAAGTCGTCAGCTTCGCATGGCCGAAATTGGACCAAGGCCGAGTGTGAGCCCCTTACGTGTACGTACATTCCCCTGACCCACCTACCTACGATGGACCTAATGAGATAATAGTTCCCTGTTGCACAGAAAGAATGGAACGCGGCACGACTTCTTCGTTTGGAGGATGGCGATAATGGCTACTCCCTTTGGCAAGTTGCTTTGCGGGCATTCCGACACGAGGTTCAACGAATCCTCGAACAAGATGACCCTAAGCGAACCCCAGCCCAGACCGCTGCCCTTGTTCAGGAGAGCATGCAGTACTACCCTGATATCGCTGATGTGTATTAATTGGTGGTAGGAATGGTGTTTTTATTGTGGGAGGCATTTGAGAGTTGTATGACTTACATCGTATCTTGTAACTGGCTGTTCATGTATCTGGAGATTGCTTCAGTAGTTAGTCCTTTCTTGCATTATAGATTATATCTTCTTTGCCTTCATTCTTGCTGCGCGGTGATGGCCCCAACGAGGGAAGAGCCGGCCTCAATTGACTAGATACTTAAGAAGAGGCGAAGGCACGCTGCCTTCCTTCGCAATAGCACGCTGCCCTCCTTTGCGCAGCCGCGGTGATGGCCTCAGCAAAGGGGTATATAAGGGCTATTGTGAACCAATTCCCTCGTCAATAAAAGGGAGATGTAACCTTCGTGCGGCGTTTGGTCTGACGGTCTGGCAACCGGCTTTTCGAATAATGCACCGCCGGCCCGTCTAACCGGCAAGCGAAGTAGTCATCAATCGAACCGGATTCAATCTGGGTTGGCGAATGTATTCTGTCCAAATCGGGGGCTCAAGGGGGAATTGTCAATTCGGTCTGTCTCTGGGTTCTTCGGGGCGCGTAATACCAGGTGACTAAAGTTCCGTAGAACCTGGCTTGGTTACCAGTAAAGACCAGGTTAAATACCAATTCGTCCGTAACTTTTTTTGGTATTTGACGGTGTGGTGTTGGCGGTGCGACGATGCCTTGCGAATGCGTTGTGAATAACCTCAGGGGTCGAAGTACAGCTTAGTGCGAACACTGCCGAAAAGATCAACAACAGTAATTCAATTGACAATACAGCTTTCGGCGCTAAATTCTCAAACCCTAGGGCTCGAATTCTCCTTTGTGTTGGTTTTTTTTAAGTTATTATTATGGCGCGCGAGGGTGAGGGTGTGTAATGAGGAAAAGGAGCGCAACGGTGCGAGGGCACGCAATGAGGAAAAGGTGCGTAAGGTGCGAGGGCGAAGGTGCGAAATGAGGTGAAGCTATGCAAAGGCGTAAGGTGCGACGGTATATGGTGATGATGCGTGAGGATAAGAAGGGATAAGAGAAAGAATAGACAGCTCAATACTTACATATATATAATACGCAACTAGTAGTTAACCTCCTGTTCTTCTGCTTCCAAGAGACGAGTCTCAATTCCTTGCACATCAATACCATGACCTCCGAGATGGCTTTTGAACCGATCGAGACCACCAGTAGGCGACTCCAAACGGCCAATGGCTGGGGCTTTGTTCTCATGGATGTGATTCTGAAGATACTGTCGCAAAGCAAGATACATAGACAAGCATGGTGTCTCTGCAGAATCACGACCTTGGTCCTGTCCTCTTTGTTCCTCTTCCCGTTGTCGTCTTTCCACAAATACATCACATACATCCATTGTGTCGTCTGGGAGATATGCATCAAGGTCGTAGGGATCCGCGGCAAGCATATTCTGTAAGCTCTCGAGGCGGTCTTCAGGAATGATCTCGGCGAAATTCACAGCCTGGTGAGCCTCGGCTTGATGGTAGAGCACGTAAGGTTGGCCAGGGATAACGTGTGGCCTGTTGCTCTGCTTGCGAATGTAATGTGCGTTCCACATCATTACAAACCTTGAGAACTCGTCGCGTAAGACTGGCATATATATATAGAGCATTGCGATTCGGTCGGCGAGGGAGTCATTAGAGAAGCGGCCAGTCTCTGTCAGGGTAATAAAGAACTTCTGTTGATTCAACAGTTAGTAAGTTAAAATACTAAGCAAATGAAGTAGAACTTACCCGCCAAAAACCGCCTCTCCCTCGAGAGAAGCGAAGCCACCAACTCTCAATCTTCTCGTTACTCGTACTTTTGCCATAGATCCAGCAATCATCCAATGTGACATCATGCTGAATACCATCGCGTACGCGCACTCGAAGTTGAGAGAGATAAAAGTGTGCGCCCGCCATAAGAACAGTCTCTCCACCACGGTCAGACCGGACGAGGTTTGGCATCTTTCCTCGCTCAGAGAGAACACGGAGGTACTGGCCTAGTACACTGCGCGATGTACCGGCTGAGATACCAATATAAAACCAGGGGATGTAGCGAGAGTATGCATCAATTGAAGCGTAGATCTCGAATCCCCAAGCCTTCAGCTTGTCGTGTGCATCAATTGACCAGATGAAGTCAGGCCCTGGAGCCGTCCATCCAACACGACGGTACCTCATTGTGTTCCAACGGTCTGTGACGCTCAAGGGGTAGAACTCTCGGAATGTCTCATAGAGCACTGACCGGCTGAGTGAATGCCCGCTTTGGCGCACATAGGTATAGAGATATGTTCGGCCGTAGGTATGGAGGAATGTGTTGACCTTTGACTCGGATTCGTAGAATTCTCGTAGTTTCTCAATCTGAGGAGCAAGCTGTTCGATGTCATCTTGGCGGCGCCAGAGTTGAAGTTCTTTGCGTATGCGTGCGAGGCCAGTCTTGGTGATGAGGAAGCCGTCTGAATGTAGTTGGAGGAGGAGCCAGTGATCGTTGAGGACTTGTTGAAAGAAGAGGTATTTAATCCGATCTCGTAGTTCAGTTGAATCTTGCGTTATTGTTCGGAATGAAGTACCCCATCTTTTGAGGTTGCGGTAGAGGGTTGACTGGCTAACCTTGAGGTTGTAGTCAGATGCGAGCCTTCGTAGAATCTCGGCATCTGTGAGTCTCTGATGGGATTTCCACTCCTCAATTTGAAAGCGATACACAGAAAGGTCGGCACTTGGGCGGCCTGCTGGGCGGCCTGTTGGTTCACGAGGCATTGAGGGCTGTTGTGAGACGAAAAGGGGGTGGGAAAATCTCTCAGGGAAGAAGAATACCTCTTCATACTTAGTCATACAGCCCTCGTAGCCGATCATACTAGCCTTGGTTGGTAAGTGTGTTTTGGGTGATTGATCCACTTCGTAACCTATACAGAGGTTATCATGAACATTCCGAAAGGGATTACAGTAAAGAAAGAGTAAGTGTATATAAATGAGTTATTCCATCTTGTTAATCCTACAAGATAAAGGGGTATCAATTTACTAGAGCCTCCTACGCCATGTAGACCAAGATAAAAGAACAGAGAGAAATCCTTGTCATGCTCGTCATTTGGCTGTAACAGAAGGAAGGTCAGAGAGTAACATAAGAAAGTGCATAAGAAGAAAGTCATACCTCCTCTCCTGGCTGAACTTGACTGGCGAGCTTTCTTTGTGCGCTGGTGTGCAGCGTTAATGAAGATACTGATGATATGGTGGCATGCCGCTCTGCATGCCTCTCTATCCTCTGGATCAAGAGACTCAATATCATCAAAGCCAACTGGTTCACTTGCACCATCATCATGATTACCAGCTTTGCGCTTGGTGGATAATTTGGCTACCCATTATTAACAAGAGACCATAAGGAATAGAAGGGAACTTACGTGATTCAGAGCGCGAAGAGAGAGAACATCCTAGACCCGAGCGATTCCAATCGCAATTGCTACAGATCTTCGAGCTTTCTGTTGTGATACAACCGATAAGAGCCCCCTTGTCTTGGGCGCACCGATCACAACTCTCTTCAGCTTCAAGTTCTTCCCCAAAGAGATGACGGATCATCGCATCAGAGTTCTGACTTCGAGTGAAGTTCAATACATATGGGGTCGGCTGGGCATTCCGCATATCATACCGGGCGCGGATTTGAAGCTCGCGGACCGGCTGTACATGTTACCATACAGAACAAGGAGGGATTACAGGTGAAACTAACCTTATTGAGACTGAGGAGCGGGAAAACTCGAGAGGAACAGTTCTTCAACGCATTCATCAGTGCCCAAACTGTCAAGTCAGGGTTTGTGGCAGGCTGGCGAGCTTCATGGTTAAAGACACGTGTCTTGATGCCCAAAACCTCTTCAGGTAAGAAGCGGAGTCTACTAGAAGGGAACCCAATACCGATAAGGGAATCAGGGTCTGCACTTGCCGAAGCACAGTTACTGTTCTCTGTAGCCATTGGAGCGAACTTGGAGGGAGTTGTGTGGGCGTATGTCAACAGAGTCAGCAGCAAGAGAAAAGTTCGTCTCACTAGTGCCATAGCAACACCAAAAAAACGACAGGGATATAAGATGAGGTTACGGATATTACGATCGACAGGGATAGTGTCAATGCAGACTGAAGAAATATTCTCTTAGTGAAGGGGGTGAGGGCCTACAGCTCGGTGTGTCCGCAATGAAATTTTGGCCGGGGAGGGTTTTGACGAACTGATCCCTACAGCCTTCCGTAATATCCTATTGCTACTCAGCTGGCCTCTCTTCGGCTAGCGTCCCATTGGTCGCCACGACAGCGATCGCAGGGTTTAGATAGGTCTCGGTTTAATTTGAAGAAGGAGCGGAGCCTATCCCAGGCAGCCGAAAGAGAATGTCCTAGTGTCCTCTACAGGCCGGATCAAACTGATTCTAGATCTACTCTGACTTATGTGATAGAGTTTATTTAGACGAGCAGCACTAAACCCGAATGCTGCGTAGAACCCACTATGGAATTGTAGCATTTGCTATAATTGATCAATCCTAATCTACCACTAGTATACTTTCATTTCGAGTACTCTCTGCGTCGGGCTACAGTGGGCCAAGATCAATATGTGTGAGGTCAACGCATACGAGAATGCAGTCTCCTTTTTGGTCCTTTAAGCTCTCGACGCGGACTTCTCCGGGTAGACCGGCGACCTTGATCACGCTGACTTCGGAGATGGTTGGGAGAGAATCTGCCATGCTCCTATTTGACTTGTGATCATGGCTGTCCCTAATAGTCGGATCACGCTGAGCTGAGATGGGGACACCCGATAAGCCTTTTTGGTTATCATTTCCATTGCAGGTAGTCGACCGGGAGATATCAATCAGCGTAGCGGCTCCCCTCAATGTCCTACCATAATCGGTATCCTCACCAGAGTGAAGCCCTTCAACAAAAGTCAAAACCGGCATCTCAGCTTGACAGTATAGGCAAGCATGGCTCTCATCGTATGCCCCATGATAGGCATCATACCAACAGGACGTACAGTATGCATGACCTTGGAATATAGTTAGTAGTGTCTATAGATCCTTTCTTCTTACCTTACCACAATCAGTGAATGTGAAGGCCTCTAGCGAGTTGATTCAACTAACTAGTCCCTATGCTGTTTACTTTCAAGATGAAGAAAGGAAAGAATCTAAATACAAACTGGGTGCGTGAAGACGCGTTATATCTTCTTTAATATAGAAGATTCGAGAATCAACTCGATGGCGCTGTGGAGAAGAATTCGGGCTTGGCGGCAGAGCCGCCAGCCAAGTGGGCCTGACCCGTTACAGGAAGCGTAAACGGTCCCGGAGGGCGTCAGTCACTTCCGTACGACCCTCACGTTGGAAGCCCCAGATTCGAAGAAAGCGCTTCAAGGTAGTATCGGAAACAGGAACGTTCAAATCCGTCCGGAGCCATTCGCATAAGGCCGCGTTCGTCCAGCGTAGTTGCCATTTCCCACGGATTTGTTCCCGGTAGGGCTCGAGATCGATCCTCTGTCGTGGCATTATATCGGCGTGTTCGGGGACGTTCGGGGGCGTATAGAAGATATTTCAATGAATAAATAATAAAATGTTAAGATAGAATCATATGCGTAGGGGAAGGAAAAATAAAGAGCATAAGGTCCATTTCTGGGCCGTACGGGGGCGAAACCCCCCATACGGAGCCGGACTATCTGAAATACCGAAAGACCAAAACGGTTATGAATGAACAGGAGGAGTTCACATTTCCGAACAGGCCTGTTCGTCCATTCCCCCCCCCCCCCCCCCCCCAAAAAAAAAAAAAAAAAAAAAAAAAAGTCTGCGGACAAGAACGGTATGTCAAAAACCCTTTCCAAAAACGTGATGCCGACCGACCATGCGAAGCCAGACGGGGCCGGTCGCGGGGTATACTGTCCTGAACGCCAACGAAAATGACTTAATCAGAATCAGACTCATCTGGAAAAAGTTAGCCCTCCGTTCAAAGCTGTATGGGCCTGCACGCTCCCGTACAGGGATGGACGGGGATGTACATACCAGTCTCGTCCTCGACATCGTCGGCGACCTTATTAAAGACGTCCGCGAGCGTACGGAGGTGCTTGAGGGGGACGGAACGGATGGCGTCAAGAATGTCATCGTCATCGTCAAGGGCCTTACGCTTACGGCCGCGCTTCTTACCCCTAGGCTTAGCATCTCCGTCCTTGACTAAAAAAATATGTCAGAACGGGAGCGAACTGGCTAGAACGGGGGCAAACGGGGGCAAACGGGGGCAAACGGGGGCGTACGTACCGTAGAGAGTGCAGCGCTTAGCCGCGGAGTTATAGCGACAGTTCGCGCAGGCACCGTTGATCTGAACGCAGCTGTCGAACGGGCCCAAACCCCTCTGGCACGGGCCGCACGCGTCCGTTCCGGACCGTAAGTTGCCGTACAGATGGTGGAAGGCCGCGTCACAATTGGCACCCCGCTTTAGGTTGAGAGTGTTGTAGTAAGCGGTTCCGTCCGCGCCCGGACGGGTACGGACGCCCATGATGCGCTTGATCTAACGTGAACGTAAGCGTACGTTATCACATAGTGCCGTACGGCTACGGGTGGAAGCGAAAGACAAACCTTAAAGTAGTTCTGGGCGAGCGCACGAACGGCGGCGGAAACATTCTTGGAGACGTCTGGCAGACGGGTTAGAACTGGCGTGAGCGGGTAAAAACTGGGCAAGAACGGGAGCGTACGCTTAAGGACCCAGGCGGTTAAATGCTCGCTAACGGTCTCGTCCGGCTGGTCATCCTCTAGCTCCGCGTTCGGGAGCTGATGGCCGTGAACACGAGTGTCCGGGGGCGTCCAGCTAGGATGGTTGGGGGGAACCCAGGGCTGGAAGTCGGGCAGCTCCGAGCAGGCGCGTCCGCTGTCGTTCGAGGCCGAGCCGCCTCCGTTCGGGGTCGGAGCGGTTCCGGACGTGCCCTTTCCACCCTTTCTGCCCTTACCGGAGCGAGATCCGCGAGGCATTGTCGTTCGGGGGTGTTCGGGAGCGGAGGCGTACGGAAAATTGTACGAAAAATGGCTATCGACAAACCGGGGCTGTACGCGAGTGTTAGCATATGTACGGAGCAGAACGGGGGGGGGAAACATGGGTAAAATGTAAATGAAGTTGAGGTGGAGGCCGGAAGGAGCCGTACGGGGCCGTACGAGATGTGGATTTCGCGTGGAAGGTGGGGCAAAAACCGGTTATTGGGTAACTGCGGAAACTGCTGAAAAAGGCCAGAAAGGCGAGAACCAGAACAAAGGCCGGGCAGGCGCTCAGGCACGTGACTGCCAGGCAAGGGAGTAGGCCAGTTGACCGTCGCAATTGAGCGATCGCTTCCGCGCAGGCGCTCAATTGCGACGGTTCTGGACGGTACTGAACGCGAAAAAGACGCTGCGTGTTGACCTGATCGCTCCCGATCGGTGGCGTATGCAGCAAGAGGGTATTGTGTGGGCGCGGGGTGGAAATCCAGTGGTCGGGGTAGAACCTACCTGGTCGGTTGAATTGGTTGGGAGGGAAAAAGAGCGTTAAAGGAAGGGCTGGAAAAGCTGGGATGCGGCAGGGGATCCACAATTCCTAACTTTTAAAGCGATTGTATTGGCTATTGCTTAATTTGGACTAGCGGTTTGCATCTAGCCAGTAGTAGTCCGTGCCCACGGCCGCCGTGGATCTATCCAGAAACTCGTTTTGACCCAGTGCTAGATATAGCCGTCCGTAACAACCCCACCCCTTACCATCCAGTACCCACCTACTGCTAATACCTGTTGAAAGGACCAGGCATATATACCACATTCATACTAGCATCAGTGTGGGTACCCATTACTTTTGCAGATTGGGTCTCAACAATACCCACCTACTGCTAATACCCACCTACTGCTAAGCAAAAATTCAAGAGTAGTGCTATTCGGGCTGTATAATATTGCTATCCGGGCTGTACCCAAAATACGCTTGCCTAAAGAGGGAATTTGTCACATGACTTTGAGAACGCTAGCCACATTAGGAAAATCTCGCGGCCACGTGACCACCCTCACTTACAACACCCCGCGATATCGGATCGCAATTCCTAGGCCAACTTAGACCTTTTACCATCACGTCGTCCCTCTGCTATTCCACACAACCATTTCTCATAAGTCACAATGACTCAATCTCACGCTGAAGACGATGCCATCCACGGCATCTTTTCCCTGGGTTCTCAAATCCCACCGCCGCCGCCGTCAGCGCAATTCTCGTCTCTGGATGACCTCGTCAAGTCTCTGCAAGACTTCTATCGTAAGAACGGCGCCGCCTTGGTGAAGAAGTCACCGGGTAACTATCGTGAGATTCATGGCGTTAAGCAACCAACTTATATTCAACTGCGTTGTGACCGCGGTGACGCTCGTGAGTGTGAAGCTGCTGGTGTACGCAAATCCAGTACGCAAAAGGTCGGCTGCCCGTTTAAGATCACAGCGTCAGCAACGCAAAAGCTCAACTATCTCTGGACCTACCGAGTCGCGGTCTCTGATCACAACCACGGCCCGTCCCTCGACCCGTCCGCACACGTGATGCATCGCCGCCGCACACCAGAGCAGCTAGAAGTCGAGCAATCTCTTTTCAAGCACAAATCCCTCCCGCCCGCGAGATGAGTGATATCATACGTGATGTAACGATTGAGCCGTCTTTCTTTCGACAAAAAGCCATCTATAATGACCGTCAGAAGCTGCGGCAGGCATCTCTCAGCGGCAAAACAGCGACGCAGGCGCGGATCGGCTCCCTCCAAGATCAGGGTCTCAAGCACCTCGTACGGTGTAGCGCTGACCGCAAAGTTGAGGGTGTTTTCTTGTTAAGGGCTGGCCCTTCGAGGATCTTCCGTGCAAAGAGTGCTGTGAATTGTCTATCTAAATCTAAGGAAGAGAAGAGGATTTCCTTCTGCAGGAATCTTCATACAGTCTCATAGTAGTTCCAGGGAAGTCTTCGGGAAGTCTTCCAGCCGGTTGCCAGGGGACTTCCCGTGTCCTCCGTAGACCCTGTCGGTTTAACACTAGTAGTTGCTAGCGTCTTGACTCCGGCTTCGGCACAGCCGCAGCCGTATCCCCAGGCTCCAGCCTGTAACATTTCTGGACTTATCCTTGGTGTGAGCTGATGTGGAAGAGGTTTCCAGAGGTTCTTGGTATGGACAATACATATAAGACTAACCGCTTTAAAATGTACCTTTTCCAGGTCACTGGCGTCACAGGCCAAAAGTCTGTTGTTAACTTTGGCTTTGGTCTCATCAACTCCGAAAAAGAGGAAGGATTTCAGTGGCTTTGTGACCAAGTGGATGATTTCCGCCGTTTTCTTGGAATCCGAGTGCCTTCTGTTGTTATTACTAACAAGGAAATAGCCCTAAAAACGCCCTTTATGTAACCTTTCCAGACACGCAGCAGCAGTTATGCGTCTTTCATATCAACGCCAACATCAAGGCGAAAATCACAGCCCGTTGGAAGGACCCAAAAGACGCCGATGCTGATGAAGATACTGACGATGATGACGATGATGACGATTATGTGCCAACGCCTAGTCTCAGTAATCGACATCATGAAGCCCTCTATCACGAGGCCAATGAAGGAACTTACGGCAACTGAGACTCAGCATCACCAGCACCGCCGCCTAGCACACAAGGTGAATTGACCCGCGAGACGATGTTTTCCGCCTGGCACCGAGTCATCTATGCCGACCAAGTGAGTGACTTCGAGGCGGCTTGGGCCTCGATGAACGATGCATACAACCCACAGCAAAAGTCGATCCTTCGATACATCTCAAGGGAGTATATGCCTTGGCGGGAACAGTGGGCAAAGTGCTACATTTGCCGCTATCGCAACTTCGGCCAGAGGGTTAACAGCTCTGTTGAGACTGCCCACAAGGATGTAAAGTCATTCCTAGTCACCGGCACCGGTGACCTGCTTCGCCTACACAAAGCTATCCAACAGATGTTGAAAAAGAAGCAGCGTGACTATGAGCAACAAGCAGCCAGAATGATGATGCATCAGCAACGAGAATACATGGGCCGGGAATGGCTTGGTGAGGCTCCCTTACAAATAACCTACGCTGCTGTCGATTTGCTTGTCAAGCAGCATCGATTTGCTGAGGCAGCTTTACTATCACTTACGCAGCCGACCCCCGAGCCGTTGAGACCATGTTCCGGCAACTTCACACAGCAATATGGTCTTCTCTGCAGTCACTATATCTACGACTTGCTAGTAACTAAAGAGCCGTTATTAAAGGAAGTTATCCTGCCCCGCTGGTGGCTCAATAAACCTCTGGTAGGAATCACAGCTCTTTATATAAGAAATCTGCTAATTTCTACCTCTAGGACCTCGAAGAGCCACTCCTGCTGATCCGCGACCCTGACGTTGTCGCTAACCTCCGCGGCCGACCTCGAATACCTATAAATAGGAAGCTCATGATACCCTCACATCTACAAGCCAGTGTGACCTCGAGTCTCCAGCAACAGACCCAAAGCCAACAGACCCAAAGCCAACAGACCCCCCGGCAGCCTCGCCAAAACCCACAGACGACCCGGCGGCTCAACCCAAGCGTACGGCGCACGCTGTCACAGACCGAGCTTGTGGACACACTAAGCAGCCAACAGTCCCGAAAACTGTCGACGCCAAGATCACGAGGCCATACAAATACAAGGAAAAGAAGATCTAGAGGAGGACGAGGCAGAGGTAGGGGCGCCGGGGCCGCGGCTCCGGCCCGGTCGCAGTCATCAGCGTCGTCAGTCGTTGAAGATGTCATTATCATTCCGGCTACGCAGCCGGAATATTAGTCGGACCGATAGAAATACTATTTTTTTAGAGGAAATACCGGAAATGCGTTTTTTGAGCGATTTGGCTGTAGCCGGGCTCGCGGGCTGTTGTGATGTGTTGACCTTGATTGAATTGGCCTGATGTTATTCGCGTTCTTTGACTTACACTGTAATTTTGGTGTGGCGGGGAGCATTTGCCGAATGCGGTTAAAAATTACGTGGTCATGTGATCAATACAGCCCGGATAGCAATATCATACAGCCCGAATAGCACTACTCTTTATTTATTTTGCGTTCCCTGATGATTTGACATTCGATATTCCGGTCGAGATCTAACCCGCCGTCGTCAAGATGTACGAGGTAATAGCGCTCATGCGCTCGCTAGTGAGCTTCAGGGACACCCTCAACAGTTCCCTACCAACCTCCGGCTGCTCGATTTGAATCTTGGCCCACTGCTCCCGGTCCATAAGCCAGACGACACAATCTCTCTCCACCACCGCAGTCGCCGTCCGATCAGTATCGGAAAAGAAGGGGAGCTCGCCGCAGGTCGTGCCCGCCACGATGCTCTCGCAAAGCCATCCCTGAGGGAGGTCGTATTCAGCCCGGATGATGCCCCGTTCCAACATGTAGAAGCCGTTCGCCGACTCTCCGCGCCGGAAAAGAATGGTACCGGCCGGATACTCGCGTCGGGTAAAGTATGAGGTTGCTGGGAACCAGAAGTCCTCGTTTCTTTCCTCTTTTCTTTCACTGAGGCCCTGGAAGATCTGGAGCATGAGCCTAAGCGGCTCTTTGAAGCTCATCCATCTGGATGGACGCTGCACGTCGACACTGCTCAGTGCATCCTGGGCAGCCTCGACAAGATGGTTTCGCCGAGGTGAGTTGAAGGGCGGGTCGAATGAGGAGAACGCAGTCGAAGATCTCGCAGGGACATCCAAGTTCTGGACGGAAACTCGCTTCAAAGCAAGCTCCTCCTGTCTCGCATATAGGGTTTTTAGAAGCTCGTTCTCGCAGCTCTCTAATGCAGAGTTAAGATCGGGCACCATCATGACATCGATTCCATCGCTTCCTAATCCAACGGCCCTCAGGTTTCGACCAAGCTCACTGTCGCAGTCAACACCACTCAGGACAAAAACAACGTCCTTGTTGTTGAGAAGCCTACTGATGGTATTGAATGCTTCACCGGCCGAGTAATCAAGGCCAGAAACGTGCCACAAGTCCAATATTAGGAACTTGATGGGCTGCTTGGCAAATGCACTGTCCTCCAACAGGCCTCGAATCTTCTCCTCGACGCTCACAACGGTTCCGAAGAAGAGATACCCCGTGAGCTTCACAATATAGATCTGGCAGCCAACCCGGTGCAGGTAGTGATGCTGCCAGAGATTGCGCCTCACAGTGGAAGTGACAATGTCACCGGAATAGTTTCCACGGATAGCTGACACCAGTGAAGTTTGTAGAATGAGTGATGCGAAGGCTAGCAAGATGCCGACCCCGATACCCACCACAAAGTCGTGAATGCCCATGACGAGCACAATGACGACTACGGTTATGTACTCAGCGAGCTTGAGCTTCTTGCGGGGGAGCCATAGCGCCTCCAACATGAGCTCAAAGCCTAGATCAAAGATCAAAGTGCCCACCATCATGACCGGAATGAATCCGATAAGTGATGGGCCAACAAGCATGACGCCGAAGGTGGCGGCAGCTAGCATGTAGCCTGCGAGGCGTGTGTTTCCGCCTGACCGCATGAAAAACACGGTGTTCGCATAGACCAAATAGTTCTGGATGCTGCCAAAGCAACCAGACAGGAAATTGGAATAGCCATGAAGCCTCAGCTCCTTGTCGAGATCAGCGTGGTCTTCGCCGCAGTTCAGGGCCAAGGCAGGGACGTTAATCGGGACATGTAGGATGCCGAAGAAGGTTAAGGCAAACATGGCGGGGATACATTCGACGACTGCATCCCAGCGCACAAGTTTGAACTCTGATGTGATTGTTAGAATGGTTGCCAAAGACATCTATAGAGAGTGAAAAGCACTTACGGTAGAGAGTGTAGAAATACCACCACGGCTCCCAGGAGGGTGGCCCTTGGAAAATCCATCCTTGGTCGCGCAATGTATCCACATCCAACACGTCAAGAGCCAATACAAAAAAGTAAAAAACCAAGGGAATCGCCAAGATAAACAAAGGCAAAAAGAACTTGGAGGTAATTTTTGACTGCTCGTAGAAGAGAAGAATGGCCAGTATCAGGGGGACAACCCAGAGCGGTACGGTTGATGGGTTTGCCAACTTCTTCAGCGTGTCGAGGTCATATTCCAGACTACCGTCGAGGCGAGCCGATACCTCGAACCCCGTAGTGACCAAGAACCATCCGACGCCACCTATGCATCCAATCAAGATGTGCCGGGGGATGAACCCCACCATATATCCAACCTTGAATCGGCCCATGAGATAGAAGACGAGGCCGGTAATCATGGCACTTATGGAGTATGACACGATAGTGGTGGCAATGGTGGCGTCAGGGTTATTCTCTCCAACCGTATCGGTGATTCGGAACGCCATGTTGTGAAAGAACGGCACCACCTCGATCTGCGGCGTGTTAGTCAATGACGCCGGAATTGCGCCATACTACCTTATCAGAGACTCACCAATTCAGACCCCACGGCGCCCTTAAAGATACTGCCCGATGAGAATGTGATTTGTGACACGATGGTGCTGACATAGAAAACCGAGATACCGGCAGATCCTAGATGTGAAAAGATTGGCTTTCCCAGAGGAAAAAGAATCATACCTGTTATCCGTCAGCGAATTGTATAAGGCCCCATAACAGTTTAACGCACCGTAAGAGAGCGCATCTAGAATGTTGAGCAATAGACCAACAGCCACGGCGGGCAAGCATGAGACGGGAGTAACCACCGTGTTGTGCCATATTGCCTTGCCATCCCAGCGGCGCAGATTGACGGCGACCGCAACGCTGTGTCATTCGTTCTTCCACCTTGTGGCCTGCTTCTACCAAACCGCTTATCCAAGGACGCTTTGCGCGAGATTTCAGACCCTCAAGATCCTCCGTGTAAGACCGCCTGCCGCCTGAAGTCACCCTCGACAGCAGTGGCGTACGCTCCGAACTGGCATCGGTATGGAAACGCGGCTCGGGCTGGTTTCGGTCCCCATCGTCTTCTTCATGTTCGGTCTCGGGAGGGTGATGTTGAGCCATCGACTGAGGAGGGGAGCCCTTGAGGAGGTTTGCAAGAACCGAGGGCCCGGCGGGCGCATGTGTGTCGCGCTCGGCCTCTGGCGATGGCGGCTCAGATACCTCTACAATCGTTGTCGAGTTGCGCGCATGGTCAGCTATGGAAGACTCGTCGCCGTAATCGGACGCGGCGACTTCGTGGACGGATGATCGCGAGCGTAGGAATACGGGGCTTGGGGGAGCTTGTCCGTCTGAGAGGAGGTAGGTGGCAAGCTCCGCGGTGTCTTGACAAATGTTTCTCGCATTTTGAACACTATCTACCGGAACTAGTCCGCAGGAGTTAGCGATTTTGGATCGTCTTCAATTTTTTTTATTTGGAAGCAAAAGCTGAGTGTAAGCAGGCGATGGTGTGGAGATGATACGGGCGTTAAGCGCATTAACTAAACATACCCAGTAAGTCATCTCGCACAGAGCTGTGAATAAAGGATCGAATGGGCTCTCGATGGCTGGGCGCGGAGCTGATGGACGTCGGGCGAGCTTGCGTAGTAGTAGTAGAAGTTTGGTGGGAACCGTGCGAAGGGCTGGAGCTGAAGCCATCGGCAGGTTGGAGCTGCGGGGGATCGCGCTGCGAGGTCGAGCTCAATGCCCTCCTCCTCCATGGAGTGAAGCCGAGCGGCGAAGACATTGGATCAGCTCAAAGCTCGGAACTGGCCGATGAAGCTCCAGGAGGCAGCCGGAAAGTGGGAGGGATTGGGCATAGTTATTGATATCGCTTGGATGAGGACACAAACGAAGAACGGAAAACGTAGAAACTCAAACCACCACGAAAGGCAGAAGTAAAAGCATTCCCGGCCTCAGATAGCGGACAGACGGCGAGAGTTCGTGGGGAATGAAGTAACGAAACTCATTGACCGAGTCCTGGTGGGTCATGGCACCAGCGAGCGGGCGCAAGCTGTTGCAATAAGTTTGAATAGCCCTACGGGTATCTTTTAATTTTATTGTCATGCCGCTTTAAAATTCACTCTGAACCACTTAACGGCAGTAAACCTCCTCTGCAAGAAGAAGAGCTGAAACTTAAAAGCAACATCATCACTCTTCCTAATTAAGCTAAAACAATCCGGCGGTATCTGATAATTGATTCAAACTTATTGCCACCCACTGTAGGCGTGAACGCCCGTAAACTAGTCAACTCAAGAAAAACCTTGCTTTCAATTCAGCGCAAGATTCCCTTGTCCGTTTTGCATGTGGGCTCGCCCCTCAACACTCAAAGACCGGGCACCGAACCCGCCCCTGCAGAGGCTCCGGAGTGGTTGCTAACCAGTGCTGTGCGCAGCCGTTTCATCGCACTCTATCCGAACTATGGGAAACAAAAATCCCCCAGACGTTGCTCGTTCACCATCCTCACAACCATGTCCAATTCCCCTTCGTCCAACGCAGCCGTTGGCAGCGTGCCCTCCACAGCCGACGACTCTGGTGAGCGATCCTGCCGTCGTTGGCGCTGCCCCTCTTGTTCCTCAGCCTGACCCGCTCCGCCCGCCGATTTTGCCCCCCACTTGCTGTCAGACGGAGAGACCCGGCCGCGAGGATGACTAAGGATAAGGGAGGCTGGATTGAGCCGAAAAGAGGGGAAATCCTCAGACAAGCAACAAGCAGATACATCGATCACAAGTCACGATAACAGCCCTATTACGACTGTAATCATCACAGTTGCAATCGCCTATTTGGCCCCTTTATTATCATCAATTTCCCTGTGCCGTAACGCACAGCAATTCCGGCCGCTAGACCGATTTGACCCTGTCACGTGTCGGACACCTGCCTACTGACCATTCCAGTCAACACTGAGGCGGCCGCCAATTTCCCTCCTCGCCGAATGTGGTTCAGCATAACTAGCGAAGTAGATGCCACAGATGCCTCTGCGACTAGTGGCTTATGTACAGTAATGGCGCCAAGATCTGTAAGTAGGCGTGCATGCAAACCCAACGTGAACTGTCTGGACGCAGTCACCAGCGTCGGTGCGCCAGATCCGTACCGTCTGGTCCTCCGAGGCTGACGCTACGAGCTCCGAGTTGTGTGAGAAGGCCACCGACCTAACGGAGCCGCTATGGCCCTTGAGTTCAGATGCAATCACCCAGGTTTGAGGATACAAGGGGTGTCAGGCTGTTTGATAAGAGCTCTTATCTTTTGCGACGCACGGTCCATAACATCCCCAGCAAGTCATCAATTGACGCCTGAAAAAGACAATAAAATCGGTTCACAGCGCTGCATTATGAGAAGGGTAAGTCTATGAGATGAGCGATATTTTCGCTTTCAATTGATATAATTTTCTTGATCGATATTGCTGTTGTTGATTTTTTTGTAGAATATATTCCTCGCCACTATTTGCATCTGTACCCCGAAAACCGGCATTGATAAGATTGATGATTGATGCGACCAATCCATCCGGCCAACTGCAGAGAGTTGATGTCATTCTGACCCCAAAATTCACCAACTATGACGGCATTTCCAAATCGGTGAAGTGGGGTATGTTAGCCCTCATCGTTCTCAAATTGCTGTACACCACCGCGTCACTCCCCCCAGGTCGTCTCTTCTCAGCCCTGCTTCCGCGAGGCTTATGAAATATGAAGCTCATTTAGCGGCTCTATTTTTAAGCCACACACGATTATACGAGTTTCCTTCCACAGAATCGGTCCCAGCTATCCTATGTATTTAACATGACAAAGATGGACGGGCAGCATCTCCTTCCTAGCTTTGGGCCCTACGATCCACATCCAGCCATGATCGGGTCGGTTGGCTGGCGAGGGCGCCAGCCACATTCGTCCATTCGTGCTCCTAGCCAAGACACCAGCGACCCTGTCGAGACAGCAATTGAACCGGATGACTTGCGGGCCATGAGCCCGCGGATGACAAGCGAGGATGTTGAAGCGTTGGAGCGTGAAATGCATACTGAACTGCGCCGGTTAGTGAAGACTATGGGATCTGCCGTGAACGTTAGATGTGTCCGAGGGTGGCCATCTTGGGAACTGCTCACTGACGTTTGTTCCTGCGGATCTAGGCATGCGAAGGCGTTGCAGGACTCACTACTCCTCATCTTTAACCGCGTCGAGGCAGTTAAGAAGGGACATGAGAAGCTAGACAGCAACAACAAGTTGCTGCAGAAGTATTGGAGATTTGACTAGCATGCACTAGAACATGGCTTCGGGCAGCCACGAGAAGTACTGAACCTTTTGTGGGAAGTTTTTGTCGTTCTCCTGAGACCGACACGCAACAACAGCTGGAACCCGACTTTGAACTTGGTTCCAGCAACTGGAACGAAATGTTTGGCCATTAGATTTCTGTTGGTGTGTTTTGCGGTCTCCAGACGTCCTGGGGTCCGGCCACGAGACAGCGCACATCTTACATTCAACTTCAGAACTGGCTGTTCTATCCCTGCTACCTCTAGAACTAGCTAGTCCCTGCTGCCTTCAGAAATGGACGAGCATCATCACAGTACGACAGGAATCGACATGCTCTGAACCACTACAGGGGGACATTAATCTGCAGTTTTTGCCCCGGCCTTGGATCTCCAGCAGAAGTCTCGTTCAATCGCCGAGACTTGTTCAAAAAAACACCTTGTGGAGACGCATGACGTCCCAATCTAGCCGCCGAACGGTCACAGGCCACCGGGTACTAGATCCGGTGTCGAGGCGGCTGGCGATTGTAATATCTGCCGGCAGACATTCTTGAGTCCCGACGACTTGTATGACCATCTAGATGACTGCGTGCTCAGTGTGCTCATCGAGGAAGACCCTGCTGAGGCAATCAACGAGAAACTCTTGGCCGAGGTTATGGGCGGCGAATTTACAAACAGCTCCCCAGAGTTATATCAGGTGGAGCCACCACCCTTCACAGGCAGGGAGGATAACCTGTCGCAGGAATCGCGGTCACTATCCTGCGGCGTGGGGTTTCGATGATAGCCAGTAGTCATTAAAGAAACGGGTCACTGCCTGTTGAGATCCGTGGTTTAACGGATCAATGGCTATTCCGATCCATTGGTGGATATCTTCTTATCAATAGCTTCCGCTGTTTAGCGCTAGTTTTCTTCTTCTTCAATAAACACAACATGCTCATTTCAACACTGCCGTCTTCGACGGCCCTATTCGACTAGCCAGGGATGAGATTGTGCTCTGGAGGGATCTTGGAATCCGACTCACGTTGTCTGATGGTGCATCATATGTGACCGATCTCGGCGTGATGACTCTCAGCAGAGCAGAAGCTGTCTTTGCAGGGCAGGAGGAGGCAGAACTGAGCGCAACACAACAAGTTCCTCAGACATCGCATATTAGCGATTGATGACTACCAATTACTCAGTATCACACGTCGGTAGCTGGCATAATACAACAATTCTAAGAAGAGAGCCTGTAGTAGTTGGTATCCACGGCGCCGCTGAGCCGTCGCTGATTCACAGCGGCGAGGCGAGGCGTGGCGCCCACCGGCTTGGCTGATCCTGAACGCCCCCCGCGCCTGCGGCGCCCGGCCAATGGTATCCCGGTATATCCACAGCGGGCCCCCCGCGCTGGCCACCCGGATGACCGTGGATATTCGCGAATATCCATGCTCCCTCGCTGATCGGCCCCTATAACTTCAGGGAGCTCCAGGGGCCTCCAGCGCCCTCCAGAGCCTCCGGGGCACCTGGGGTGCCCCGGTCCTGCTGATCTGGCGCTGGAAGGCTGGGCCGGCCTGAAAATTAATTATATATCTCTGCAGACCCCAGGCCGGTCTAGGCCGGCCTACTCTGAAGACCTCATATGCGATAGATCGGATCAGCTGTCGCCTCTTTAATTATATCCGACTATGACGAGAAGACGGGCTGGGAAGAGGAAGGCGGCGGCTGTGGCCGACTCGATAACCGTCAGGACCAGCACTGCAACGACTACTGCGACCGGGGCTGTTGCCGGGGCCGCTGCAGCCGGCACCAGGCACCACGGTCGCGTCGGGCTTAACGCGCGCAATAACGCTGAGCTACGTGCTAACGCACAGCATATCCTCTCGATGATCCAAGACGCGAGGCCGAGAAATACAGTGGCTGCATATGAGCCGAAGCAGAAGGAGTTCAGGGACTTTTGTGAGCGCAAGCAGTATCAGGATGCAGATACCGTTACAGAAGACAAGCTCCTCCTCTTCCTTGTTGAGGAGGTCGCAGACCGGCCGCTCAGGGCTAAGAGCCACAAGGCGGCTGAGGATACTCTACAGGAGGCTACGCGGCTTGCCTGGCGATCAGTCCGCAGCTATACGACTGCTATCACCGACCTATATCGTACGCAGAAAGCGCTCGGGGTGAATACCCACCCTTCACCCCGGGAGGATAACGTTCGGGAGTACCTCAAGTCCCTCCAGCGCCGGGATGCACAGCAGGATAAGGCTAGCTACGCCGATAAGGGCCGTGATACCCTCCTCGATGGGTATACAGAGCAGGAATTCGAACGCGTCTGCTACGAGCTCTGGGCGCATAGCAGTATGGCTGCTGAGTGCCACCTGCGGACTCTCGTGGATCTGCTGCTCGGGCACTATATGCTGACCCGAGGTGGCGACCGCCGCGCGGCCAAGATCTCGGACCTCTTTACCTTCGAGTTCGAGGAGGAGGGCCCGACCCGCTGCATGCCCCTGATCTTCACAACGCGGGCTGGGAAACAGAACCAGCACGGCCGCCTTGAGACAGCCGGGGCCCTCCGGAATAAGAACCCGGTTATCTGCATGCTGGGCGGCCTTGCCTTCTACCTCCTCTATCGGTGGGATATAGCTGCCGACGAGCTGTTTCCAGACCTTAGCCAGCGGTCTGCGTGGTATGATACCCGGCTGATCAAAGGGAGCGGGAGCAGGTATAACCATACAGCCACCCTCTCATATAACTCACAGCGAGACTGGGTCGTCAAGGCATTTGCATATGCCGGCATCGCCTCGAGGAAGAAGACGCACGTTGGCCGGAGCTCAGGGGCGAAGACGGCTGAGCTCAAGGGGATCAGCGAGGACCAGATCCGCCGCGCCGGCCGCTGGAACCAGGAGCAGATGATCGGCTGCTACCTGAACTCCCTGCCTCGCAATTTTATGCGTACAATGGCCGGGCATCTGCCACAGAAGGGGTGCTTCGAAATATGCCGTGCTAGTATCATGCCACCGGATACCCTCCTCTCTATGATCTGGCCAGACCTCGACCGTTGGAAGGGCCGGTTCGGCCCTGCCCCTAATCAGATCAACGACCTCGCGGCTATGGGGCTTACGAGCTTGCTCTCATACCTCCGTGAGGTCATCCTGCAAGACTCGGTCTTCTGATCAAGCAGTTCCCAGATAGCCCGGTCCAGTGTGGCTAACAAACCGACCGACCTAGACCGTCCCCTTCGGTCTGTCGGCTTGGGTTGGTCAAGGCTCCCGGTCGGTCGGTCTAGGTCGGTCTGGGTTAGCAGCCCGGTCGGTCTAGGTCTGATTATCTGATGCCGAGATTCTACCCGCGCTAGTTAAAGGGGTGCACTCAATGGCTACCTGCGCCACGCCCCACTTATTTTGTGGAGCGAGTTCGGGAGTGCCAAAATAAGTGGGGCGTGGCACGGGTACCTTAGGGAGGAGCCGACCAATGGCGGCCCTGGAAACCCCCAACCCAGACCGACTCAGACCACCCAATCCGACCGGCAGCTCTGGTCGGTCGGTCTGACGAGAATTGCCGGTCGGTCGGTCTGCGGTCTGAAGGTGGTCTGTCAGACGGTCTGTCAGACGGTCGGTTTGTTAGCCACACTGGCCCGGTCTGGAACCACCCGGTCTTTCAGCATGAGGCTTACTTGCAGTTCGCACAAGAGGTATCAGCCCTTGTGGAAGAAGAGGGCGAGAGGCCGAGCCAGCTAGCCCTGCTAGCCCAGGCCGTCCCAGCTCTTGCAGACTATCTCCAGTCCGTCGATACCCGCAACGACTATGGCAGCCTATAGAGGTCACTGTTGCAAAACCCCAAAAGCACGCCTGAACACGCAAAATGGGGTCCACATGATCAATGCTTTTGCCCCACAGTACATTGAGCCATGTACCTCCGTACTCAATTCTGTTGAATTCATGCCCAAACGGTCAACAGAACGAACCACAGCGGGGCCGCTACGGATCAGCGCTTAGAAGTCTCACTACCATGCAGTACCCACCTACCGGTAATACCCACTTACCGGTAAGCAAAATAAAATTTCCTCATACAAAATGCCCAATTTCACTTGCACAGTGCTTGGCCAAAATTGAAGTTATTTACATGAAACAAGCTGTGTCTTATTAAGAGTTTTATGCTGTTTCATATTATGATATTACTTTTTACGTTACAGAAGCGGTTTGGCCGCACGGGCCTAATGTATAATTTCTAAAAACGCCTCGTTCAAGAATCGGCTTCCGCCAAGTTTCATCGAATTTTTATCTGTACTAACCTTCCGTAATCACCTCGAAAATGCCCCGAATGTCTTATACAGAGAATGGCGTTGTTGAAGCCTTACTGGATGTCACAGATAACGGCCTCTCCCAGAACCAAGCCGCCCAGAAGCATGACATCCCCCAGACGACTCTCTCAGACCGATTAAGAGGCCTGCCGTCAAAGTCTGAGGTCACCCAGCCTGCCCAGCTGTTATCCAAGTCTCAGGAGTCCAGATTAGTTACCTGGATACTTCGACAAGAGGCCTTGGGCTATGCTCCTTCCCACAGTCATGTTCGCGCCACCGTCGCGGCCCTCTTGAGACAACAAGGCTGGGAAAGGCCTATCGGTGTACACTGGGTAGCCAGGTTCATGAAACGACATTCGACCATGCCTTCGATAGCTCCTTCGAGGTGGTCAAGTAGGATCTCGAAGACAGGGAAGTATTCATCGAAACTACCGCAAGTCGACCTCGCGTCGGGAATACCGTCGCCCTGAAGTTGCTTGGTGGCGATTTCAAAAGGCTTCAGAAGCTTGACAAGCACCTCGATAACCTTCCAGTCGTACGCACTTAAGCGGTATTGCAGAACTGCCGGTTTCGGTTTGTCACAAAGACCCTCAGTTTCCCAACGGTTCTGAACGTCATTGAAGAACGTATTGAGAGCCGGGCGGAGACGAAGGGCCCTCTCCATCATCCGCATATCCGAGTTCCATCTGGTGGCATTGTTGAAGACCCAGTGAAGTGTTGATTCATGGCCGGATTCCTTGCGCTGAGACTGAAGAAACTGCTCGTACAGCTGTGTAGTCGCTCGCAGCTGAATCCCGATGTTGTGAAGCATTCCTGGGGCGCCGTTCTGGCTGTACTCCCTGAAAGTGGCTCCATTGATCTCCTCCGGGGCTGGGTGGGATGATAGGAAGTCCTCTTCTGGGATACCAACGGCAGTGTTCGCTTCAAAGTCTTCATCCGTGCCGTCTTCCATTTCTACATCCAGGGCCTCGTCGATAGCTTGATCAACTAGCTCCTCATCGTCATCTTGATCGTCACCATCGGCAGCGATGATTGCCGCGAAGTTCTCTCGCTTCGAACCGTATAGCATTGCCCGCACGCAAAGGTTGAAGATATGCGCAGCGCAGCGGATCCGTCGCTCTTCAGCTGAGAAGCCGTGTTCAAAGGCAAGATCGTCCATGCAGGTGTCATTGTTGGCAGCATTGTCCAGCGTGAAGTAGCCAACCTTGTCCGGGTCGTTGATTTGCCAGAATGCGAGCGTATCAGCGACCTCATCGGCAAGTGAAGCACCGTTGTGTCTGCCCGAGAGAGGTCGAAGCCCAAGGAGGATTCGGTGTTGGACAAAGTGGTTATCAATGAATTGAGCGTTGATCCCAAGAAACGAAGTGTACGACTTGGATGTCCAACCGTCGAAGGAGAAATGAATCTGGGATCGAGCGCTGCGCAATACTTCGGTTACCGGCCCAACGGCACCCCTATACTCGGATTCGAGCATGCGAAGCAGCGTCTTCGCAGAGGGAATGTGGGTCACATCAAGGAGGGGATTGCCGTAGAGAAGGATCCGCTGGAACCGCTCGGTATTGACAATGTTGAACGGCAGGTTATGGTAGGTAATCCAGTCGAGGAGGAGTACTCGGAGGCCTTTGCTGCTGAATCTTCCACGCAGCTTGCTGAGAAGAAACTGGTCGTGGGGATTATTGAAGTCGGCATCGATGAAGTCGGTGATGGTCCTGTCATTTAGAAATGAGCCCCCCACGGGGCTGGCAACTTTGTTCGGGGCCTGCCAAATCAGCACGTTATCAAACCGTAGATGAGAGGCACACACTTACAAGAATCCCGTGGGCTTTGAGTAGGTGTTTCCTGATGGCGACTCCTGTCGAGCAGACGAAACAGAAGTCCGACTTCTTCTTGAAACCTCGGGCAAAGCAGTCGGCGCAGATCCACTTCAGCTTATTTCCCTGCCGCGAGGTGGAACGGTCCTTAACGCGATACCCATATTGTTGCCACCATGCCCTCGTGTCTTGGCCGCCAGTATAACGCTCGAATCCGGGCCATTTGGCCCACTCTTGGCGGCCCCAGAGTGTCCAATCGACCTGAATAAAATCGGCGGCAGTCCCGCGAGGACGGAGCGATGGCGTCGTTGGTAACGAGGTTCCTGGAGACGGGGCGGCTGGCGAAGAAGAGAATTCATCGCGCTCCATCACACCTGGTTGATTCCAGGACGAAGGGCTCAAAGAGAATGGTTCGGAGGACATCATGATGCAGTTAGTTTAGCTAGTCGGACAGATGGGTCGCGTGGGTCGAGGTTGTTGGAAGCCATTGAGACTGCACTGAGGCTCAACTTAAATCCATCCATCCATCACTGACTGGACAGGCATTGAGGCCAATAACACGCGTATATCACGCCCATTTTGTCGTCAACGCGAAATTCGCGACATCTCCACTGCCGCTAAACATGCAAAGTCTTGTGCGATTAATGATGCATTCGCGAGCAGCGCGAACGACGACCTGGCGCGCCCAAGGCGAGAGAGTCGCGCGTGAAGCCGCCATTGTATGTAAGAAGCCAAACTTTGTTCCGACCATTGGTGTACGGAGATTCTCCCAAGTGCCGCTCCACCAAGCTCTCAGTACTTGGCAACCAGCCAAATCGGGGTCTCGTTGATTAGGTCCACAGACGGCGGGGTAAGATTCCATATATTCCCTGTTCCACTTGCGTCAGAGGCTCCTATTGGCTCATGCCACAAGCACAGACGCATCACTACGGGCCAACCTTGAAAAAAAGCCATCCCGTTCCTCAGCCAAGTCCCCATACCGGCTTTGCATTTGTGCTCATTCCAATCTGGCGTCAACTCAGAATGGATTCTTGAGATTTTCGTAAACCGTTCACGTGAGGGGGCGGAACGGTGGGGACTTGAAGTTGAGGCTCTAAGTGGATGCACCTGTGAAGTCGCTGGTACATCGGTTCACAGGCAAAGCTGGCTTTAGGCGCAGGTCCCCGAGACAACCAAAAAGTTAAAGAGGGGGGCAGGAAGATCATGAATCCCATACTCGCCAATGCGTGAAAACTTCGAGCCGGACATATTCATCTGATCATGCCAAAGCTGGCATCAGTAAAAACTTTTTAGTAGAGAGAAATACGGAGACAGTTTTTTTTTGGTTTCCTTTTCTTTTCTTTTTGCTTCCTTCCTATTATTCTGCAGAAAAAGCGGCGTGTTTTTGGTGATCCCCCTCTCTGTATAGCGGCCTGTTACTGGGACAAACATACCCTATACTCCTGCGTTAAAAACTACTGTAAGCCCCACCTACTTTATATGACGACCTTGGTACCTCCTAACTTGGGAGGTTGTATTTTACAGCAACAATAACTCATACTTCAACCCCCCACGCGACAAATATATATTCCTCATAGAAACCGACTCAGTGTTTTATTACAAGATTAAATTGGGTTGTCCGTTACATTCCTGTAAAGCACCTGCTGGTGGGTTGTTTGTCGGGATTGTGACCATGGGAGTCATTCCCAACTGGTAAACCTGTTGGCAATTCGCGGTGGCCGGCGCGTTAATCCGTTCCGGGCTGGGGGGCGGTTAGACAGGGTCGTGACAGGGATGATTGCTGTAGTTGCAGGGTACCTAGTATGCTATGGGCTTTTAGGGTCATGTTATGTACTTGCTAACACATCTTAGCATTAAGATGAATTGTTGTCAGTGTTGATCGCGTTGCACTTCTCGCGTCGAGGAGAGTGCCAGGGGCCTCTTAACGCGTCTGCGAATCGCGCTGAATCCACCCCTTGGTCATGATTCGCACATCGCGTCTCTCTGTTCGACCGAATCGATCGATTTTCGATCGAACGGGTGGGGGCGATCGATTCGATGTCGAATCATATGGTGACCTGTACGGTTCGAATGTCGAATAGGATGCCCCACATTCGAATCGATGTATTCGAACATCGAACAGGACATGTCACATTCGATTCGATGCGAATCGAATGGGCACGCCGCAGATTCGACATCGAATCGAATGCCAAGAAATTCGATTCGACATTCGTAAGACTTGGCATCGAATGAATCTATCGATTCGATTCCCGTTCGTTCGATGTCCATCCCTGTACCAAACAATGGTCATATGTGAATATGACAATGATATACTGGGCAATACTCCGACGCTGGCAGTATCTCCAGCAATGCAGTCGCACTTTAGGCGACGACGATGATCGACCTGTCGAGAGCACAGGTGGCAATGGCAACGGCAACGACGCAGAAGCCAGCGCGGAGAGGGTCTTGGTGGGAAGCGATGGCAAGAAGCTACCATACATTGAAGCCTACCAGCACCGTGGAGAGGTGCTGCAGACATTATGCTTCTATGACTACGTGTCGCTTGTTAAATTACAAATGAGGATAGATTCATCTTCCAAGGAGTTGGTGAAGATAGAATTTGAAAGGAACTGGAAGCCGGGAAGGGACTGGATGCAGGTTCTAAGACCCCCGGGGAAGTATGCAGTGCCATGCATGAACGGCTTTCTCGATATGGACTTTGATATTGACACAAACTCAGACAGATACCGCAGGTAAGCACAAGCCATAGAACAGGTGGGTCGGATAAACGAGGAGCATACACTAATATTAGCACCAGAGCTGCAGTACAGCACCTCGCACTCTTTGTGCCATGGGAGAAGTTCACTACAGCAGCATCAGGCGATATTAATGAAATCTGGGAACATTGGAGACGGCGACTCCCCAAAAGGCTCCAGACTATCGCAGGCAACATCCAGTTCTTGAAACGATCAGCGGAAGATGCGCGGCGAGATGCAAAGCAGTGGGGGGCTGTGGGGGACGACGCCGTTTTGGATGATATCGACGCTATGGGGTATGATCTCCAAGATCCCACAGGCCCAGTAAAAGCATATCGCCCAGACCAGCTTGGCCAGCTTGGCCGATTGATTGAGACAGTACGAGGTGCTACAGCCCCTAACCAGGTGACCGCTGATTCGGAGCATCTTTTGCAGATGCTAGATCAGCTCCGCGAAGTTCAAGCAGATATCACCGACTTTGCGGATGATGTCGAGACTGTCGCTTCCGCAGAGAACCCAGAGCAGTGCCAGCCAACCATGGTAGCCAGGAGCGAGCTCCCAACGCAACGTCAGCTTAGAGGGATCAAGAGCAAGCAGGATCAAGCTGACAAGGAAATTGTGAAAAGAATCCAAGGCAGTGATGGAGCTCAGATTACGCAAATCACAGCTGCCGGCGCAGAAGCATCAGTGAACCATACCTTCGCGGGCGCTGGAGAAGATATTATAGAAATGTCAGAAACAGACACCCGGAACACCCAAAGACCCAGTGCCAGGGTCGCCTTTGGACCGTCGACAACATTCCTCCATGCCGGTCGGGAGATTGCACGGAGGTTCACCTTGAACGAGCGGCAGGAAATCGCCTTCCTTTTAGTGTGTCGCCATCTCGACACCATTAGGAACGAAGATGACAGCGATGATTTCGGTAGCAGTAATGTCGAGAACAATGATAACGCACAACTATGCGAGTTCCTGGGTGGGGAGGGCGGCACTGGGAAGTCCAGGGTCATCGAGGCGTTGGCGGAATTGTTCGCTAGCAAAGACATATCGCACAGGCTGCTCATGACGGCGACATCGGGGGCCGCAGCAGCGCGGATCAACGGCGTGACTATTCACTCCGCCTGTGGGTTGCAACCCAACGCATCCGACGGCAATGCCGACGATGGCAGCACGGTAACCTACGTGGACGGTGATGCCCGAAGAAGATGGAGCGAAAAGTGGCTGCTCATCATTGACGAGGTGAGCATGCTGGGCCTCCAGACGCTCTCCAACATCAACAAGCGGCTTTGCGCCTCCCGAGGATCGAATCAGGATTTTGGCGGGATCCCAGTGGTGCTGCTATCAGGAGATTTCCACCAATTCCGCCCAGTGCAAAACAAGTCGCTATTGACGCCATGGTCCGCCCTCAGGATTGCGGACGAAATGAGGGCGCACGCACTCTGGGCTCGATTTACCACCGTCGTTATGCTCATCGAACAGGTGCGCGCAGCGGGGGACCCGGAGCTGCAGCGACTGCTGACTCGGATCCGGAAGGGAGAGCAAGACGAGTCCGACATGGAGCTTCTTAACAGTCGGTGCTTCAGGGAAGGACAAGCCATACCATGGAGCAAGGGCATGACAGTAGTTACACCGCTCAATAGCACCAGGTGGTGCCTGAACATGGATGGCGTTTTGGCATTCCAGAGGAACAAACAGAAACCAGTCCGGATATTTCTATCCGAGCACCGTTGGGGCAAACCCAATATATTGCCGGTAACGGAGGAAGAAGCTACGCTTATAGCCAGCGTCGGGGATGACAGTAAGATCTGTGTGCCGGCCACGTTCATGTTCGTGCCTGGTATGCCGGTTGTGGTGACCATGAATATAAACCCAGGCCTCAAGCTCGTGAATGGCGCCAAGTATACAGCGCTAGAAGTTATACCAGACAGCAAAAGATTCCCAGGCTATCAAATCGCACCGAATATCATCCTCCACTTTGGACCACCTGCCGGCATCATCCTATCGTCCGAGTCAACCAAGAAGTTCGAATTTGATGAAATGCCACCAGGCACAATCCTGCTTACTCCAACGAGTGCCCAAATACCAATCGAAAAGAAGAAGAGGGTCAAGAAGAGGCCTTGGCAGAGGCATAATGTGAGCCGCCGAGGACTTCCCTGCACTGCGGCATTCGCATGCACCGATTACAAAATCCAAGGCGAAACCCTCCTCCAGATTGCGCTGGAGCTGCGAGGAACCGGGACAAAGCTGAACAACAAGACTGGACAACTCGAGCCACGAAAGTGCGATCCATATAGCCTGTATGTGCAGCTATCGCGGTGCAAATCGCTGGACGGTATTATATTGCTGTCAAAGGCGCGTGTGGAGGATATAGTCGGGAATAAAATACCACAGGAAATGTTTGATGGCGAGGCTAGGCTGGAGCAGTTGTGCGGGGGAACATTAAACGAGGCCCGGTTATCATTCTTGCACCCATCCGCACAATACGAGCAATAATATAGTTTATAATTTAGATAGCAAATCCAAGGAACAGTCAGGTATGTATTGATAGATGACGGGTGTTTTGTTCCGATTCCATTGCCCCCGTCGTTCTGGCTCTTTTACGCAGGGGACGATGATGCCCCCCGCCCGGAACGTCCGGTTCGCGTTCGATGACGATGATGACGTCTGAAGCGGGGTTCTCAGCACCAGACATCCACCAAAGACCCAACATCTCCGCCAAGTGGCTACCAGGTATTCCAAAAGTCATCAAGGAGATCAATGAGATTTTGAGAAAAATCAATCCACTGTTTCCTATATATATATTATATATTAAAAATCCGATAACTAACTATAATGTAATAGATTTCACCTAACTGAAGCAGAAGCAAGAATATCACAAAATGCACACGACAAGAGCAATGACATTATTATAAATTAAAAGCTCACGTGAATCTCACGTGATTCTTATCAGAACATCCCCAGCCAATGAAGACTTCTTTACACTTGATGTCGCGGGGAGGGAGGATTAGGACCATTAGAGGGACCCGGGTGTGGTATTAATCCGGGCCAACAAGAGGTGCAGTTGCGCTTCCGAATCGGGTAATGGAGATTTTGGGGGTGAAAAATCCCAGAGCTTAAGAAGACCTTTCGTACCGAAAGGCATTTTGACGGCGACAGTATCCTTGCCAGCAAGCATAAGCCAATCTAACTCAGTCTTGACAGCGACAGTATCCATGCCAGTAGCTGTGAACCAATCTGATGAGGCTATGGGAGCGACAGTATCCTCGTCAGAATCCACGAACCAGTCATGCGGCTTGATGGTTACACTATCCCTGTCAGCATCTGTGATCAATTCGATGGAGTTTTTAACCGCGACTGCATCCTTGCAGGATGAACCGCGATACTAATTCAACAAGCTACCCTATAGACATTCCACCCGTTGTCGTAAACTTCTCTCCGCAAGAGAGATAGCACGGCCTTCACAATGTGCGTCGTCCAGGGTACAGTCGCCTGAGCGGCCAATTACAGTCATGGACTACACCTAAGCTTGGGTGGTCTCGTCGCGTAAAATAAACTGCTCTCGCCTCCATCCAAACCACTTCGCCATTCTCTTGCCCATGGCTCGTAACATAACAGGATCAATCTTGGGAACAGGGTGAGGTTTATGAAAGACAATCTTGCCCTCCCCGTCAAGTTTCTTAAACGACACTAGCGACCCGCCGTTATTCCTCGCAGTGAATCCCGCATCTACCATAGCGTGAACGAACCTATCCTATAACACGTCCTTTACAACGTCGTCTTTCTCAGGGAACATCAAGAGAAATATGTCCAACGATTGCTTCGTCACTTTAATGGCGGTAGCTTCGAATACTGCGATAGATTCCGCTTGTGCACCTGGAGCGCTGTTATGTGCCGGCGTAATATCGTCTTTTTGTTTACCTCTTGTTTTTGTCTTTTCTGGGCGCGGGGCAATCGTTGTGGTCGCTGAACAGCTTTCGGCCCCGTCAAAGAAATTGGTTGCGGGTTGTGGGCTATCGGATTTCTGGATAGCAGCGAGAATTGCATCTTCTTCTCGCTGCTTGTCTTGCAGATACTATTCACTCAGATTTGCCGAAACGACTTCAAGAAGGCTATCGACCTCTGCCGGACCGAAAGCCGAGTCTTCAAAGTCTTTCCTGATTGCTCTTCTTATCGACTCCCAGAACTTCTCCAGAGCCGCGCGGAGCTCCTGGGACTGCGCAAGCCAGACAGAAGTCTTTGGACCTGTCGGTGTCTTTGCAAGATAGAAGTCCTTGAAAAGTGACATCCCGATGCCTTGGGGGTCGCCGAAATCTTCCACGTTACTACTCCTGGATCGTAGCCATCTCCAGACGTGTCTGTCTTCTGTCTCTTTGACCTCCTTAAACGTTCTCGCTGCATTCTGCGGTCTGTGGAAACGGACAGCCATGAGCATTTCATGGCAAGTCGCGAGATCCGAGAGCAGCTGGTAGATGACCTCATCCAGTCTAGCCCTCTCAGACGGGTTATTAGACATGTGCTCCTGCAGCATTGCGAAGAGCATGGAGTGATCAAACGTCCTTTGGTCGTCGGGCTTTGCGAGTAACTGGACCAGACACCAATAAAGGCGGTCATTAGCGAGGCACTCCTGTGTGTTGGCAGACTTCTTTTGGCGGAGGACGCCAATTGCATTGGGTAGTTTCGCACCAGGCTCAAAGATCCAGTGTTCCTGAAGCCCTGGAACGTACGGCAAGAGTTCCCGAAGGCAGCTGGCTCTGTATATGACCTGATTGACAAGGAGAAGCTCCAGGGCGCCGAGAGCTCGGTCGTAGGAGACCGGCAAGGTGGTGCCAGGATATGTGCTGTCGCGAAATCTCTCTCTCGCCGCGTCGACATGTCTGCACTCCATTTCAATCCAACGCCACAAATGGTGACTCCGCACCTTATAACGGATGCGTTGCGTAACCATCACACCTTTCTGGGTATCCGAGGCCTTCTTAAAGATCTCGGTTGCAAACATGAGCTTCAGATGCCGCCGTATGTATGTAGCATCGCACTGCAAGTACCAGAGATGATCTCCCGTTGCATCTAGTCGAGTCTTGGCGAGCGAGACCAAGTATTTACTGTCAAGTTCTGGCGGTGGCGAGAAGGCTTGGTTTGTGTGTGGAGTCCACTCCACCACTCCTGTCTCTCTAAACGCCGCGTTGCTGATGAGATTTATCCACTTGTCGATTCGAGGGGGTTGCGAGTTGTCGACGCCGTCAAGGATCTTCGCCACGATGCTGCAGAGAACTTCCATGAGGTACCCTGCGCTTCAAGAACCAACATTGCCCGGGGAAACCCAAGGGTATCAGCTCGATGGGCTGCCTTTTCTTCCCAGTCTACCAGAGATCCATATCTTTCTCTATACATAACAACAGATTTCGCCGAGAAGTCGACGTCAAAGAATCCAGCTGCCCAACTGAGAGTGAGTTGACTGCTATCGAACGCTGCCCAATGCTGAGGAGAATAGGCTGTCCTATAGTGCAACAAAGCAAAAAGAACCGCAGGATTAGTCTTCAAGACTTCCACGTTCAGCCAGGGCAGGAGGAGTTGGCGTCTCCGCTCCTGGCTCCTCGCATATGTGATAAGCATCTCGCGTAGGTAGGTGTATCGCGGGATAAGCCACTGCTTCTCTTCGAGGTCCGGAGCCGCCTCCTTCAACAAAGCCTCGCGCTTTGCTTGGCTTCGCTTTTTCCACCGACTCAGCAAGACATCAGCAAAGATATGCAGACGTTCTGTCAATGCGCCTCTCAGATCGTGAATCTGCTTCACGGTCGAGAGCACCCTACTGTACAATAACAATATGTCGCAGGGAAGGCATGATCTTCACGGCCTCAGGAAACCACTGCGTTAGTAATCCAGCTATATGCTTTAACTCTGCGGGATGGAGTACCCCGCACCACAGACAACCTCAGACATCAATCAATCAACACATTGCTGCTGCTTATCATATTCACTCTAACCCTTTAAGCACGCTCAGTGCGACACAACATCACTGGAGTAGAGTTGATTTTTCGGGCCCCACTTTGCAAGGGGTAGAGTTCGTTTTCGCGTCCGCCAATCATAGCTTTGCTAGATATTACATAAGGAGCGATACCAAGAGTACTTTCAACCTCGCTAGTCGCAGCTGCACAGCTTCTTACAAGAAGTTAACTCAATGCTTCTCTCTAGACAGGGCTTTCCAGTCCAGCCAGAGCCCTCTCCCACCACGGTGCGTACTCATCACGGCACCACCCAGCGAGTCGGTGTAGAGCAGCCATGATAGCATAGCATCCATGCGAAGAGTCCGTGGAACCAATCTGAATGCTCTCCCAGATAATCTGCGATACATTTAGCACACATATGGTGAAAAAAAGGTGAGAAACCCTACCAGCTTATCAGGTGTGCGCTGGGCAAAGTCAACACGCCAGTCAGCCCCATTTACAAAGATGAGAGGAAGCATAGGAAGGTTGTCGGGGTTGGCACGAGGCAAAGACTCGAGGTGTCGAAAGTGAGCGCGCACCCAGGCCCCAAGCTGGGCAGGACCAGCAACTCCGCCGCCAGTCGACTTCGGATTCTTGGTCTCGATGCTGATGGCTAGCGGCGTGTCTCGCTCGTCGGTCAGCTGAACATGGGCCACCCGGTTGTTTTCGTTACGGGCTTTGAATGTCTTGATGGCTGAGTAGAGCGATGAGTCTTCTCGCGGCTCGAAAAATATGCCGTAGTCGATCCTTACGTCAGTGATGAAGGGGTCGGGGTCGCGGAGGCCCGGGTAAATTCGACATTGCGTTCTATTAGTGAGAACAATTGTCAGCTCAGTCTCAGTCTGTTATTGGAGAGACATGCATGTTCTCATATGAGACGTCATCTTGCTCACCCTCGTAGAGGGCAACCTCCAGGAGCGGAGAATGAACGCTGTCGTTCCAGGTCGACTCGTGAGAGAGCCGGTCCTCGCATTCGGCCGTCCGGCGACGAATCATGCTTAGCCGCCTGTAGATGTACTCGTCATTGGCTTTGACACTTTCGTCTGTGGTGGGCGGCATGAACCAGCTCTCTAGCGGAGGATTGGGGAAGCTCTCCTGCGTCGTGATTCGAGCCTTGCACACTCAACCGTCAGTCATTGAATGCAAATTTCAAAGAAGATATATCTTACGCACCTTGATGCTATGAGGAATAGTAGGCCCATTGATCAAATGTGCAAGGTCTTGCATGAGCGGCGTGATGTGAGCTATACCCGCCGTCATCCTCTTCCGCTGAAGCGGATACTGCTTTGCATTGCGCAGCTCCAGTTCCCGCTTCCTGGGGCTCGACGATCCAGAGCTTATAGGAATTGACCTGCTAGATCCGCTCTCGGACGGTCCATAGCCTAGACTTGCATCTGAGAGACTCGCTGCTCCTAAGAGACCTGTCAGTGGCAAGCCTGGGATCAGCATTCAGTAGGTCGAACCTTTTTGACGTGGCGTGGCGTCCAGATCTGGTGCCGAATCCCTCGTCCTGGGCTTCTTGGGGCTTCCTGGGCGCGACATGATCCCGATGTCGAAGTTGTCGTCCTCCCAGTCATCGGGGTTGACTTCCTCGATTTGGCGTATCCAACCCTCGACGAACGTGGTGGTAGGATCAGCCACAGAATCCCCTTCAAGATACCACATGAGCTAAAAACAGCTGAGAAGAGCGAGCCTGCGTATGTTGTGCGATAGCTGGGAAGGTGTAAGCGGTATAACGTGTCAAAGGATGGCGCGGAATCGCGAATGTTTTTGTTTAGAATCTGGTATTTTGCGGTCGGTGGGGCAACATTGGACCGGGGTCTATTCCAGGTAGTGGGATTGCGCAGCCGGCCAATTACACAGACAAGGGCAAGCCCCGCAATCTCATCAGCACCAGCTCCAGGGTAGGTAAGGTAAGGATTTTATTTCGCCCGGGGGGACACACCCCAGAGGGCCTTTGCGCTAAGCTATTTTCGTTTCGTACAGTTCTTCCATAATCACCCGAAGCCCCAAAATTTCACTTTTACTAACTGGTCCAATCTGGTGTATATGCCGTGACAGGCCTGCTTGAAGGCCAATTTCCCCAAGTGTTCAGCATCCTATCCTCAGCAGCTGAAGCCCGGTCTGTCAAAATGAGACTGTATGATGTTAGTAGGATTCAATCTGAATAGTTAGTGTGCCTGAGGCTTCTGGTCCATGTCAAGCCTCCCCGTTGCAATGGCAAATTTGATCGTCGCCCGTACTGCCCGCATGTCTGGTGCCCATTTGTCATCGTCAGACGCTGCCTTTCCTCCCAAGAAGAACGAGAGGTTTCCCATCTTTGCTTGTGGGCATTTCAGCATGCCTTCCCGTTGCTTTGTCCACTTTGTGCATCTGAATAGAAAATGTTTAACTGTCTCGGATGCTTGACCACATTCGCACATATCCGATTCTACTGCGCCGATGTTGTGCAGAAAGCTGTTTAGTCTTGCCATTCCGGTGCGGAGCTGGATCAGCACATCTGCTTCTTTCCTCTTCAGCAGGTCATATATAGTACGGGTATGCTTGCCAGGGAGTGCCATGTCTATCGTCGTCGAGTATTTCCCAGCTCTTCCTGGCGGCATTCTTGTTTGCTGCTGCTTGGTTATGACTAGTCTTATCCTCGTGGATCTTGCTTGATACAGTGGTATATCTGGTCTGCAGTCTCTTTCAGTGGCCCGCCGGGCTGCTGCTTTGGCTTTTGGTCCTAGTGCGAAGTCTTCTTCGCCTGCTGGAACCCACATCATCTGGAGAGAGTTGCCCTCGTCTTCAAGGCGCCCGACATGGTCGTAGATTTGCCGAATGGCCTGTTGGCCGGATTGTTGACGCGGCCGCCGTATGGCTTCTAGTGCGGAACGGTTGCTCGTCACGACGGTTATAGTCCGTCGACGCAGTCCGAGTGGCATGCATCTCAGCGCCATCTCTATAGCTCCCAGCTCGGCTATGTATAGGTTCAGCTCCTCCGTCGACCCAAGAGTGATGGAGTAGCTGGCCACTAGTTCGTCGGCATTGTTGAGGGCCGTATCTCGTACGACACCTCCCATGCCTACCATGCCCTCTCTCTGCGAGGAGCAGGTGGCAATGACTATGCCATCCACCCTCTTTGCTTCTTCCACCGCTCTCTCCCGGTCACGGTCGCACGACACCGGGATACGGTCTCTCCATGGCGGTAACGCGTACTCCCGAATGATCTCTATTCGTTCAGTGGCTGTTTCCCCTTGTACTTGAGCAATCCTCTGCATCGGCGACACGAATCGGCGACACACTTTCATCACCTTCAGTGTCGCCAACGGGTGTGTCCTGGGAAGGGTCCGGAGGTTGATCCAGAACCTTGTTGCTGCTTGCGCATGCCGTTCTTGCACCGGTTGGATGCTAGCTTCGGCCTCTGCCACCGCCGTTGCGACGGTCCGGAAAGCTCCCGTGATCGCCTGTGCTCCGATCATCTGTGCCTTGTCCAGCCAAGCAGCTTCTCTAATGCCACATGAGTGCGCCCACACGCTGGACGCATAGTCCATGGTGGGAGCTACTGTTGCTACGAACAGTTGTCTCGCCGTCCGCGGTGACAGCATCTTCAGTCTTCTCAGACACATAGCAGCCGAGAGCCCCTTTGCAGCGGCTCTAGCTATGTGTTCCTTGTACCGCAGTTTCGCGTCCACGACCACTCCCAGGATCTTGGCGCTCGCCTTGGGCTTGACTACTTTTCCTTTGATCATGAACGGTTTGTCGCTGGTACGCGCGGCGTTTCGAGTGAAATGCACGATGGCCGTTTTGTCTCCGTTGAACGTCGCACCGCTCCGTCTTTCCCAGCCCAGTGCTTCGTCTATAATTGATTGGATGCCGGCTCGATTCTCCTCCGCTGTTGATCCCACCACCCAGGCTGAGTAGTCGTCCACGAATGCCATCGAACCACCTTTTGCGTTGATTCTTCTCTGCACCAAATCTGCATTGAAGAACAGGAACAACACCGGCGACAGCGGTGATCCTTGCGGGAGACCTGCCTGTGGCAGCTCCCGTAGCTGCGACGTGTGTCCATTTACCACCACGGTGGCCATTCGTCCAGAGCAGAAGGCGTCAATCCATCTCACCAGTCCATCAGGTATGCCTCTCGCCTTCAGCCTCTCCAGGAGTCGTTCTTTGAACACTCCGTTGTAAGCGCCTTTGACGTCGAAACTGATCAGACTGAGCACCCTGCCGGCCCTCCATGCCTTATAGATCTGCTCCTGCAGCAGAACCAGTGCTTGTTCGGCTGACCTTCGCTTCCTTGCCCCGAAGTGGTTTGCGGGCAGCAATCCATAGCTTTCCTACGGAAGGCTATATCAAGGACTGGGTCAAAACGCATTTTCCCTTGATTTTCGTTGATATAGGGACCCCACCCCGGCCATGCCGCCGCCCCCCTTTTTTTTTTCGATATTGATTACCCGTAGGGTCTTACTAAGTGGCGGAGCCACTTAGTAAGACCCTACGGGTAATCAATATCGAAAAACACCCTACTACCGCATGAAATTCAAATTAATGTGTGAGGAGCTGTCTGTAGGCGAACGGCCACGTAACCACTCGTCCGCCCTCGAACGGTCCCGCAGGCATCATGTCTCGTTTCCAAACACATCCGGAATCTATTATCGTCCGCTATGGCCCCAACTCTTCTGTACTGCCCCGGCAGGGCCCGTACTCAGCATGCCACGATCTTACGGGATAACCCTACTTGGGTCTCCTGTCCGTATTGTGGTAGCCTCCTAGCCGATGAGTCCTCTGCCGCTCCCTCTGACGATGACTTCGAAGAAGTGGACTTCGAGAACCTACCCGATCGAACCCGAAAAGCCTTTACAGCGACCGAACGCCCTCAGCCGGCACTATACGCCTCAAACACAGAGTCGCAAGCGGTGTCTACTCATCGGGCCGGCGTAACCGCTTTCTCCTCTGCTCTCCGAGAAGCGGAAAAAGCCCGTCAGACCAGTATTCGGAACGATAAAAGCAAGGCTGAACAGAGCAGTACGGAGCTTGTACAACCCCGTAAAATCGGAATATCCTTACATTTATACGCCGGGAATTACTGTACGGCCGAGTCTGGTGGTATCGAGACTCTAGAGTGGTTCGACGTCATGGCTGTACACAGGTTTCCGATAGCCGTACAGTTCAGTACGGCCCTGGAAGCAGACACGCACCAGCAATTGATGTCCGCTATCATGAAACGATTCTTTTCGAACTCGGGGGAGTGGGCGAAGCTAGTGGAACGGGAGTGGACAGCCATTCCTATCGATGGAAAGCCATCGAGCCTGAACTTAAATGTCCGGTTCTGCGAGGCAGCGTACGAGTCCACTCAGCTCTGGGCGTTCCTGTTACAAACAGGACTTCTACCTCGATCGGAAATCCGCTTACACCTGCGCACTGGTGTCTCAGCGAACCAACCAGAACGGGACGAAAAGGTTAGCACGAAGGGGAAAAGGACGGTACTAGCCCAGCCGCGACGACGCAAACGTGATCAGGGCTCCTAATAGTGCAGACCACTTAGACTATTAGTGCAGACTGCAGATCAGGGCAGGGAATACGGACGCCCGGTGTGGACGCTAAGTACGCTAGGTTGTTGGCATGGTGTTACAAAACCAGGGTACCCATGATTGTTGCTGTGCCAACCATTTTGTTTTGGATATTTCTGATCAATTCACTGGTACGATCCGGATCAACAAGGCTCGTTTCAAGGGGCGCATCATCCTAGTCGTCAATCCATGAACGCCCGTCGTGGATTGATTATTGATCTTGGATTGTAGTCTGCACTAATAGTGTAAATGGTCTGCACTATTAGGAGCCCTGAACGTGATACGTCCGAGGCACTCGCTAGTATTACGGTCAAGACCGAGAAAGGGTCTACTTCAACAGCCAAACGAATCAAAACGGAAGCGGATGGGTCAGTACAGAAGATCAACCAGAAAGTAGCCATACCGGTCAAGACCAAGGCTGGCGGGTCAACTCAACAGGAGTTAGTCAAGGCGGAGGTGAACGAGCCTGTCCAAGCGGTTAAGGCCCAGGACGGAATCGACAAGCCCGTTCAGCACATATCTGAAGGAGGTGGCACAGACGATGGTTGCAAAGATCCATGTGGGGATGACACTCTGCCGGCCGACCCCTTCGCAGTATTCAAGGGTACACGTTCACACGCGAAAGCTTCCGAACAAGACGGCATGGAGACTATAAACCTCGCTGGATAGCTAGTCCCGAGCTGACCCGGTTTCTGAATTTATATCCCATTGATTGCCGGAGTCTTCCGTACCTCCACGTACATGCCCGTCCAGATCAAATCCCCGTGTCCTTAAGGCGTCCTCGAGATGTTGAATACCCCCGGTTGGCGGCTCCTGAAGCTGTAATCGGGGGTTACCTCTAGATTTATGGTGATCTTCGAGTTTTTCCCGTAAGTAAACGTACGAGCGATAAAGAGGAATCTCGACACCATTAACATAACGCGGTTCGCCCCCCTCCCAAGCCGAACGGCTAAGTACGGACTTGCAAAGCGCTAATACCTCGGCAGAGAGATATAACGATAGATCAAACGATCTATGACCAAGAAGCTCTTCCATCTCCTCTAGAACGGTCGGAATGATTGGCTGCCCGTAATCCTCCGTACTGGACTGTTCGGGATGGTGAAAGAGGACGTACGGGACCCCAGGAACAACATGAGGTCGGTTCGACTGTTTGCGGATGTAATGGTTATTCCATACCCGTACAAAGGCGCGCAGGTCCGTATCTAAAGGTTCCATATATATATATAGAAGGGCAATCTGGTCGTAGACATGGCTTGGTTCGAAAAGCCCGATTGTGTGTAGGGTCCCGAAGACAGTCTGTACGGGTTAGTACGGCGCCGTTCGGGGACGCTCGGAAGCGCTCCAGAGTGTGCTTACCCGCCAAAACTGCGAACGGCCCTTACAAAGGCGATTCCACCAGCTCTCGATCTTGACGTTGTGGATGCTCTTGCCGTACACAAAACAGTCCTTAAACTGAATTGGTACAGCCTCGCCCGTGAGTGGTTGTACCCGCTCGCGCCCAGTTTGACTCGAGTGGTACCAATGGAGGCCAGCAACAACCGGAGTTTCCTTCCCACGATCAGCCCGTATAATCCGAGGCGTAAAGCCAAGTTCGCGAACGACCGAGAGATATTGAAGCCCAACGCCGATGGACGTGTGCGTACTAAAGCCAACGAAAAACCAAGGGATATATCTCGAGTAGGCGTCAATCCCAGCGTAGATCTCAAAGCCGTACGGCTTTAATTTGTCGTACGCATCGATAGACCAGATAAAATTTGGCCCGGGGCAGGTCCAGCCCGTACGGCGCCGTCTGAACTCGTCCAACCGGTCCCGGAAGCTCCGTTGATGGACTTCTTTATAGGCAGAGTAGAGGACATCTCGGCTTGCAGATAATCCTTGTTGGCGCAGTTCCGTTCGGAGGTATTCGCGCCCGTACCCTACCAAACGGCGTGTAGGATCAACCGCCTGGGTGATACGATCGATGGCTTGTTCTCGTAGGGTAATGTTTTCTTCCCGAGTATGCCGCTTCCGGAGGCCCATCTCTTGACGTAGCCGTACGAGGCCTTCGTGGGTAATAGAAAACCCCTCGGATTGTAGTACTTGGAGTAGTCGATTGTCCGTAAGGTAGTGTTCGAAGAAGTGAAAGCGTAAACGGTCCCGTAGGGTATCGTTCACTTCCGTACGGCCCTCACGTCGGAGTCCCCAAAGTCGAAGAAATCGCTTCAAGACAGTTTCGGAAGCAGAAACGTTCAGGTCCGTCCGGAGCCATTCGCATATGGCCGCGTTTGTCCAGCGCAGTTGCCATTGCACACGGATTTGTTCTCGGTAGGGCTCAAGATTGATCCTTTGTCGCGGCATTGAATCGGCGTGCTCGGGGTCGCTCGGGGTCGCTATTGAACGTTTTAGAGCGCATAGGGGCGTATAGAAGATATTTCGATAGATAAATAATCAAATGTTGCAACAGAATCAAATGCAGAAGGAAAGAGAGAAATAGCGAGCGTAAGGTCCATTATTAGCCCGTACGGGAGCGAGTCCCCTCGTACGGAGCCGGACTATCTAACCACCGAAAGAACAAAACGGTCATGATCAGGAGCTCACTCTCCCGACCAGGCCCGTTCGTCTCATCTGAAATGTTTTCCCCGGAGTCTAAATAAAGCAAATGGCGCTGTACAGATGCTCACATATCCCGAGTGCATCCCGTACAGACGAAAACGGGAGGTCACAAAACCTTTGAGACGTGATGCCGACCGACCTGTACGAAGCCAAACGGGGCCGTTCGCGGGTATCCTGTCCTGAACGCCAACGAAAATGACTTAATCAGAATCGGAATCATCTAGGAAAAGTTAGCCTTCCGCTTAGAGCTATACGAGCCTACATACGCCCGTACAGGGGTGGGACGCGGATGTACATACCAGTCTCCTCCTCAAGATTGTCAGCGATCTGGTAGAAGACGTCCGCGAGCCTACGGAGGCCCTTAGGGGGAACGGTACGGATGGCGTCGAGAATGTCATTGTCGTCGTCCAAGGCCCTACGCTTACGGCCGCGGCCGGCTGTGGTCTTACGTCCCCGCTTCTTTCCCTTAGGCTTAGCATCTCCGTCCTTGACTAAAATATTGTCAGAACGGGAGCGAGAGCGCGCGAGAGCTGGGGGAGCGGGGACAAACGGGGGCGTACGTACTATAGAGTGTGCAGCGCTTGGCCGCGGAGTTATAGCGACAGTTGGCACAGGCGCCGTTGATCTGAACGCAGCAGTCGAACGGGCCAAAGCCCCTCTGGCACGGGCCGCACGCGTCCGTTCCGGACCGAAAGTTGCCGTACAGATGGTGGAAGGCCGCATCACAATTGGTGCCCCGCTTAAGGTTGAGAGTGGTGTAGAAAGTGGCACCGTCCGCGCCCGGATGGGTACGGACGCCCATGACGCGCTTGATCTGACGTGAGCGTGAGCGTATGTTATTACACGATGCTGTACGCCTACAGACGGAAGCAAATGACAAACCTCGAAGTAGTTCTGGGCGAGTGTACGAACGGCGGCGGAAACATTCTTCGAGACGTCTAGCGCACGGGTCAGAGCGGGCGTGAGTGGGCAAAAGCGGGTAAGAACAGGAGCGTACGCTTAAGAGCCCAGGCGGTCAACTGCTCGCCAACAGCCTCGTCTGGCTGGCTATCCTCAAGCTCCGCGTTCGGGAGCCGATGGCCCTGAACGCGAGTGTCCGGGGGCTTCCAGCTAGGATGGTTGGGGGGTACCCAGGGCTGGAAGTCGGATAGCTCCGAGCAGGCGCGTTCGCTCTCATTCGAGGCCAAATTGCTTCCGTTCGGGGCTTGATTTGCAGGATCGGAAGCGTTCGGGGCCAGAGTGGTTCCAGACGTGCCCTTTCCACCCTTTCCACCCTTTCCGCCCTTACCGGCCTGACTAAGTCCACGAGGCATTGTCGTTCGGAGGTGTTTGGGGGTGTTTGGGGGTATTCGGGCGCGTTTGGGAGCGGAGCCGGATGGAAAATTGTACGAAAATGGCCATCGACAAACCGGGGCTGTACGCGAATGTTAGTAGTATGGCGCCGAATTGGTGGTGAAAAAATGGGTAAATTGCGAATGAAGTTGAGATGGAGGCCGGAATGAGCCGTACGAGACCGTACGAGACTTGAATTTCGCGGGGAAGGTGGGGCAAAAATAGTTTTGGGCAACTGCGGAAACTGTTGAAAAGGCCAGAACAAGAACCAGAACAAAGGCTAGGCAGGCGCCCGGGCACATGACTGCTGGGCAAGGGAGTAGGCCAGCCGACCGGTCGTAATTAAGCGCCCGCACGGAAGCGATCGCGATAGCCCATTTCTTGACGGTTCAGAACGCGAAAAAGACGCCGCGTATTGACCTGATCGCTCCCGTTCGGCTGGCGTATGCAGCAAGAGGGTATTGTATGGGCGCGGGGTGGAAATGCAGTGGTCGGGGTAGTCCTACCTGGTCGATTGAATTTGCTACCCATAATTCCTAAGATTAAGGCGATTCTATTGGCTAGCGCTTAACTGGGACTAGCGGCTCGTATCTAGCAAGTGCTGGTCCGTGCCCACGGCTACCGTGGATCTATCCAAAAAATCGTTTTGACCTAGTCCTTGATATAGCCTTCCGTAAGTAAACCCGAGTAAGCGAAGGGGTTTTGCTTTGCTTGGTTGAAGACCGTCTTTGCTTTACTTGGTTGTTACGTAATCAACCAATCCCAACCAACCAAGTCAAGTAACTTGGTTGTTGGACACACTGGCTCCACGAAGGGATGTGATACGATTGCTAGAGTGGCGATTCGAAACACTTCTCGAAATCTCATTATCTTCTTTATTACTTTTGAAATACCCGGTAGCCGCTTGGCGGAGATTCAGGCCTTTGGTGGATGTCTGAAGTTGCGAACCCCGCTCCAGACGTCATTGTCGTCATGGAAGGCGAGCCGGATGTTCCGGGCGGGGGATATCATCGTCCCCTGCGTAAAAGGACCAGAACGACAAGGGCATTGGAGTCCGAGCAGCAAAAAGGCGATATGGAATGGCAGGAGGAGGAGAGCAGTGAGGGAGCTCTGAGTCATACGCGAACTAAGAAAAGAACCACGCCTAAGGCAGCTGGCAGCATGACCGAGGCGATCCAGGGTTTGAAACGACTCCTGGAACAGGATTTCAATCAAAGAATGGAAGCAATGAAGGCAGAGTTTCAGCTCGAGTTTACAAAACTTAGCGACCGCATGGCTGAGGAAGTCACTAGGACCACGGCCCAGATGGCGCAAGAATTGTCACAGGCTCGAGAGCAGCTCACCCTGGTTTGCAGCGAGTTGGAGCAGACCCGGCTACAGCTGGACACCTTGACCAATGCTCATGCAGCAAGATCGCCTAGCCAGACATATGCAGATGCTGCCAGAATGACGCCTGCTAGTATCACCACTCAAACTCCATCCACGGTTCGATCAGCAACCCCGGAACCGGTGTTCTGCACAGTAGACACATCTAGGGTGCCCGAGGATCATATCGGAGATGCTACACCAGCAGTGCTTCGCAGGACCATTGAACAGGAAATGCGAACATCTAGCGACCAACCTAGTTGGCGATGTGTTGCAGTGACCAGAGATGGACGAAATACCAACCGCCTGAGGGTCATCGGTAGGAACGAGGAAGAACTGAAGAAGATCAAGACCATTATTGAGGTCAAGAAGGCTCCAGGTGCGAGAGTCCTTCGTGACCAACTGTATCCAGTCAAAGTTGACAATATCAACCGTACCGCCGTTCTGGACCAGGAAGGCAAGGTCCTTCCTGGAGCAATGGAAGCCTTGGGCCAAGAGAATGAAGTCCAGATTGCCAAGATGGCCTGGTTGAGTCGCAAGGATAACGCAAAGGCATATGGATCCATGGTGGTATACCTCACCAAAAACAGCGATGCCAGGAGACTCTTACAGGAACGCTACTTCCTTGCAGCCGGTGAATCGGCTTATACCAGCATGTTCGAGCGGAGAACCGGACCGATACAATGCTACAACTGCCAGGAGCTTGGCCACAAGGCCTTCTCGTGCAGCAAGAATCGGGTATGTGCGAGGTGCGCTGCCGAAGGCCACCATCATCGTGAGTGCCAGACGCAGGTACCCAAGTGCGTACCCTGTGGTGGACCGCACGAGTCGTTCAGTCGAAGCTGCCCGAAACTCTACCCTACTCGGCATGAGTAGGATATTCCAGGTAATTCAACTTAATGTAAGAAAACAGGACACGGTACACGAGAGCCTAATGAACGATACGCGACTCCAAGATTTTGCAGTTGTGGCGGTCCAAGAACCACAGGCATGGAAAAGTGACGGCAAACTATTAACAGTCCCTATGGGGCATCCCAGATGGATTAAAATGGTCCCTACGATTTGGAGAGATGGCAGATGGCCGATCCGGAGCATGTTGTGGGTGAATAGGGACTTGGAGGCCAACCAAGTACCAATACAGTCCCCGGACTTGACAGCAGCAGCCATACGACTCCCGGACCGAATAATGTTAGTTGTGTCAGTGTATGTGCCGGGACGCAAGCCCCAGGCTCTTCGAAATACATGCCATACCCTGCACCGGGTGATCCTCGACCTCAGGAGCAGGACAGGGATGGCGGTGGACGTCATACTGGCCGGAGATTTTAATCAACACGACCGGCTTTGGGGAGGAGACGATGTGGCCTTAGCAAGGCAAGGCGAGGCCGAACCGATCATCGACCTCATGAACGAACACGGTCTTTGCAGCCTGCTCCCGAGAGGCACAAAGACATGGCAAGGCCCCGACAAGGAAAGCACAATCGACCTGATGCTGGCGACGGCGGAGGTGGCAGACGGAATGGTGACGTGCTCCATACACCCGACAGAACACGGATCGGACCACCGGGCGATCCAAACGACGTTCGATCTCGCGATGCCTGATCGGATTGTCACGGAAAGACTGTTGTTCAAGAATGCACCATGGACAGCAATCAGAACCAAGGTGGAGGACAATCTCCAAGAGCTCCCCTGGACTGTCGGCGTGCAGGAACAGACAGACCAGTTAATGAGGGTCATCCTCGAAGCGATCCACGAGCTGACGCCCCGTGCACAACCAGTACCGTACGCGAAGTGTTGGTGGACGAAGGATTTGACAAGACTTCGGCGGGTGTACACGTTATGGCGGAATCAGGCTAGGGCACAGCGGCGAGCAGGCCAGGTGAGGCCCGACCTGGAAGGACGGGCCAAGGAAGCATCCAAGGAGTACCATGATGCCATTCGGAAACAGAAGAAACTGCACTGGGACGAATTCCTGGCAGAAGATGTCAACATATGGAAGGCGGCTACGTACTTGAAACCCGGAATATGCGCTATGGACGACAGAGTGCCCCCTTTGAAGAGACAAGACGGCTCCACCACGGTAGATAGGGTGGAGCAGGCAGAGGAGCTGCTCAGCACGTTCTTCCCGCCGTTGCCGGCCAGGATTGAAGATGAAGGCGACCGACCGCAACGGACGGAAGTGCACATGCCAGACCTCACCATGGAGGAAGTTGAACAAAAAGTGCTAGCAGCGAAACCTTGGAAAGCGCCTGGAGAGGATGGTCTGCCAGCAATGGTGTGGAAACAGCTTTGGCCAGTGGTTAGATACCGAGTCTTGCACCTCTTCGACACATCCCTCAAGGATGGTGCGGTACCCCACCAGTGGAGGAGTGCGAAGATCATCCCGCTAAAGAAAGCAGACAAGGGAGACTACACAGTGGCCAAAGCATGGAGACCGATATCGCTGCTGTCGACACTGGGCAAGATACTCGAGGCAGTCGTTGCAGAGCGGATATCCTATGTAGTGGAAAGCTATGGATTGCTGCCCGCAAACCACTTCGGGGCAAGGAAGCGAAGGTCAGCCGAACAAGCACTGGTTCTGCTGCAGGAGCAGATCTATAAGGCATGGAGGGCCGGCAGGGTGCTCAGTCTGATCAGTTTCGACGTCAAAGGCGCTTACAACGGAGTGTTCAAAGAACGACTCCTGGAGAGGCTGAAGGCGAGAGGCATACCTGATGGACTGGTGAGATGGATTGACGCCTTCTGCTCTGGACGAATGGCCACCGTGGTGGTAAATGGACACACGTCGCAGCTACGGGAGCTGCCACAGGCAGGTCTCCCGCAAGGATCACCGCTGTCGCCGGTGTTGTTCCTGTTCTTCAATGCAGATTTGGTGCAGAGAAGAATCAACGCAAAAGGTGGTTCGATGGCATTCGTGGACGACTACTCAGCCTGGGTGGTGGGATCAACAGCGGAGGAGAATCGAGCCGGCATCCAATCAATTATAGACGAAGCACTGGGCTGGGAAAGACGGAGCGGTGCGACGTTCAACGGAGACAAAACGGCCATCGTGCATTTCACTCGAAACGCCGCGCGTACCAGCGACAAACCGTTCATGATCAAAGGAAAAGTAGTCAAGCCCAAGGCGAGCGCCAAGATCCTGGGAGTGGTCGTGGACGCGAAACTGCGGTACAAGGAACACATAGCTAGAGCCGCTGCAAAGGGGCTCTCGGCTGCTATGTGTCTGAGAAGACTGAAGATGCTGTCACCGCGGACGGCGAGACAACTGTTCGTAGCAACAGTAGCTCCCACCATGGACTATGCGTCCAGCGTGTGGGCGCACTCATGTGGCATTAGAGAAGCTGCTTGGCTGGACAAGGCACAGATGATCGGAGCACAGGCGATCACGGGAGCTTTCCGGACCGTCGCAACGGCGGTGGCAGAGGCCGAAGCTAGCATCCAACCGGTGCAAGAACGGCATGCGCAAGCAGCAACAAGGTTCTGGATCAACCTCCGGACCCTTCCCAGGACACACCCGTTGGCGACACTGAAGGTGATGAAAGTGTGTCGCCGATTCGTGTCGCCGATGCAGAGGATTGCTCAAGTACAAGGGGAAACAGCCACTGAACGAATAGAGATCATTCGGGAGTACGCGTTACCGCCATGGAGAGACCGTATCCCGGTGTCGTGCGACCGTGACCGGGAGAGAGCGGTGGAAGAAGCAAAGAGGGTGGATGGCATAGTCATTGCCACCTGCTCCTCGCAGAGAGAGGGCATGGTAGGCATGGGAGGTGTCGTACGAGATACGGCCCTCAACAATGCCGACGAACTAGTGGCCAGCTACTCCATCACTCTTGGGTCGACGGAGGAGCTGAACCTATACATAGCCGAGCTGGGAGCTATAGAGATGGCGCTGAGATGCATGCCACTCGGACTGCGTCGACGGACTATAACCGTCGTGACGAGCAACCGTTCCGCACTAGAAGCCATACGGCGGCCGCGTCAACAATCCGGCCAACAGGCCATTCGGCAAATCTACGACCATGTCGGGCGCCTTGAAGACGAGGGCAACTCTCTCCAGATGATGTGGGTTCCAGCAGGCGAAGAAGACTTCGCACTAGGACCAAAAGCCAAAGCAGCAGCCCGGCGGGCCACTGAAAGAGACTGCAGACCAGATATACCACTGTATCAAGCAAGATCCACGAGGATAAGACTAGTCATAACCAAGCAGCAGCAAACAAGAATGCCGCCAGGAAGAGCTGGGAAATACTCGACGACGATAGACATGGCACTCCCTGGCAAGCATACCCGTACTATATATGACCTGCTGAAGAGGAAAGAAGCAGATGTGCTGATCCAGCTCCGCACCGGAATGGCAAGACTAAACAGCTTTCTGCACAACATCGGCGCAGTAGAATCGGATATGTGCGAATGTGGTCAAGCATCCGAGACAGTTAAACATTTTCTATTCAGATGCACAAAGTGGACAAAGCAACGGGAAGGCATGCTGAAATGCCCACAAGCAAAGATGGGAAACCTCTCGTTCTTCTTGGGAGGAAAGGCAGCGTCTGACGATGACAAATGGGCACCAGACATGCGGGCAGTACGGGCGACGATCAAATTTGCCATTGCAACGGGGAGGCTTGACATGGACCAGAAGCCTCAGGCACACTAACTATTCAGATTGAATCCTACTAACATCATACAGTCTCATTTTGACAGACCGGGCTTCAGCTGCTGAGGATAGGATGCTGAACACTTGGGGAAATTGGCCTTCAAGCAGGCCTGTCACGGCATATACACCAGATTGGACCAGTTAGTAAAAGTGAAATTTTGGGGCTTCGGGTGATTATGGAAGAACTGTACGAAACGAAAATAGCTTAGCGCAAAGGCCCTCTGGGGTGTGTCCCCCCGGGCGAAATAAAATCCTTACCTTACCTTACCTTGGTTGTTGGACACACTGGATCCATCATGAATATGAATATGAATAACGTACATGATAAGCGAATTGTCACGGGCCAGGGCCCATATCCTTGCGGCTGTGCCGCAAGACGTACGAGGCTCGTGCGCGCCAGGGACGGGAAATCGTTCCACAGCTCAGGGGCATTTGGGAACTTCTTTCTTTCTTCTTTATCTTTGATGTAAATAGCATCCTGGACTAGATAGCTGGAATCCAGCTACTAGAGGCCGTTCACACAGTATAGGTGGGACACTCGCTTGTTTGGGACATTCGCTTATCATGTACGTTATCACTTTAGCGCGTGATATCACAATACGCAAGTTGTTGGATGATGACCCTGTATGACGAAACCTCGGATAGATTGATATCCTGACCTTATGTTAGATTGTGGCTGTGTATTGCATCAAGGAGGTTGTTCAGGTATCAGAATACTGGGATATCTGCATCTATGACTGAAGATGACGATAAAACCCCACTCTGGAGGAATATGGAGATGGGAGTCAACGAGAAAAGAAGAACAACCAAACATATCATCAAGAATTGATTTACATTTATCTGGCTATCCCGAATCTTCACTAAAGACACACCGCGTATCCAACACCTTAGTCAGAAGGGGGGGTATAATAACCCCTCTTCCGGCCGATCCGGATGACCGGCACAAGTAATCATCAACATCATCATCACTGTATTGATCCCTATTTATCATATTGAATTGACCGTAACGGATCCATCACAAGTCTGGAATATGATCAATTGTTGGAACATGACCCTGTATAACGAAACCTCTGATAGATTGATATCCGGACCTTATGTTGGAGAGAGACCCTGTACAAGGAAACCTTCATTAGATTGATATCCGGACCTTAGTCATGAAGGGGGTCATATAACCCCTCTTCCGGCTGATCCGGATGACCCGGATCGATCATCACGATAATCATCATCAATTGAATACTATGAATTGACCGTATCGGATCCATCATTAGATTGTGGCTGTGTATTGCATCAAGGAGGTTATTCAGGTATCAGAATACTGGGATATCTGCATCTATGACTGAAGATAACAATAAAACCCCACTCTGGAGGAACATGGAGACGGGAGTCAACGAGAACAAAAAACATCAAGAACAACCAAACATATCATCAAGAATTGATCTACATTTATCTGGCTATCCCGAATCTTCACTAAAGACACACCGCGTATCCAACACCTTAGTCAGAAGGGGGGGTATGATAACCCCTCTTCCGGCCGATCCGGATGACGAGGACAAGTAATCAAAAACATCATCACTGTATTGATCCTTATCCATTTGATCGAATTGACCGTAACGGATCCATCAACTTGTCAAAACGCCTTATATCACACATCACACGCTACTAGTCGAAGGTACTCCGTCCATAGCGTCTCTCATTCTTAAGCCCTGCCACACCAACCCATCTTCTACGTTTTGCCATACTACAGTGGGTTGCAAAAAGTTCTGATCCAACCCGTCGTACTGTTCACCACAGGGAAACTAGACCCAATTTTTCAACGCTGCTGTTAGCCCCGTTCTTCTACCCTCGACTCCATCTGTGCGTATCACTGGATTTACCTTTTAGTGCGTGTTTGTATATCATAAGAGGAGCGGGAATACTCCTAGTACGGAGACATGGTTCAAAAGTCCTGGCCAGAGAAAAAAGCAATGATTTTGAGTATGACCACTCCCAACCAGCTGGAGTGACTTTGACCGCTGAAGATATAGAGGCTTGGCGACACGGCTGCCTGTTTCAGACGCTGGTTCGGATGACCCTGCTTCCATTTCTATGATCGGCCCAATTGTTATTGTTAAGAGGTCAACGATGTGTGCATTGATGATTATCACTAGCTAGCTAGGCGAGGGAATTGGAGCCTGTATGAGGTCCCGGCTGCCTGAGGCCACAGCCGCCGTAGGCGGCCGTGGGCTTCCTTCAACAGTTATCTCGAGGATTTCCAGCGAGGGCGAGGGGGGGGGGGCGCCGGGCGCCGGGCGCCGGGGCGGGCACTGCGGCTGGTGCCCCAGGTGAACTTTTCGGGTGTCTGTAGGGGGCGCAACGACACGCCGTAAATTAGCGCTAAAAACCGGTGGGGGAATTTTGCAGCGAAAGCCCTGTCCGGGAAAGATGCGGGCTTGGTTCTGCCACGTCGCATACTGATGGCCTCAATAATGCAGGAGGCCTTTCAGGTGAAGAAGTTGAATAAGATAACGGATGAGCCTCTGTGAACTGTCAGAACATGAGGCCGACGGCAAGTAACATTGTACGGATAATTGCAGGGCCTACATTTGCAATGACTTCCGCTCCATCGAATCGCGTCGACCACTTATAGGAGATGGCGTGCTGTATCCTGCATAGACATGTGATTAACAAAGTAATACGTCAATGCGAGTGGTGCATGTGCAAAATGAGGAAAATCACGTCAACCGCATAAAACGATGCAAGAAACAGCTTAGTGAAAACATGTCGTGTCCACCGGCTGCAAGACACCTCAATCCGCAGTTCAATATTGTTGGTAACTGCTCAGCTACTCAGAAGGCAGCATTGTAGTAGCTCTAACTTGTGCAAGAATCACTATAGGTAGTGGTTCAAATCCAGGTGAACTGACGCCAAACAGTCTTAACAAATGCGAGAATTTGTCGACCGCATCAAAGGTCTTGCGGTCATAGCCACCGGGGGCGGTACTTTCGCCGAGCCGCTCGTTGTCAGCTTTTCTTCAGGGGCCGCCGGATAAAGTACAGCCCATGGCTGGTGGAGGGCTGCGGAGCATAGTCATGATCGCAGTAGCTAGCACGGCCTGAAGGCAAATCAGCCTCGAGGGAAGGGAAAGCGGACGGCCACGGCCGGGACGGAGAATCGAGCTGGGACAGAGTACTGGGAGGCTGTGGCCTGGAAGTGAGTCTGCCCTGGGGTTCTTGGGATGGCTGGACTAGGACCGAGTCATCGGCATGCGTCTGGAAGGGCAGCCTGGGCCAATGCGTGAAGTTGGTCGGCATCAAAGCAGTTCCAAGATCTTGAACGGTACACGTTCGACCACGGTGATACAGGTCCATTTTCATCGGCAATCGAGAGACATCGGCGATCAATCTGGAAGGCAAAGAAACCCGGGCCGGAGTGGTTTCTTTGTGTCGTCTTGTGAGGACCTGTACTTCCTGGGGTGGAGATTCGCTCTTCCTGGCCTTGGACTTGCGACCCAGGATGACTTCGTAGCCGTCGCACACATGGCCGTCCTGTTCGCATCGAAGGCAGTGAGGCTTCCCTTCATCGCACTTGAGATGGCGGATTCTATTTAGCGCAAATTAGCAATGTCACCGCGGATTCCTGGGGTAAGTTGCTGCCAAGGATCACGAACTTGCTATTGATTCCCAGTTAGCGGATTCCATCATGTAATGGGGAAGACAATTGTTTGCTTGGTGTACCATGTTTTACAGCCAGTTCTCACTCTGGGGGCCTTTGCCCTCGTCCACTTCTTGGGCTTTTCCTTGACAGTTGACATCATTACATGGTTTTTGTCGGTCGGGTTGGATATTATACCTGCATCCATGGAACGTTGTCTGGAGCATATTTCTTTTAATAAATATCCCGGCCATGTTCCATCAGCGCATCTCCAGTAGTTGCATAAAGGCAATTGCCACTTAACCGGACCTAGTGAGGCTGTGCTGCCCTGACATGTGTCTAGTAATACGTCCTGTCACGCTCGAAGCCCCGTTCCGTCTCCCCCTGGCATGTAACATACTACGGGAGCAAAATCTGGCCACAGTGGTGGCTGGGGCGCTTTTGCGCACCTAGGATATTACCGTCCAGTCGGGAGTACATTGGGAGTCTTTGGGGCAGAAGCTTTGAATTTATCAGTGCCTCTCTTGTTGGTACCGCCCGACAGCCCACATCCAGGTGTTGTGGCCTTTTCATCTCGTCTCAGAGGCTCCACGACTTGGGGAATCTGACTCCACTTGCGCACAAGGGCCTCTGATTCCGGATCATGGCACCGCCAATGTAACGGTAAGCATGATGGACTGTTGGTCTACACGTCAAAGCGGAGGGAGGGTATTCGAGATCCGAAGAGTCGCCTCAACCATCCACCTTGTCAATGCACGGGCTACATTGCTAACACTTCTAGCGCCGGAATCCCCCGGTTCATTTTGTCAGGTCTCCACTCCAGACTAACCTGCAAGTGGAAAAATGATTTTTGCGCAGCCACTCGCCCGCTCCAGGGGAAGCAGTTCAAATGAATAGAGACACCAACTGGGCTTTTCGAGCTTCTGCCTAACGAGCTTATCCTATACCTAGCTACTCTATTGCCAATCACGGACGTTTTATCTTGAAACGTGCAACCATAATCTCATGCCCGCGTTAGCCCAACGCATTGATCCGCCCCAGTACCTCCAACGCGCCGCTCCCTTCACTAACAGCCATGATTTATTGGAGATAATGGCGACACATGGTGCATTGCTGGGAACGCGACTGGTCTAGAGCGATCTTGGCATGAGCTCGGCCTCGCACTGCCTCACAAGCCACGCAAGCTGACGTATTGGTTCGAAACCCCTGGAAAACCAGTTGCTGCCCAACATGAACGGGTAGCGTAGCATGGAGCAGAGAAACGGGATCTCTTGGCGATCTCTTGGCAAATAACGAAAGGGAGAAGAGGGGGGGGCCATAAGGGGCGCCGCATGATTCCATGCCCATCTGCCGACCGTAGCTCGGAAAATACTTACTACCTAAGGTCCAGGGTAAGTTTAAACCCAGCCGACAAGTAACCCTGCAGCAGCACCCACGCTAAACCTAGAGCGCGAGGTTGAAAGGAGTCAAATGTGGGCAGAGGGCTTCGTAATCAGAATAATTGCCAAGCAATCAGCTAAGCCACTAAAGAACAGTGCTAAACCCGCCATAGGTCCGTAACCTGGTGTTGTTTCACCAGCCGCCCTCTTTCTTGGACTAAGATCTGCATCTAATGGTTGATCCTAAAGAGCGTTCTTTGTCGCCGTCACCTAAGCTACTATAAGCTAAATTTCCTAACCCGTCGCCGTTTTAACGATCCCGACCGGCCCGACCAGCCCCGGACCTGACGTTACCTGTGTGCCAACGGACAGACAAAGGTGCCGACATCCGTCAACGTTTCCCGCGAAGCACACAAGGTCAAAAATTACAGCAACACAATGACACATAAAGGCCCGCCTTAGTCTCTCCCCTCCTTTCCCTTCTTCTCCGCGAGAATGTTCCCCCAGCACAAGATGGCGGGTTCAGGGATACGTTTCGCTCTCAGCGCACGAGGCGGCCACATCTCAATCCGTTTGCTCTTCTCTTACGCCTTTGACTGGCTGTTTCTCATCGTCGTCGCTGCCATCGCTGCCTTGCTCGGGCGGATCGAGCCTAAAAAACGGCCATTCTCCCTCGTCGACCCCGACATCTCGTTCGTCCCCCCCTTGCGTCTGTCTGATGCAACTTTCTTCAGGGCACTTACGGCTAACGTCGACTCGAAAACAGATTTCCTTTCACAGAGCACGAGACCGTTCCTTCCTTCTTACTGCTCATCCTCTGCGCCGTGGTCCCAATTTGCATCATTGCCTATCGTCTCCATCATCTTCGTGCCTGGCCCAACCGTGCCCAAAGACACTCCCAAGACATTGATATGGAAGCTAAAGCTCTGGGAGCTCCACGTGGGTTGGCTGGGTCTTGCGTTAGCTCTTGTGTCAGCATGGTTCTTCACTGAGGGTATGAAAAACATGTACGGCAAGCCTCGCCCTGACTTGCTCTCGCGATGCGAACCCGACACCGAGAACGCCCAAAAATACGTCGTTGGAGGGTTTGCCGGCGAAAGCATGAACGGCCACCTGTTCTCGGTAGGGTTGCCTCGAGGTAAATTACTAGGAGGTAAATTACTAAAACCCCTAGGTAAATGACGGTCATAAACTCGACGTTTATGACCGTCATTTATCACGTGCTTCCAAGCACTATTTGGTGACTACGGAAAGGCGTCGGCGGAATGATATACGCACATACAGTCCGGTGCATTGCTATTCGTCGGGGATGAGGTACCGATCACACCAAAATTTGCTGTGCCGGGTACAATAGGTCCATACCCACTGCAACATCCCCGTGTTCGTTTCTTCGCCAAAACTCCCAGATTTGCTACTTCAATATGATAGTATCATATATCTCGAAAGTCAACCTATTTACATTTCGACATGAATAACAGACTCTACCTCTGCATCCGTGCCTGCAGCTACAAAAATGCAGTCCTGGAAGTCGTCCTCGAGCTCTAAGAGCTTTTTCACGTCAGCCGAAGTTTCCTCAGGGGTCACAACAACTCATGGTCGTCCCCTGCTCCAACCCCTTTTGGGATACTCACTAAACCCAGTTAGGAAGGAGGTTTATGACGGTAAATTACCCGTCAGTTGGGGTTTATGACGTCAATTGGTAACTTGGGGTTTATGACGTCATTGGTAACTTGGGGTTTATGACGTCAAAAAGGCATCCCTACCTCCAATATTGAAGGCATCACGATGATAGTGGTCCAAGGCCACGGAGTACCTCCGTAACCACACAACGCAACTCCGTCGCTATACGGAAGCTATCATGATATAAAGAATGAACTTCCTATACTCTTCTACATAGAATCAAGCACTCGATGGCCCCCACTTATCCTCCCTCGTGTGTGATATCCAAGCCCCTCAATGCCATCGTCGAAATGATTCCTCGGCCACCCTCCGGAAAGTTTGCGGGGGATCTGCGAAGTCGCTGGCACATCCGTCCAGGGGTGTATTTTGGCTCGGGCGCAGGTCCACGAGACCAGCGGACTCCCGTCTTCGTCGATAAACCCTATATGACATGGGACAGCGAGAGTGGAAGAAAATGCTTGAGAGACAAACATCTTTCAAGCGGACTGGACTTGGCTTAATCCGGGCTTTGGGTCGTTCTCCCGCATTGACCGTAACCATAGGCTCACTGCGCCGCGTCACTGACATCGGTCTTTCGACTGTAAATCGACGATTCGGGAATATATCTCAAATCATGATGGAATTGATACTAGACGGAAGCTCTCAGCACGGTAGATTCGGTGACTATATCGTAACTAGTATGAAATATGATTCTTACGCAGAGACCAGCGTCTTTACTAGCATCTCAATTGGTTTACTGAAGTACGTGTTACTGCGAGCGAACCTACCCTACATGCGCCGGATAGGGGATACTGTGCATGCCACCTACCTGTAGTGGCGGGGGCTGGTATCTCTTAACGCCACCGGGCGGTTTTTCGCCGCTCAGATAACATGCACTTCATCATCTCTCACGTTGCAGATATTCTTCCTGAAAATCGGCAAGGTAGCCCATTCAAAGCTATAAAATTAGGTTGCTGTTGAACAGGTCGAAACATGTAATTCTGGGATTTTGTTACGCCGATGGTTTCAGTTGCAAAATACTTGGTTTGCCATAGATTAACGCAGTGCTGGGCTGTACCGGCTAACATATCTTAGCAGTGCATCGAAATTTTTACCAAACGCGTGTCACGCGTTGGATCGCGTAGTTGTTGAATTGGCACTCTGCAGCAGGCCACAGATTTGGAAAGACGCTGCCTGAGTCACCCCGAATCTTGGCCAGACTATTAGTCAGACTGTTAGTCTGCGATCCTCGGACTGGACTACTGGTCGGTCTGGTAGAAGTCAGACTGAACCATCAGTCCAGTCCGAGAGACGTAGACTGGACCGTCAGTCTAGTCCAAGAGACGCGGACTGGACCGTCAGTCCAATCCGAGAGACGCAGACTGGACCAATAGTCCACGGACTATTGGTCTGGACTGCAGTTTGGACTAATAGTCCAGTTTTTGGTCTGGACTATTAGGAGCGCTGCAAACGATGGATGAACAGGTCCGGGATGACGAAGGTGAAGGCGTAGACCATAATGATCCAAAAGAGGCGGCCGGGATCTTCCTTCTTCGTCCCCTCCATGTCCATTTTCCGTTGTCTGGTTCTTTGTGCTATGCTCGAACTGGTATCCGCACCGATGGTGGAAGCCTCGTCTTCAGAGCAAGTAAGAGGGCAGTGAGCATCCAATCTACCGGCTTGCTTCTCGTCTCTGGGCCGATTGGCGGTTGCAGAAAGTAGTCGCTCGCTGGACGAGTGTACCAGCTCGGGATGAGTGAACATGCGGCCGAGTCTCCAGTCTGGATAGAAATGTGGCGGAGTGGGAGTGCCGTCGCCCGATTTTTCCATCTCCATCCAGCACCTCTCACTCAATAGCACGCTGGTGGAGCCAATCTCGGCCTCGTTCCTCGGCCATCGCTTTTCCCCAAAGATTGATCTCACAGTCTCGAGTTCGTTTCCAGCAAGCCTGACATGCAAGCCCGCTGAAGCAATGAACCGGCCAAAGGGGAGAGCTATGCTGAAGTCGGCCGATCGAGCCCTGTCAATGATCTCAGGGATGCCCAGTGCTTGTACTTGAGCTCTGACGCATGGAGTGCTGAATTGTCCAGGGATGCGATGGTCGTTTGAGTTGAGGGAAAACATGAGATATAGGTTTGTATTGGGACACTTGGCTAATTTTGAAGCATCTCTCAGTATCCTCAAAAAGCACGGTAAAGTGCGTTGAGGAATGCGTTTTCTGCCAGAATCATCCAAGTGATTGACATCGTCTGCCACTCAGGGGTCGGTGATATATGTGGATGCTGACTTACGCCCAGGGATGTCAGACCGGCTTGCATACAGCAGCACCTCGAGTGGTGAGGATGTCGTCATCAACGAGCTCGGGATGCAAAGCAAAATGGCTGTGGGAGGAGGTTCGACCATCTTGCAGACGCTACCTCATTGTATCAAGTAGCATCGTCGTGTCCGGATCCTTTCCGCATGGGGCGAATATCCGTCTTTGTATCTCTATGCTGCCTAGCCAGGCATGGCTATGTAGCCGGGCTGAGACAGCCTCCTTCCAGGTTCACAACATCACATGTGTGACACGCTATCTTCATGCAGGCCGCCCTGATTGACTCGGGGGCTTTGTTCACGGGCTTAGCTCGACCCAGGAGAACATAAATTCATAGCGTTCCCCCATTGCTTCTGATCCTCCCATCCTACCGCCTCCTAGACTTCGCCTTCTGAGTTTTATACCTACAAACAATGTCTTCTCCTATTCTAGGAGACAGCCCCTCTCTACATGAGCGTTCTGAGAGAGAGCAAATACACCTGAAAGACACACCTCTCGAAAAGCACCATACTAGTTTTCCAACGAACACTCCCACCGATCCAAATCCAGTCGTTCCTGGCGATGGAGATAGTCCAGGTTGGCTCTCTACTAGGTATTTATGAGAAAGCTTCTAACTGAAAGTCCAGGCCATGTCGTGCGTGATCGGGGCCCTCGCTGTCACCATCAGTCTTCTAGGGGTGAAAATTGTAGCGAGCAAGGGTGGGGGCCTGAGTTTTTCCCAAACGGTGAAGACCCTGGGACTCCAACTGAAATGAACAGTCCCACAAGCTATGATGCTTTTGCTTCGGGCCCCCAATCCAAGCCCCTTCAAGGGCCTAGTCATGGCACCGGCCCAAATCAGAAACCTCGGGGAAGGCGCAATGCGAGGAAGTTAGCTCAACCTGCCAGGGAACCTCAAAGTTCAGGAAAGATCCAAAAGAAGAAGTTAGAGAGGTCGCAAAAACACGGCAACAGCTCAAGAACTACGTCAGGTCGGCCAATTTCACCAGGGATACAGAGGGGGCTCGAGGTCTTCCGGGAACAACTAAGACTTCCGGAAAAGCAAAACCAGAGGCGGTTAGAGGCGAGCCAGGGTGAAACGTCCGAGAAGAACTAGATGTCCTGACTAGAAGTTATGCAACCAAGACCTCTGCCCTTCAGGTCCGCGCCTTGCTAGGTGAGCTATGTTAGATTCTACCATCATGTCATTCCATATAATGTACCTCAAACGACACTGAAATTCAAACTTCTTTACATAGAAATCTTCACCCACTGTGAAAGTTCCTTTGAAAGATTTCGTACGAAAGTGGGACTAACAATAGATAATTTACAGTGAGTCCTCTCGTACGGGATCTTCTACCTTGATTAGATAAGATCTGGAGAATCTTCGGAGCCTCTTCATACCAAAATCTTCATATGAGACTTTTGCTAAAAATAGATAATTTCTTTGCAGTGAGTGCTCTTTCCAAGATAGGTATTCCGTCTCTCTACTTAATCTCATATGATATCTCTGCAGCATGCTATTTTAGGGTAATCCGTCTCTCTACTTAAATCTCATATGATATCTCTGCAGCATGCCATTCTTAGGTAATCTGTCTACTTAAATCTCATAACTGACTAGCTAGTTAGTTAGTTGGCCGAGCGTCTTCGTACGAAAATCCTCATATGAGATTTTGGCTAAAAATAGACTGCTTTTTTCGCTCCGAAGTTTCTGCTTATAATAAGTTGGTGCATCGGATTTGAGAAAGTAGCCTTAAGGGTAGTTAAAAACAGCTTCCTGGACACAGCAAGGGTGGCTGAAAATACGGACACTGCTTAAAATAGAACGTGGTCGAAATTGACGATGGTCATAGGAAAAGGAGGTTCATTGATTATGAGGGTAACGAAAGATAATTACTCCTGTTTGCGTAGCCCGTGACATCCGTGACCAAACCCAAGGCGCTTATTCCTCTGCTCAAATGTAAAATATGGTATCCTTCAACTTCTCATGAATCCTCCCACCCAACTTGCAAACCCCCGTCTGATTCCCAGCCAACGACGGCTCGACCAAGTCACCGAGCAGACTTGACATCCAACGCCAATAAAGTCCTAGAGTCTCTTACGACCCTTAAGTTTCGTAGAGTAATGCACCTGTAGACTGTCGACAGACCGCCCTGGATAGGTTTCACTAAACCGCCTGTGGATCTCGGGCCACGTAATCATCTCACTCCCCTCCTTCAACTTAATAAGAAGGTCATTCTCCTGTGGGGTGTACTTGATTTTTGGAGCTGAAGCTCGCTTGGTCTTGCCTGTCGTCTGTGTCGAGGGCGAATCAACTCGATCCCGAACAGTGCTGCTAGCCTGCCCATTTGTACAAGGAGTCCAATCGAACTGTAACTGGAAAGTGGTTTTGCCGTTCTCAGTTATGCGCTTGAGCGAAGCATTCTCAAGCGGCCATTCCTCAAACCTGGCGAGAACCGCCCTGACTTCGGTCTCATCGGACATTGCCTGGGATGACCGGGTAGATCTCGATCTCAAAGACGGTCTTCCCCGACGAGGGCGCTCAACACTAGCTGCTGCATCGCGCAGCGAACTGGCAGAAGACCTCGAGACCCTACGGCGCTTGCGTGGGAATTGATCTTCGCCGTTAGACTCGTCGCCTAAGCTCATCTCTTCGGCTTCTGTGTGAGAGGGACAATAGTCCTTATCACGCCGCAAATTCGCAAGATGGGATTCGCTTCTTTGGGACTCGTTGCCCGCGTCGCTGCTGCTGCTATCATCGTCGTCTTGGACCAATCTATGCATGGCCTGACGATGGGCGTGGCGGCACATTTTCGGACCCAGTGGCTGAGAAGGGGATGCGCAGCCTCCTAATGACGGTTGAGGTGCGCCCTCAGACAATATACGGGCCTCGGCGTCTTCGGATCGACGACCGCTCGTTCTGTGGTCCCGCCCTGGAGGCGTTTCGAACGATGATTGTCTTTGAGGGGACACGTCACGTGTCCCAGGAATGCTGTTGTGGCGTGAAGGAGCGGCGCTCACAGACGTGTCGTCACCTCGACACAAGGAATCGTCCATATTAAGCGGCGCAAGGGTGGACGGCTGCGACGCACATGCTGGCGTTGGGGATTCCGGAGTGCTCTGTGATGAAGGAATTCGTGTTGCGGCGTGCGTAGCATCGCCTGTGATAGCGCTTGGCTCCATTGCGTCGACAGTAGCAAGGCCCTGCCCTTCAGACGTATCTTGAGACAGGTGTCTTTGAGGGTATTCGTTGGGGGTCTCAGGGAATGTTATCATGGCATGCAAGGGTAAAGCTCGCAGGCATATCATCACGTTGACAAGGAGCCTGATCCGGGGTAAAATGCGCGAGATCGGACGTCTGTGATGTCTGTGCTGGCGTTGGAGGGTTTACGGCGATGTGCGGCGAAGATCTTGGGGATCCACGGATCACGCTGGTCACGACATCTGACTCAATCGTGCGGGCTGTAGTTAAGTCGACATAATCAACATCGATGTAATTAAACGCCTTGCTGTTAGACCGCCTGTGCTTTTTGGAGAGCAGACGGTCTTTAGGACTTACCTGCATGGATGGTGTGCCTGGGCTGAGACTGTGCAGCAAAACTGTTGATCGATGGAAGCGTGGCGTCGGATCGCGAGTCATCAAAATCTTGACCGTCGTCATCCTCCGAGTCGGAGGCGACGTCAGAGGGGATCCATATTGGCTCGTTAGAAGCTCCAACTCCAGAAGTTGACGGGTCGTTGTCTTTGTCTTCACACGGGGATGAGGTTTCCGCTGGTGAAGGAGAAGAAGGATGCGCCTGCTGCTGCTTCTGCCGGCTGGCATTAAGGGTGGTGGTTGGTGTCATGATCGGATTGCGCGTGCTCCCGTTGTGGTAGAGGTGAGATTTGCTTGGATAGCGTTGTTAGGCAGGCGGGCATTGTCGAGCTTTAATGCTTGAGCTAGTCTGCACGTCACGGCCTTCTTACCGCCTCCATGTGCTGCCCGGCTTCTCCCTACCATCCGTCCATCCCAGACAAAGGAGGTGTTCGAACGGCGGCCGCTGCATCCCCGTCTCCGTTATCTCTACCAATCAGCCAACTGCCGAGCCAGACCAACGCAATTGCATGGAGAGAAGACTCTCACTGCCTCGTCACCTAATCTCTTGCCAGGAAGTCGACTCTTTCATTGGCAAGGTAAAGTCCCTGGTGACTCCGGAGTCAGCCCCGAGACACACCTGTTGGTTACTCGCGGTCTCCATGCACGAATCCTAAACAAACGCCATGCTTTTTCCAGAATAGCACGAATGTTTGGCTGTGACTGAGTCCTAGTTGCTTTGTCCAGTTCAGCAAATTTCTCTTCTCCGAAGTCTGTCACAGATTTTGCGCATCTAGGCTTGCATGGCTTAGTGGTGGAAAAGGCCGAACAATCTTGACTCCTGCACTATTTGTGGGATATTGTACCATGAGGCATGCAAGTCTAATTTCCGCGTTATTACGCACCATGAGGCAACAAGATATTGAGAAATCTGTGTACACAGCGACTGGCATGTTAAGTCAATAGACCGACGGGATGAAGCCCGTGACACTACTTCCAATGACATGTTGACTGACTATAATACAAAGACAAGGTTGGATAATTGGAGTTTAATTGCCGGTCTGGCCAGGTTGACATATTCTTCTTCGGCGAGCCCCTGGTTCAAGTCGCTCTTTGCAGTCTTATGCTACATCTTCTTGCCCGGAAGATGTCTCGTCTCTTTCGTCTTTCTCGCCAACAGTTCAGCTTCCTCCCGCGCAATGCTTGCGTCAATTCGAGCGCCTTTGGAGGGCTCGTGACCGTGCATCATGGCCTATTTAGGTATTTGTTAGTAGGACTGTCCAGAATGATCAACACTATTGAGGGCGACGGACCGCGTAGCCAGGTTCATGCATGAATCGGTCTTCGATTTCTCTCTGGATCTGGAAAGTAAAGGTCTGTGAGCTACATAACTACCGGAAGCAGGATAGATGACGAACATGTTCCTCATGCAACTCATTCATGATTTTGCTCCGATTCACTGGTCACTTGTCAGCGTGCAAAAAGCTGGAAAAGGATGGTCTTTAGTCGGACACACTATATCCTGCAGCGTTGAAGCCATCTTTTGCTACCGCATTCGCCACCTCCGAAGAGTTGTATCTTTTCTGATGACTGGAGTCGAGTTCATTTGACTTGGGGAACCCAATGCTTGATTGACTGCCTCGAAGCGCCATCCTGGAAAGTGCTTGTATAATCGAGGTAAATGCAATGTTGACAAGAGTTCGTATTTACTACTCGAGTGACGAAAATGAGAGAAAAAGAATTGGAACATCTGCAGCGTCATCAGCAGATATAAGTATATACGGGAGGGCGAGGTGTCTTATGGATAGCATCACAGTATCATCACTGCCTAACGTCATTGAGTGTCACACCAGCCAAGACGTGCAAACGATTGAACGATAGTAAAGCCAATCACCTTTTAATAGTGACGAGTGCTTTTTAAACTCACGATACCCCGCCGTTACCAACACAGGCGATAACCTAGATCACCTGTCGGGGCAGTGACTTCCCGTCACTTGTGCTGAGCAACCTCAGTCGTCTTCTCGGCGGATGGCCAGCGGCTCGCATCGAGCTCGTACGATCGGACTATCAAGATCTGGGATGCCAGTTCGGGCGCGTGCCTACAGACGCTCGTTCTGCTCAGCCTAGTGGGGCTGGTACTGGCACCAGCCACACACTGTGTCAGCCACGCTTATCCATATTTGGTAGAAAAAGTTTTTACTCTCTTTGATGTTGTAGAATGTCTGCAACAGTTGAGGATGGATATAATATAACTTATGCATCTCATTCAAAATTATCAACTCTCACTGAACATCACCATTACCACCGGTAGCCGCCCGCTGCCATTAGCTGGGGTATGACTTGCTCGTGTTGTGTCCCGCCCCAGGGGCCGGCCAATCGGCGGCTGCGGGGATGATGAGCGGCGCTGTCACTCCAGCACGGCCCCTCCAACGGATGACACTGCAACGACGAATCATCCGAAGGGATCCGAAGGCTCCGCCTCCAGCCCGAGTTTAGCTGGGCGTCGAGAGGGCAGTCTAGAATCTTTGTTGGGATATTGGGCGACCTGGATCCCCCGCCGCAGACGGAGACCGGGCTAAGACTAATTACATTCTAGTCATGGCTAAAATGAAAATGAATTGGCGCAGCCTAGGCACGCAACTCAGAATAATCCTATCGAGGACCAGCAGAACCCTACGGCTGGTGGAAGGGAGCGGCTTGCAGATGCGACCCGAGGGAACGTTTCGCAAGCTCCTACATCAATGAGCGACGTTGGGATTCGAACACTCACGCGAAAGCAAGTGATGGAAAAGGGCCTCCCATTACTTTGGTTCAATGTAGAAATATTGCGCAGGACTATACTAGGTTGGGTACCCAAGGGCAAGCTTTTCCAGAAGACAATGAAGGAGCTCATTGACGAGCTTTCCCCACCCGGACATCCAACAGGCTTAGAGCTTGTCCTCAAGGCGCCCCAATGGGGTTCTGGAATGAAAGCCGTATGGACAGAAGCGAAGGAGGGCTTACAACTTGCTCGGACGACGCCCAGTAAGACTTTTATCTGGACGGATATCTCAGTGGGAGACGAAGAGTCGTTCAAAAATGTAATGTTCTGGATGAGCTACAAAATCATGAAGGCGCTAATATACCACCCTCTCTCAACTAAATACTTTATGTTTGAGATAACACTTATTGTCCTCGGCCTCGAGAGGAATAATGCGGAGGACGATATTGGATTCAACGATCAACTCATAGGTTTATGATCTCCTACTTTGACGAGTATTATATAACGTGGTTCACAAGCGAACGGATCAGACAAGCGAACGGATCACTCCACTTAGATTTCTCACCTTCTTCTTCCCAACCACCTTTTCTCCAACTACAAATGATGTCTTCAAATTCTAAAGAAGCCAATCTCACTCTTGCTATTACTGCTATCAAACAAAACCCGAAACTAAGCATACGAGAGGCTGCTAGAGTCTATACTGTCAGCTATACCACACTATACGCCAGAATGAAGGGACGACGCGCTCGACAAGACCTTCCCGCCAATTCGATGAGAATGACTCCAATTGAAGAGGAGACTCTAATTAAGTTCATTCTTGACCTAGATTCGCGAGGATTCCCGTCCCGGCTCAGTGGTGTTGAAGAAATGGCCAATCTCCTCCTGGCAGAGCGCGATGCAGGACGCGTCGGGCAGCACTGGGCTTCACACTTCGTTGCGCGACAACCAGAGCTCATGACGCGTTTTAATCGCCCATACGACTACCAGAGAGCTCTCTGCGAAGATCCAACCATTATTGACGCGTGGTTTCGGCTTGTGGCGAATATGAAGGCTAAGTACGGCATCCTCGATGCAGATTTCTACAACTTTGACGAGACTGGCTTTATGATGGGCATGATTGCGTCTGCAATGGTAGTTACCAGCGCAGAACGACGTGGAAAGGCAAAAACAGTGCAGCAAGGCAATCGGGAATGGGTTACAGTGATCCAAGGGATTAATGCTGAAGGTTGGGCGCTCCCGCCGTTCATCGTCGTCAAGGGGTTCTACCATCTCGGCAATTGGTACACAGAAAGCAACCTCCTGCCCTCCTGGGTTATTAAGCCGACTGAGAATGGATGGACTGATAATACAACTGGCTTTGAATGGATACAGCATTTCGATAAACATACTGCCGGTCGCACAAAAGGCAAATATCGAATGTTAGTGGTAGACGGCCACGAGAGTCACCAATCCGCCGAGTTCGAGCAGTTCTGCAAGGAAAGGAATATTATTCCTATTTGCATGCCATCCCATTCATCGCATCTTCTTCAGCCACTCGACGTTGGGCTCTTCAGTCGCTTGAAGCGGGCATACGGTCGCAAGATTGAAGAGCTAATGAAGTACCACATTACCCACATAACCAAGGTTGAATTCTTTTCTGCCTTTAAAGATGTCTTCTCTTCTGTTTTCACCGAGTCCAATATTAAAGCTGGATTCAGAGGGGCCGGTTTAGTCCCTTATGATCCTCAGGCAGTCCTGTCAATACTGGATATTAAGTTACGGACTCCAACACCGACTGGACTGCCTCCAGAAGGGACCGACCCTTGGGTCTCTTTAACACCACGCAACCCGATAGAAGCCCTCTCGCAGTCTGCATATGTTAAAGATCGAATTGCCCGTCATCAAGGAAGCTCTCCGACACCAATTATTCGAGCTGTTGACCAGATTTCAAAGGGAGCGCAAACAATAATGCATGAGGTAGCCCTCCTCCGTGCTGAAGTCAAGTCTCTCCGAACGGCGAATGAGACACTCAGCAAACGCCGGAGGGTAAAAAAGACACGCGTACGGCAAGGAGGAGCCCTTGAAGTAGGGGAGGCTCATGATCTTCTAGCTCAGAAGGATGTTAATCAGCAGGTAGCTCAAGAAATGCGGCAAAGTGGTGGTCGGTCGAGGAGGGCAGCAGGAGGCATTCGGCGATGTGGCACTTGCGGAAAGCCAGGTCATAATGCAAGAACCTGCTCGGAAGATGTAGATTCATCTAGAGATTCTGATTCTAGCCTTAATAAATAGATTTTCTGTGTTGTAGTGTTGCAATTGAGCGATAAAGGGTAGGGGGTAGGCTAGAGTGATCCGTTCGCTTGTCTGATCCGTTCGCTTGTGAACCACGTTAATACATTTCTACTCTACCATGAAATGCATGACTCAATTCCTGTATCACCTTACACAGAGGGCGTGGGCAAGCTAGAGTGGCCGTCTCTTTTTGGCAAGATGAGTCATAGAGGACACCGTGTCCTTTAAGTTCAATCATGTGATGTGATAACTAAGAACCGTCTTCATTTCCTCCGGGCCGTTGATACCTGATTACCTGAGGCACCATGCCGGTTTAAGCCAGGGAGCTATTCCGTAGTGCTCAAGAAATCATTTTCGGTTCTTGTCGGACACATCCACAGCTGGACTAAGTTGTGCGAGGCCGGGATGTCGGACCTTAATGTAAGGCATCATGATCAAGCGTGATCCACGCAAGTGGCATGTCAAGCCTATGACGAGGTCTTGGGTCCCTTTTCTTGCTAGATTAGATGAACCAATTGAAGTTTTAGAATATGTACAAGAGAAGAGTTAGCCGAAACCTGCTATGGCTGTGAAATTCGGTCTTCAAAGTTCATGTGATGGTAGAACGTTTGTGGCTCACTCACTGTACATACATTTTCTATGAATGAAAGTGGATACAGACCCAACAGAGTTATAACGCTGGAGGCATCGCCGAGAGACTATGGAGACTTCTTTTCTCGTCCCTATTTTACAGCGTTTACTGAAAACTCAGGAAATATTTGGCGTCTTTCTCTTCTCATCCCTGAAGGGGCTTTCAAAGGTGAGTGAACATGAACAACAAGTGATTGAACACGCAGACGAAAATATTATATGGCTAACAGGTTGCGTCTAGATGGAAACCTCACTAAAATTGGACAAGAGGGGAGTCTGTGAAAAGGCAGTGCAACCCTGTTATATTAAGCCTGAGAAGCTCAGACGGCTTGTGCTAGCTATGATAGACGCCCTAGAAGGGCTATCTGATGATGTCATCGTCCAGCCTAATTCTATTATTCTGGGTCGAGAGGGTCATTTTATTACTCCCGTCATTAACAAGAAGTCAGTACGAGGATGTGTATTGAGAAGCGTTCTTTGGCTTATCGCCCCTCTTACCAGGGGTATTGATAGTCTCAATGACCCCCGAAAATGGGCTAGGCGCCAGTTGCTCTTCTCCCTAGCAGCCTATGCATACGCTTGGTCAGAACAGGGCGTCGTCAATGAGTCTGGAAAGCCTGTGTCTTTAAGAAGAGGGTTGTTTTGGATCCCGAGGTTATTATCTCCGTGGGCATTAATGGCGAGAATGCGGTGGCTTCTAGTGCGTTGTTTCGGAAATTCTTGCAGGACTTGAAGGCTGTAAAAGCTTCGCAAGTTAGCAGGGAACACCCCTCTTATATTGGAAGGTGGATAAACGCTTGGCGCGTTCAGTACGAGAAGAAGCTTGTGTATACAGGTTAACCAACGAGATAAATTGCCATCAAATAAATAAAATAATAAAGACAAAGTGACTGAGTTTATTCAAGATCGCGAAATAACTACCAATTGATCATGATGCTAGAGGCATAATGATGGTCATGGACATCTGTGTCTATCTGCCGACTTGAGTGTTCTAACGGATATAGATTCTGCTTTTGAAAAGCTATGTCTTATTCTTCCTCCTGCATCAATCTGGATTGCAGATTTGCCCACACCACCGAACCTAGAAGGTCATATTGTCGAATTTTTACGCTCCTTCTCGTCCTCCTGGGATTCCATTACCGAAGAGATGAAAGAACGCGGATATCCCCTTACGGCGTTTGATTTGACAATTGATCATTCTTGCGTCTCTCCGACGCTGCAGCTTTGGTTCTTTATAGAGAAGGGATTCTTAATATCAGCTTGGACTAGAGCTGACACGTCTCTTCATCGATGAGCAGGAGAAGGCATTTGCATTCTTTTAGTGGCGAGAGGGCTTCCACATCTCCGCCTATGAGGCCAGTTGATCCATTATTGAAGCCCCTTGTTACAGAATCAATGGAAGAGTTGTCTCGTATCCTTATTACCCGTATAGGAGAGATTGGGCTCTATAGATCTCAGTTTCAGCCTCTGCTGAAGGCTTTTGCGAATCAGGATAAGTTCTGCTATGTCCTTCACTAAATCATTCGCATATGGTTCACCAATAAGGCGAAGATTCATGAAATATTTCACCATACCCCAACGCCAGATAAGATCGATCTTAGTCTCAACATCTTGAAGGGTTATATGAACCCCCCAATTGACGATAATAGATGGTTCCAAGAGTTTCCTTGTGCTTCAGATCTGGATTGGATAAAAATGGCCTAGATATTATTGATGTCTTCGCTGAAGGGTTTCACAACGTACGCTACTCGGATGACCTGAGTATCCTTTGACGGCATTCGAGCTGATAGTGAGAACGAGAGGCGAAGTTTCTCGAACATTGTAGGTTCAGATCTTCAACTCCGAAGCCTTGGAATTCTGAATGGACAACTCGCCACGGGGTTACGAAGGATTTTCAACGATGAGCAGCACGAGATAACATTTGACGAAAGTGGGAGGGCAACTAGAGCCACTTTTGTGAAGGAATACGGAAAGATAATTCAGGCAGCTCGACCTCACGGCCATATGTGGTATCACGAAACTGGAGAGCTTGGGTGCAAAGCCTGATTTGGACACAATAGTAATCAGCTCCTCCTTTGGGATGATACCGTAATAGGATAAGAGTTAGACTACTGTACAGTACAGTACAGTATAATACATATCCTAATGGGGACTTGATAGGGCTGGGAAAAGCGCTGTGCCTTCTCTTCGAGCTATAGTCAGTCAATAGTGGGCATGGGTCTGTTTGCGCGGCCTGGGCTCCTCGATGTTACGTATGCATTGGCCAAATGTGTATTTAAAGTAGACATCAACCCACCAGCCAATATCCAGTGAAATTGTCAGATGGCGCAAATCGCAAAGTATATTCGGCGAACCAAGGACCCCGACCTGGCAAGCAAACTCGAGCAGATGGCACAGCGTTTATTTCCCCTTGTCAACTTGGATCAAGGCCTCGTCCACCCTGCATTCCCACAGACAGTGCTTAGCTTCTGGCTTTTGACGGACGAGCAGCTTCAGTCTCTCGCACAATTCTATCACAAGAAAATTCTCAATCAGTATACTGACTTGTACCCGTGCAAAATCACATGGAGACATAATATGTCGCATGAGGAGAAACGCTGCGAAATGGGCACGTTTATTGGCCTCCCAGCTCGCGACCTGTACATCCAACAGAAAAGCGACGAGGGAGTCCAGGCTGAGGCTCGAAGAGCAAGACTCGCTGCGGAGTATGATAAACAGCGACGGAAGCTGTACTACTGTGGTCCCTGAGCTGCCCTAAAGTCATGTTGTCGGATGATAGTTAGCTATGTTTGTCTAAACGACCATCAATGAAAATAAACGCGGCAGCATTACCTAAAGATGTCCTCCCACCTAAAGGCATACAGTACGATACATTTACTAGACTGGAAATTTGGTTACCTTTGTTTCAGAACATATATACTTAAATTAAAGGAAGGCTTAAAGTATGCCCAGCTTGAGATCTAGTTAAGCTATTACTTCAAGGAGCCCTACTGCTGGCCAGTATCCTCTCAGAGTTTCTGAGTCTATAAGGCACTGTCATACTATTTATATTATCTGGCTTTTGAATGCTCCTGCTATTTGAGCCTACTACTGTCTATAATATCGAAATAAGAGGCTTCTTACCCTAGCGGAACTTGCTGTTGAAGGCAGACCGCACTGCTTCACCTACAGTCTAGGGTAACAGAGTCCTGGCGTCAATGTCACCACATTTCGAAAGAGGCTACTGACATTTCGCCGGCGAAATTTCCCAAGCCGTATCATTTTTCATTATGACAAGATTTGTACTTGGTGTCAATGTTCTCAATATCCACGATTTGTGCCACATTAGGAGTCCAACATCATTTCAATCAGCAACTATCATTCAATCCTCTACATAGGCAGGATTTGGATTGGCTATTGGGACCATGAAGTCTATAACCCCCTACGTATTATTAAACATACCACGCTCTATAGAGAAAAGCCTATTTACGGCCGGTGAAGGTTCAATCTTGTTATCCCCCTATAAATAATAACATTACATATCGCAATGACTCTGAACGCCGATCCAATAGCGAAGTAAATCTATCAAGCCATCCACGGAGAAGTGAATCTATCGCAACAGTAAGGAATGAATTAGGGATGGCGACATCCATGTTCCCTCTTCTCACATATAGAGTACCGAGGTAATTAGGTCGTTGACTTGCTCCGACAGGGGCACCCGCTCAAGTCAGGCCGAGGAACAGGGGAAGGGTGAATGAACAGGCCACCTGTACAGCGAGCGGAACGATGGCGTAGGTACCAGTCGAAAACTGACCAGGGGCAATGGTCCAGCCCCACGGCGCGCCGACGGCCATGTAAATCATGCCTCCGGCGATAACAAAGCAGATGAAGAATGTATACTTGAATCGGTGCATCATCTTGTTCAGGCCAATGTAGATACCCGTGGGGCCAAGCTCCTTGGAGGTAGAGGCCCACTCAATGTTGACGGAGAAGGCGTGGCACAACAGCGCCTTGGCACAGTTGATGCTGATGCCACCAAAGAATAGGAGCAGGAACGGTAGCCACTTGATAGTCTCGAGGATTGTGACCCAAAACGACTTCTCCTTGAGCCGGTGACGCGTCATACTGAAGGACACGGAGGCGACGCCATTGAAGACGACCAGAAGAGAAACCCAGATACCCCACGACGGAGTGTAGAAGTGGTCGAGATCGGAGAAAAACAAGCCAATGAGGACATAGTTAACGACGGTGAGCAGCATACCGGCAGCGATAGCGTAGTCTGCAAGTGGTCAGGTTCGCGAACCCGCAAGAACGGAGAAATGCACTCACAGGTAAATATGTAAGCAATAATGGAAACCTTGCTAGAAACGGGCATGTTGCTCCAGAGGAAGCGGAGGAACAGCCTCGTGACCGGGCCCTTGTAGATCCATTGGTAACTGTGAATTACTCAGTTAGTCATGTGTCAGGGCTCTCAGATATCGGCTCACTTACAAGGGATGGAACACAAGCTCGTTGCATCCGTAGGCGTACTTCTCCCAACGGTTCAGCTCGTCGTAGACGGTCAGCGAAACACCCTCCTCGAAGCCGCCGTTATGGTAGGTGGCTAGACGACAATCCATGCCGGCCACCTGGATGCGCAGACTCATGTCGAAGTCCTCGGACACATGCGAGTCAGACCACCACTTGGTGATGCCGTCGGAGGGATCGACAAAGGCGACGCTCTGGATGGCTTTCCAGCGCAGGAATGCGTTGTGGCCAACGAAAGGGGCGACGTCACCGGTGCCGACACCGTACTTGATGGCCGTGTAGACAATATTGGTAAAGTAGGTGATGCCGTTCTCGAAGATATTGTGGGCAACCTGCATGACGCCTGAACCATGCTGCAGAATGGCGACCTCTGGACTCTCGTGCATCTCAAGAGCGCCGTAGAGCAGACTGTCAATGGGGACGCGGGTGTCGCAGTCGATGATCAGGATGATCTCGCCCATGCGGATGTTACCCTCGGCCCAAGTCTTGCCCTCGTCGGCGTCGAGCATATTGTGCAGGGCCACCTCGTAGAGTGCATCGTCGTCTTCGGCAGATAGTTCTTCGTAGTTGCAGTTGCGGTTGCGGCACTCGAGCTCCGTCAGGCGGTGCAGCTCGTCCTCGACGCGGTTGGAGAAGGCTAGGCAATAGTTCATGTTGCTAGCTTTCTTGAACTTGCCCTTACGCACGAAGCCGAGCTTGTTGGCGCGGCCCTGGGGGCTGAGCTCGCTCTCATCCTGGTTGTCCACCTCAGGGTCGACTGGGGCCGTTCGCTTGAACCACGAGAGGAAGCCGCCGCTCTTGGGCGTCTTCATCGTGGGCATGCGTGCGCAGTAACCAATGCCGTTCTCGCGGTAGTATTGCTTGCGGGCTGCGGCCAGCTCAGGCTGAATGCACTGCATGCCGTCATCGTTGATAAAGACAGACGCCGTGCCACCCTGGTTCTCGTAGTACTGGATCGCAGCCATGACGGAGACCATGGTTGGGACAACGACGCTATTTGATGCGAGTTAGAAAGACTTCCAATGATGTGCAATGTCACGAAATCTACTTACCCCCGAAGACCCTCCTTGTATACGGGCATCTGCACGGTGATGTGCGGCAGCTCATAGTCAGTGTGTCCATCAACCAAGTAAAGCAAAATTTGGACCCTCTACTTGACTTGGTTGACGGGACCCCCTTGCTTTACTTGGTTTACTCGGTAGAGAGGCTTGCTTTGCTTGGTTGGTTGACGTTACTCGACTATTTTCCATTCCTTATGTGGCTCCGGTGGTAGATCTATGCTAACATACCGCTTCGAAGCAGGTGCTTTTGGCATTCAATCGCTGCTACAGTGTCCGAATTAAGCCGATTTCGTTCATCTGTGATAACCTTCTTTGTCTGTGAGAAAACGCGTTCACACTCGGCGCTCATTGCTGGGCAACTGAACAAGTCAAACGCCATCTTGGACAGGATGGGGTAGTCAGATGTATGGCGAACCCACCATTCCAGAGGATCCTCAACATCCAGATCAGCCTTATTAGTCCTGGCCATAAACTCATCCAGCTCAGATGTCAGTTTTGTCCGCTTCCCTCGTGTGGCTGACGCCGCAATGGCAGCAAGCCTCTGACGACGCTTACGAGCTTGCTGGAGTGGATCAAGCCTCGCCCCGTTATCAGCAATAGCCTCCTCCTCCTCCTCCTCCTCTTCCTCCTGCTGTCGTGCTCCTTCTATTAGGTCCACTTCCGCAGCTGCTTCCTCGTATTGTGCATAAGCCTCCCGCACCACTCTCTTCGCCCCGCTGATCCATTGCTTGTTGTGACTCCATTCAAGCTCGAAGTAGGTAAATTTGTTTGCCGGATGCAGGGCAACTGCACATCGGTATGCAGGCGTGGCATCTGTGAGGCCAAAATATTCTTCAAGCTTGATGCGAGCAGCATCAATAGCATGGGAATAGTATGTTGACACCACGTCAGGGTGATCATCTGCAAACTTCCCAGCCTCCTGGAGCTTCTTGAAAAGGACATCAAGCGACTCGATCGTCTCGTGGAGGGAGCCATGCGATCCTTCTAGGCCAGCTTTGTTTGCCCGGCCTTCCATGCGCTTTGTTAGGTCTTTGAAGGGCTTTAAGATATTGAGGAAGTGGCCCAGATCGGTCCAATCTTGTGGAGTAAGGATATCCTGTGAGATATCATATTCTCCGTTGGTATCGTTGTAGTTGAGGAAGAATAGATCAATGGCGTGGCGGAGTTTCAGAGCTCTTTCAATCATGGAATATACAGAGTTCCAGCGGATCCCGCCATCGACCAGGACTCTAGTGTAGAGGCTCTCGATGCTGCCTTCGTCGTACGCCTGCAGAACGTACTGTTTCAGTCTCTCTCGTCGCTGGTCGCTTCTGTTGATCCACGTACAGAAGTTGTGGAGCTTGCCGATAAAGCTTTGCTTCTTCCATATCTCAAACCGCTCGTCATCAGATGCGCCACGGAGCCGTTGCTCCAGCTTGCTAACGCCCTGCCCAAAGAGGAGAGCTTTGACGATGAGATTCAGCATATGGCCGACGCACCGAAGGCGACTCTGACGATTGATTGCAGGGTACTGCTTTGCTAGCTCCTGAATGCATGTGTCATTATTGCTAGCGTTGTCCATCATAAAGAAGCCAATGACTGGGGAGATATCGTAGAAATCGATGACTGTTGACAGCACCTTGGCAATATTCTCGCCGGAGTGAGGGCCTTTCAGAGGGGGAAGATCCAGAAGAGCTGTCTGTAGCTTATGTCCTTCATCCAAGAAGTGAGCAACAACAGCTAGATAGTTTGTCCCTTCTTCAGATGTCCACGCATCCGTCGAGACGTGAATCTTGCTTGTGGTGAGATGGAGCTTTTCTCTCAGCCAAACACGTCTCCCAGCATCACCAAACCATTTCTCTTTGACCCAGCTACTAAGAGCTGACGGGCTCTTGGGCAGAATCTTGTCGCTGTCTTCCAGATAGTTGGTAAAAATCTCATAGGTGCGTTGATGGGTTGCTTGACGGAAGGTGAGATCAAGATCAATCACCCAGTCGGTAAAATCGTCTTTAAATTGCAGGTCGTTGAACACCAAGCGCCGGCCTCCGAGGTATGATGTGAGATTTGTTGCGCCCTTGGCTATGCTGAAGGGGTTGCATTCTGCTGCCTTGTAGCCAAATTCTTCCAGCCTGTGCTGATGTTTCAGATGGTATATAATGCTGGTCGTGCTCTCACTGGCAAAGAGCGCAGTATTGTGATGGCCACTAACGTGGCAGTATTTGCAGAGCCAGTACTTATTGTCTCCGTCCGTTGTAAGCTGTGCGCCGTGTCTGTAGATTGCTGAGGGTTGGGATTTGGAGTTGATGGTGCGCTTATGAGGCTGACGATATCGGATGGATGGCACTGGCTTCCCATCGTAACGGATTTTGTCCCACTCGACAGGGAAATGGCATTGAGAAGCTTTTGGCACCTCTCTTTCGTGGGAAACGGTTGCGGGAGAAGCGCCATGAAGTGGCACACTGGTTGGAGTTGAGACCGAGCTAGGGGTACTGGACTGAGCAGAATCGATCGGCTCAGAGGGAGTCCTAGGGGGTGTAGCCTTTCCGAACCTTCCCCGAGGCTGAAACATTGGATATGAAGGCATTATTAACTTGGGATTTGGACTGTGCAGCAAAAGACATGGGACAAATTGATCGGGCTGCAGCCTCCTGTCGCGACCTCAAAAAAAAAAGGGGGGGTTTCGCAACGACCTTGCCTAAAACGGAAATGCAGTCGAGTAACCTCAAGTAAACCCGAGTAAGCGAAGGGGTCTTGCTTTGCTTGGTTGAAGACCGTCTTTACTTTACTTGGTTGTTACGTAATCAACCAATCCCAACCAACCAAGTCAAGTAACTTGGTTGTTGGACACACTGCTCATAGTCGACGTAGCGCTTGCGGTTGGGCTTGACGGCTGTGGCGCACGTTAGATCAGCTCCAAGCTCCTACCATATGTCTCGAGGGCCAGCCTTACCGGAATGGTATCTCGAGTTTCTCAGGCATATGCCAGCCGGGAGAAGCAGTTGGAAGACACTACTAACGACGACAATGAAGAAGAACTACACAGCCAGTCAGACAGTTGCAAATTGCAGGTCTAGAGCCCGAGAATCACCTACCAACGACAGGAGGCAGAGGGGCGGGATGACCACAACCTGTATCTGGGTCAGTTTCCCCGAAGAGCGTCGCAACATGGATACAACTCACCAAGATGAATCGCTTCCAATCGCCGTCCCAAGACCACTCCCGGAGAAGCTATAGAGTTGTCGGTTAGCGCAGCTCTATTCTGAGAGGGTTTCTCCTTGGGTGTAATAGTAATCAACTCACTTTGGAAACACCCATGCTCTGTGTTAGAATGACCAAGATCATGACAATACCAATTCGGACCGAGTGCAATCTCAGGGCAGGCCGCACGGGCGGCTTGCCCTCGAGATCCTCATCTCCCTCGCCTTCGCCCTCCTCGACCTTGATGGCGAGTTGGTAGACCTCATTTTTCTCGTCGATGGCGCCACGGACAGGTGTGGGGAGGCCCTCAATTGACTGCTCCTCGGTTTGGGCAAGCAATCCGCTGGGCATTGAAGGGCCAACAATCTGCCCCATCACAATTCGAGTCAGCCCCGTCCGTCATTGTGACGTTTTTCTTGAAAATCTTGGCCCCCAAGGAGGCGTTGCCAAATGCGGTTGGCTTGGCTTGCTAGTGAGATGGAGGGACGGGTTCAGCCGCTACTTACAAAGCCTAGTAGCTGCTTCTCAACATTGTGTGCTACATTGATAACGGTGTTGGGGACATTGGACCAAATGAGCACGCAGCGCTCCTGGACGACGATGCATGAGCTGGTCGAGTGCACAAACGACTGGTGGACGTCGGCCAGGCTGGGGACGATGGGAATGCGGGCGCCGGTGCTTTCCATAAGTAGGCTCGCCTGTTTAGGCGTAATGGTGTCAATGACCGTGTTAGTCACCTCCGAGGCCATGGAAACGACGGCATTCTCTTCCAGGCGGGCCACAGCAGCCACCAGGTCGGGGCTTGGGTCATCCGGCGCATAGGCGTAGTTGCCGTCAGGCTTCTTCAGCGCAACACAGGTAGAAGACCAGCCGCTGGTAATGGTGGCCGCGGCTGGCTCCTCGAACCACCCTAGCAGGGTCGCACGGCGGGCGAGGTATTTGGCAACCTAGGTCCCGTTAGGCTTTTCCGGTCATGAGGGAAGCCGCAGGTTGGTTACTGTTGCGGACAGATGCATAGGCAGGGGTGAAGGAGTATAATGTCGGGGCACGTTCATGAAAAAATTGGGGTCCCAACAAGAAGGAAGACAAGATTGGCACGGTAACCCTCAACGTGGCGACCCTGTGTGGGCAGTGCATGGGGTGAATAAGACGAGAGATGGACATGTGTCGACAGGACTCACTAGTGCCTGCTCCTTGGCATCGGGGGGACTCATCACAGGCGTCCCCGAAAAGGAGCTATGGCCGGACCGTGATGGAGGGTATCCCCTCAATGGCCGCTCCGGAGACTGGTGAGAAACGACTGAGGGAAAATCACCTCCTTCGAGCTTCTTCAGCATCTGCGGATCGGCAGAAGGACTGGGAGGCGTAGGCGCAATCGACTCGCGGAAGCGAGAGCGCATCTTCTCGGAGGCCATTCTTGGATAGGGACTTGCACGCAGGGAAAGCTCGCACGGAGGAATCCTTTTCCCAATAAACCTGACGATCTCCCTCGCGGGAAGAAAGGGGAAAGACTTGGGAAGAAGACGGAAAATAAGTGAAGTTAATCTGGTCAAGAGGCAAGCCGAAGGCGAACGGCCCTAGGTCATGTTATGAAAGTTACCCTTCGGACCGTGTTCTAGATTCGTGAGCCTGAGGGGGATTAAGCCTTGTTTGGGCGTCGGAGGAGCTCGTGTCCGGGTCGGCGGCCTGCATTGCGCTCGACTCGCCTGCTCTCAGCCAACCTGGCAAGGCTCTAGATTGCCCAGAGCGGCCGGTGGAGGTGTGGGGATTTGCCCAGGGGTCCGGTGAGATCAGAGAGCTGACAATACCGAGGCTGGCACGCAACCTCCGCCTTGACCTGACAGCGAAGCAACTGCCACCAGATAGGGAAGCTGGTTAGTTGCCAGCTGAACCAAGGTTCGGGACCATCGAGGCCCGTGGCGGTCCTGCCGTCAGCAGCTAGATGGAGACAAATTAGACAATCATGCTGCAGTTTATCAATACGTAGCTCTGCGTCGATAATGGCAACGCTAGGCGGCTAGGAGGACATGGCCAAGACAGCTGGTGCGGCGGTTGCTGCAGGTAACTAGCAAGGGGTTTGCAGAGAAGTTGCAGAGAGGTTGCAGAGAGCGTCAACTCAGTACCGTATACGAGAGGGCCAATCACGCGGTGCTCCTCTTTTCTTTTCCGGCTCGAGAAACAGCCACCAACCAGATGATCGATACGTAGCTATTTTTCTCCGGTTTCTTTTTTGCCGAGTGGATGGTGTTCATGACGTTGACTGTACGGCAGACTCAGCATTGATCCGTATTAATCATCCCATGTTAATAGCAGCCTGTTCCTGAGTTAAGACAAGGCTTAGGCTGCGCTGCCCGCTGTGGATCTACCCGACACCCCACGCTGGCAGTTAACGACTGCACAACCTTGTCCAGGACCCATTCCATTCCGCCAGATCGATAGGGTCAGGGCCGCCTTGGGAGGGCAAATACCAACTGCCGGGCCCCTTAATGGAGCCTGTGCCGAGATCCGCGTCATATGTACCATGTCTAGGGGGAAAGCTTTATTGACCTTGGCACGCTCGGCAAGTTGACTCTGCATTAGTGAATCAATGATAGCCAGGGGCAGAGAAGCGTTGGCCTCGGCGGCTTGAGACAATGGGACTGTGTGAGTACTCAACCACCGGTCGATTGCTCTATCTCAGCTCCGAATAACGAATATCTCTACCCCCGGCAGTCGATGACGGGCACTTTATTAGCTCACATGCGAAACGCGCCCGCTAAAACGGACTAGCAGCTACACATCCAATCGGATGCCATCCTAAACCATTTCTTCGGAGTTTTCGTCGTAGTCGCCTATCTCGAGAGGCGTCGCCAACAGCCTCAACACCCGGGCCACTATCAGGTCAACTTCCACCAACAACACGACACGCAGTTGTGGCGTACGTGTTAAAAAAATATGGTGGCGATTCGGTCGCCGCATGCTTAGGCGCATGAACCTGGAGAGCTAAATGCAACCCTGCGCACTCCAATTCGAGCTGTTGAGTTGACTAACGCCCACTGACCCTGAAGCCAACGGAGTCCTACGTCGTTCATACGAAGTACAGGATCCACTCAGATGGCTTTTGAGTTGCTCTGCGCGCTAAGGTGCTTATGCTGACCGGGGAGGAGCTCTTTTGACTCCATTATCAGAGCCTCAGCGCTTCCAGCAGTCCCCTGCAGTCCCCTGCATGCAAGCCACCATGTATGCACAGATAGGCATGGCTCTCGGCTGGACGCATATGCTGTATCCGTATCTCGATGACAGATCAGGATCCTCACCTTCCGGACCCGGTCTGGACGCCTAGAGGCTGTCGTAGTGCTATCGAAACCTGATACCTCGTCGTCTTGTACACACTGCCTCGCGGCCAGGGCATCCCTTCGCCCCTACCCCTGTTCCTAGTCGACCAGGGTTTCGGCGAGGCGGCATCTCGGTCTAGGACTCCAGTCGGCATTGAAGTCACGGTAACGAGGCAACGGCATTCTATAGATCCATTGCCATGTCATACTTGGCTGCATTTCAGCTGACGTCTCGAGCGCCATATCAAGGTCTCGGCCACCTGGGTATCTTCAACCCCGGCTGGTGTTATTGCCCTTGAGTGTTCGGAGGCCCAAGCCTAGCTCCAACCTTATTTGGATTCCAAGAACAAGGCCCTCGAGAGCAGAGCACTGTTTCCATATCATCACGACTTCCTGGGACCAAGTCAAGAGTCTTCTCTCTTGGCATCCGGCTCTTCGGCACTTCGAGGATTCACACATTGGCTGCTCCCGCTTTGACAATGGAATCCTCAAGGACGGTCAACTATACTGTCGAGGAACCCGCCTCGACATCGGTAAATCCCACTGGAACACCTCGCAATGAGTCGCCTGAAAACCCATTCGCAACTCCCATTGCCGCGACACCAGTTGCGCCCTCTCTGACGTCCCGACGAGCGACGTATGTCCGAACTGCCTCGACATATGAGAGTGCGTTGAATCCGCACGAGGCAGCTCTCACTTGTGTTGAGTTTGAACTGACCCAAACCAGTCGCAGGGCCGCGTCGGCGCTTCAAGAGCAGCCGACTCATTGGCGATTTCGAGAAGCCATGGCTCAACAAGTCGAAGAGGGAGATCAACTGGGACGGCATCATCTTCTACACTTCCGTTTTCATCGGTCTCGGTCAGTTACCACCGTTTCTTTAATCCCTCTGTGGTCACCTCCTTGCCCACATCTTTGCCCATCTATTCGAACCGTACGCTGACTATTGTCCTCTACGCAGCCATCGGCGCATACCTTTGCTGGCATGCCACTCGTGGAGTGCCTAACCAAGATGTGAGTGCAACCCAAGGCGACGAGGCGACTTACACCCGAGACCCAGGCTGACGGAGAGGCGCAGTACTGCATGATTATGGACGATCACTTCGAGAACATGGACAATTGGAACTACGAGGTGCAGATGAATGGATTCGGGTATGTTGCATCGCCTCCCCCTTGATCGAGTATTGACGGGGATCGTTCCTTGGAACTTATCTCGGGTACTCTAACCCCCTGGTCGCGAACAGCAGGGCTGACGATGCCGCAGTACCGGGTCCTTCGACTGGACCACCAAGGACAAGGCCAATTCGTACGTCGACGCCGAGGGGCTGCACATTGTGCCAACCATGACGCTCGAGAGCACCGATATCACGTACGAGCAGCTAGTCAACGGCCACACAGTCAACCTGACGACGGATGGCCGCGCCGACGGCAAATGCACCACGGACCAGACGCAGGCCGACGACCTGGACGCGCGATATCCCTGTGCGGCCGTCAGCAACGCGACCAAGGGCCAGATCATCAACCCGGTGCGGTCGGCGCGGCTCAACACGCGAGGCAAGAAGACGATCCGGTACGGCCGCGTCGAGGTGACGGCGCGCATGCCGCGGGGCGACTGGCTGTGGCCGGCCATCTGGATGATGCCGCAGGACAACGTCTACGGCGAGTGGCCCAAGTCGGGCGAGATTGACATCATCGAGAGCCGGGGCAACGACGCGCAGACGTACGACATGGGCGACAACCTCGTCTCGTCGGCCCTGCACTGGGGCACCGCCTCGATCAACGATCGCTGGCGGAGGAGCTATGGCGAATGGGGCGGCAAACGAGTCCGCTACAGCGACAAGTTCCACACGTACGGGCTGGAGTGGAGCGAGAAGTATCTCTTTACCTGGCTCGACGGCCGGCTTCGGGTGAGTTGCAGAGCGTGTTGTGATGGTTCTTGTGGTGGAGTTGCAAGCTCTGTTTCTGCTTCTGCTTCTGGCGCAGCGCGGCGACTCCTCTTCCCCCCAGACCTCTTCCATTGCCCCCACGACAAGTTCCCGTCCGCGCCGTCTGTGCTTTGCGCGATTCTATAAGGCTACGCTACGAGCGGGCTGTGGCTGGCGATTAGCTTGGATCCGGGCGACGATGCGGCTCGCTGTTGCACACTTTTCCCAGCTACCGTTTACACTACGCAATTGAATCGAGAGAGGACTCTGCTAACCCCAGCCGTCAATCTGCAGCAAGTCATCTTCTTCGACTTTACCAAGAACAAGAACCTGTGGACGTACGGCGAGTTTGCCGGGTCGTCCGTCAACGGTTCCGTGCCTGTCGATCCCTGGAGCAGCACGGGACGCGCCAACACGCCCTTCGACCAGTCCTTTTTCCTCATCCTCAACGTTGCCGTCGGTTCCACGAATGGCTGGTTCCCGTAAGTCTAAATAGATGCTTCTTGACCACCGCGGCCCACACACAGACTCTCACACCCACATACCCACACACCCACACACTCACACACCCGCTCCCCCACCCTCGCGTTTTCCCCCGGCCCCTGGCAGCCTTGTCCCCCCCCAACCTCACCATTTTAATTATTTCCTCCTTGTTTCCTTCTAGTGCCCGTTTGACTAACTCCGGTCTTTTACTGCAGCGACGCCGTTGGCGGCAAACCCTGGGCCGACAACAGCGAGACCCCCATGCGCGACTTTTGGAAGTCCAACTCGACTTGGTTGCCGAGCTGGGGTCCCAAGGAGGAGCGTGGCATGGTCATCAAGTCGGTCAAGATGTGGCAGGAGGGAAAGTGCTAAGCGACCTGCTTTTGCTTCTTTTCTCTTTCTTGTTCTCTGCTTCTGCTTCCTGTTCTCTCTGCTTCTTGTTCTCCTTCCGCTTCCTTTTACTTTGGGGTGCGCGCGCACGAATGCATCGCGCCGAATTAGAAACGCCCCCCCAACAGAACCTTAGTGCCGGGGAACTGTTATGACGCACACCGAGTGGGGACCGACAGGGGAGACAATGTTACGTTGCCGGGATTGACCATCCTCTGTGCTTCGGTGGGGCTGCTGTTGTTGTTGGCCGGCAGCTGGGATCAATCTTTAGACTGGAATCGGGCTACGGCGTCGGGTCGCTTTGGTGTGCTCTGTTTTGTACTTCTTGTATTGGATGCCCACTCTGCAGTGGACTCGGGATCATCTAGGAATTTACTAATCGTAGTCATTGATCCTTCTTCAGTCATGCCGTATCATGACCACGTTTGAGACTCGAGGGTCTGCGGGATCTTTTTTTTTCCCTCCATGCTAACACATTCATGCATGCCGATAAGGACGGCGTAGATACCCATACGAGAAATCTTGCATCAGCATAAGATGTGATGAGTGATGGCCGATGCGCCAGGCGGCTCTTAGTCTTGACCCTAACACGTCACAACGCGCACGTACTATGTATGCACTCTTGTTATCTACGTAGCTTTCGCTGGGCACGGCTGCGTCTGGTTGCCTATGACGAGTCCACCTTGAGTCCTTTAGTGTCACCTTCCGATATGGTTGTGGCGCATCTGGATCTAGACCACCTGTGCTTGTACTCTGTCTTCTTTACTTGGCCATGCCGTCTATGTTTAAGGCCAAAGATTACGGAGCTCAACCACACGTCGCAGGAAGCGCGGAATATTGCTCCGTAAATGCCATGGGCAGTTCTGTGTCTGTGCTTGATCTACCCGAGGACGCTAGGCCCTTGATGCCCGAGCTCCGGGAAAGCGTGGCATGTGGTAGCTCGTGTAAGAGGGGAGATTGAAAAGTACCGACGTTGCAGTTTATATTGACAGGTTTACGGTAGATGCTGTTTCTGTCCAGAAGCTTCTGATGTACACTCTTTCCCCTGGTGGAGACCGCGTCCAACAATTGCAAGAAGCTGCTCTCAACGTAAAATAACACGTGGGGTTCGCGTCACTTTGCGTCATCAGGCTGTCCAAGATCCTGTAAGCCTTGGCACGAGGGAAAAGTGTCTCAACCTGGAACCGCCATGGCCCGTTTGGGCGATACTTGTGGTTCTGGTACCGCAGCGGCCTGGATGCGCTCTCAGCTAAAAGCTGCACGCTGACAGCCATGGGCTCGGGCGGTCAATCCTTCAAACCCCTGTCCTGTGCTGTGCGCCACCCGGCATGGCGTTCAGGGGTTGAACCAACGCTGACTGAGTTACTCCGTCATGGTTGGTCGTTTCGTTATCTTGGAGAGCTGCATGGCAAGCTTGACTCTCTGCTGCCGTTCCCGACTCCTGGCTACCCTCCCAGGCCGGCAGGGTGCGCCAGGCTCTGACAACACGGCAGCACCGTGGAGATTGCAAGGCTTGCTCGAAATACAACTATTGTTTTTGCAATTCCCCACGGGGCTGTTCAGCTTCACCCCCAGCTTGGCCGGGCCCCCCTCGGATGGCACGATGGCAACCATGGTTCGGCTTTGGTCCTCTCCTCGATCAGCCTAGGTTGCTTTTCAGCGCTGAGTCGACCGGAACTATTGGAGAACGGCGGGCCGTGGTCGGGGGAAGGGGAAGCTGGGCGTCTGGGCGCCTGGGCGTAACTAAGAGATATAAGGTGCAGGTTTCGAACCACCAGGGTTTCCCTCCTTTACTCCTTGTAGGAAATCACGCAAAGGTCTTTAGCCTCTCGCAGTACATTCGTTCCGGTCATTTGCCAACACTTCTTGGCGTTTGGTTTCAGATGGCCGTCACTCGGTGTGTTGCACTCGTTGCAGCGTTCCTTTACTTGACTTCGGCCAGTGTCATTCTCCGCAGGGACCTGACACCGCCGACGATCCCCCAGGATGGCTGGACCTACATCGGATGCTTCGTTGATAGCACTGCCCAGCGCGCCCTCAACGGTGCCGTCCACTATGACACGGCCGGCTTGACAGCGGAGACGTGTGTCGCCTTCTGCGACGGTGCCGGCTTCTCCTACGCCGGCATGGAGTACACGGCCGAGTGCTGTAAGTGACGTCCCACCAACCCCAACGCTTATGAGACCGACGGCTGACTATCACGCCTTGCAGGGTGTGGTAACACGGTGCCCACCACCGAGGTGGACGACTCGGACTGCAGCATGCCTTGTTCTGGCGACGCCGATCAGCCCTGTGGTGCTGGAAACAGGTTGACTGTCTTTAAGGGCCCCGCTACTACTGGCCCCGGGGCGCCTCCTACTATTCCGGGATGGTCCTATCTCGGCTGCATCGAGTAAGTGATGCTCCTACCAACCGCCGCGGGATCTGTCATATTCGGACACGAACTAATCTGTCATGCAGGGAGGGATCTACTGGCCGCGTTCTGACCACGCAGGTCTGGTTGTCGGGAGGTGCCAGTTCCATGACCAACGAGCTCTGTGTCGCCGCCTGTGAGGCAGATGGCTTCAGTCTCGCCGGCACCGAGTACTCTGGCGAGTGCTTCTGCGGCAACGAGTATGCCAACGGCGGTGGCGACCTTGCCGACGGCTGTACCATGGCGTGCCATGGCGATGGGACCCAGTTCTGTGGTGGCCCCAACCGCCTCAGTGCCTGGACTTTTGGTGATGCACCCGTGTCCTCGGACAGCCCCTCTTCGGTGGCATCCACGACCACGGCCATCCCGGTGGCTTCGTCCTTGACCACAGTCGTCTCAAGCTCCGTGACTTCATCCTCTTCAGATGAGACGTCCACTTCCAGTGCCGTGTCCTCAACCTTGTCGGATCTTCCCACCGTCTCCGGCCTGCCTACCGGCTGGGAGTACAAGGGCTGCTACATTGACCCTCCTGGACGTGCCATGGACGGCGCTCCGGGAAGCCCCTCTTCAAGCAACACTCCCGAGATGTGCATTGCCACGTGCATTTCCAATGGCTTCAACATCGCCGGCATGGAGTACTCGGAGGAGTGCTACTGCGGCAACTCGTTGAACAACGGCGCCTCCAAGACGGACGAGGCGGACTGCAACATGGCCTGCTCTGGCGACGACACCCAGATGTGCGGTGCCGGCAACCGCCTGTCCCTCTACTCCAAGGGCGACTTCACCATCTGGCCGGTGCCTGTGGTCAAGGAGACCGACCTGCCTGGCTCGTGGGAGTACAAGGGCTGCGTCTTCGACAACGGCAACCCCTACATCCTTGAGTGGCTCTGGGAGGACGCCGTCAACTACGCCAGCAGCGAGATGACGATTGACCTCTGCCTCAAGCGCTGCCAGAAGTTTGGTTACTCCGCCGGCGGTGTCGAGTATGGCCGCCAGTGCGTCTGCGGCGATCTTCGCGCCGTCGAGTCCCGCGATGATGTCTTCAAGGCGGACTCTTTCTGCAGCATGCCTTGCCCTGGCGACCGCAACTACACGTGCGGTGCCGGCAACCACATCAACTACTACGAATGGACTGGAGATTCACTCAACACGTTCCATTACGCGTCTGGTTATGCCGCGGGCGAGTACGACTTTTTCTCCACGTCGCCCATCGTGCCCCTGATCTCCTCTGTTGGCATCAACAACAAGGTCGTCTTTGTTGAGAAGCACGGAACGTCTCTGGACAACACTGAGGGCTCCTTCGAGTTTGACTACTCCACCAACACGTACCGTGAGCTCGCCCTCAAGACGGACGTTTTCTGCTCAGCCTCTTTCACTCTCCCCGACAAGGCTGGCCGCATGATTAACATTGGCGGCTGGTCGGCCGAGTCTGTCTATGGCGTCCGCTTCTTTACTCCCGACTCGCCACAGGGCGTGGACAACGGCACCAACAACTGGGAAGAGGACTACACGATATTGCGCCTCTTTGATCCCCGCTGGTATCCCACGGCCATTATCCTGAGCAACGGCTCGCTGCTCGCCATGGGCGGCGAGTCTGGCTCTGACGCGCCCATCGTGCCGACGTGCGAGGTTCTGCCTCACCCCGACGGCGTCACCGAGTCCACGTACCTCGACTACCTTGCTCGTGCCGACGAGATCAACCGCCGCAACTCGTATCCCTTTTTGGCCATCCTGCCTACCGGCGACATCTTTTTTGCCCAGTTCAACGAGTCGCGTATCATCTCCCAGACCGACTTCCAGTCCATCCGGAAGCTGCCTGACATGCCCGGCGCCGTCGACAATCCCCTAACTGGCCGCAACTACCCCTTGCAAGGCACCATGATGATTATGCCCCAGAAGGCCCCCTACACCGACCCTCTGACCGTTCTGGTATGCGGTGGCACCACCGCTGAGCCCGGCAACGAGGCTCTTGACAACTGCGTCATCATGCAACCCGAAGTCCCAGGCGCCGAGTGGACAATTGAGAGAATGGTAAGACAAGTTTCCCCAGGTGCTTAGAACCACATTCTGTCTTGCACATGCTAACGTCCAAACAGCCCTCGAAGCGCGTTATGCCCACAATGGTGGCTCTTCCTGACGGCCGCTACCTCATGATCAATGGTGCCAAGGTTGGCCGTGGTGGCTTCGGTCTGGCTGACGACTCCAACTTCAACGCCGTCATTTATGACCCTGAACAGCCCCTCGGCCACCGCATGACGGTCCTGGCCAATACCACCATTGCCCGCATGTACCACTCCGAGGGCGTTCTCCTCAGCGACGGCAAGGTGCTCATCTCGGGCTCTGACCCACAGGACCAGGGCAAGCACCCCCAGGAGTACCGCCTCGAGTACTTCTGGCCCGACTACCTGCTGTCGGGTGCCACGCAGCCCGAGTTTTCCATCAATGATCACGACTGGGAATACGGCGGCACCTACAGCTTCAGGCTCGACTCGACACTGGCCGAGGGCGCTTCCAACATGCGCGTCTCCCTCATGGCCTCTATCGGCTCCACCCACGGCGTCACCATGGGCCAGCGCACCCTGTTCCCCGACTTCTCTTGCGCTGGCAATACCTGCACCGTCACGGCGCCACCGAATTCCTTCGTAAGCCCCCCCTCGTGGTACCAGATGTTCGTCCTCGACGGTCCCACGCCCTCGCACGCCATCTGGGTCCGCATTGGTGGCGACCCGGCTGAGTTGGGCAACTGGCCTCAGTTGCCGGGCTTCACTACTCCTGGTGTATAGGGTCGTAAATGGAGAGAGTCGACGCATAATAGTTGGAGAGTGGAGCAGATCTTTTCCCCTGAGATTTTATAGATGACCGGATAGCCGGTTCATATTACCTTCTTATCTCAGACACCAGACTAATCCGTAATATTCTATTTCTTTGTAATCCGCACCGCTTATTGCATTTCCTTGTGTTCGTGACTTTGAAGGGTTTCCATTTCGATGTCTACTACTTGCCACAGCAAAATCAATGCCATACGATTTGAATTACAGAGGCGTGTAGACTACTGTCGCGCTGTAGCAGCATCTACTAAGCGGGAACCCCTCTTCGCGATTTAAACTTGGCATGTCGGCGTTGCTAAGTAGTTCACACTGCCTATGCATTGTTACCGTGGCATTTGAAAGTGCTTATGTGCGCCGTCAAGACCAAGTCGCATACCAACTCACAAGCAAAGTGCGTCCTGGCGATATTTGAGGACAGTAAAGATGATGAAGATGGGGATAATTCCAAAAGAACATTTTCGAAAAAAAAATCGAAACAAAATTCGCTCATTTGTAAGCCAGGTAATATTCACCTTGGTTCCTTTTACATCAACTGGTAGACGTTGGCGATCTTCTCGTCTCCCCCACTGATCACAGAAGCAAAGAAACCAGGACTTGCGCTATCAATTCCTGACCATTATATAACTTCTTTATGCAACGCTACCCGTGAAGCTCCAGGGTAGATTGCAGACTTCCACACCCGAATCGGTCCGTGAAGTCGTCGAAGAGGTATAACGGTTCAGTCGATTGGGATAGATGTCCCCTCAATCAACTAGCATCATGGCCGGGGGCGATGGCAGATCAATAACATCTACATCTGTAACTCGACAAATGGTCCTGGGCTCTTCTTGGACTTCTGCAGTTCGATATACCATTTTATAGTACAGTATCTTCCGCTCTTGTAGTGATGTTCATTATCGGCTTCCTCTTCCGTTCTCTCTGCTTTCTCTAATAACTAGGCAGACCAGCTCCCTCATCCCATGTTAGAGACCGGAACCGTATCGCTTACACTAGAAAAAAAATAGTAATCGACCCTCAGACACCGCAAAACCTAGTTTTGTAGTTCACGGTATTTTAAAGCTATTACAAAACCATATGGGTATATCAACAGATCAAACGTGTGTAAGTAAAAGAGGAAGCTGGTACTGAACACCACTGTACTCCTCGCCCATATTGACTCCATCTGTTGTATGCACCGAGAGAGTGGCTCCTCTACCCTTATCACAGCCGCAATTAGGATTTATAAAGATTGCTAGATATGAAATTTCATTCCTAGATTTATGCGGCATTGTGTAGAGGAATGTGGTATATATGTCTCTGAAGCCCCCCCCCTTTTTTTTTCTACCAATGTAAAACATCGTTCGCCGTTTGTTAAGATGAAGAAAGGACTCTTAACTTCTTCAACATTCATCATCGTTATCTAGGTAGAAGGTGTGCTGTACAGTACAATAAGATCAATAGAGCTTGCCGTGTCTTTACAAGACGCGTATGCCAGAGACAGGGTAAAGTTAGCCAAAAGCCGCAAGCTAAGATATCCAAAGGGATTGTGCAATGATTTGCTCAGAAATTTGCCAATAATGTCCGATGGATATTCCTACAGCCCGGAGTCCACTAGTTACTGTAATTCCTAAGCCCACCCCAACTCTAAGCTTGCCTCCTCCGCGTCCAGCCTGACGTACATGTATCACAAAATGGATTCCCTAGGCCGGGGCCCAAAGGAAAGAAGTGGACCAAGTTCCAGAGAGATAAAAACTACCGCCCCCATCTATCACTATTCAAATATATTTGCATATAATTTATTTCCTCTGAATCAATTCAGCCCTCACCCTACGTCTCTACAAAATGTCAAGCCCCGCGAGTCCGGACCAAAAGATTACCCAAAATGCCATCATCATCTCTGCTTTCCCCTGTGCCGGGAAGTCGTGGCTAGAACAGCACCATAGTCATGCTGGGTACCCAGTACTGGATCTGGATTTTTCACGGTTTTCTTTCTTGGTGGACGGAAAAACCGGTAATCCTCAATTCAAAGAGAACGATCTTGATGAAATACAGAAGTTCGTAGGCCAACGAACTGTAATCTTAGTTTCAACACCTGAGGAACTTCAGAACGGTCTCAAAGATCGAGGCTTGAAATATTTTCTGGTATTTCCAGAACGAGGGCTGAAGAATCAGTGGCTGACTCGTTTGAAAAAACGGGGTGATTATGGCCTGGCTGATCTCCTCCAAAAGGATTGGGAAAAATTCATCACTGGGTGTATGAAACAAAAAGGATGTGAAATGCATACTCTAGGATCTGGCCAGTATTTGTGAACGATCATAGAAGATATCGAGCGGCAATATTGGACGAAGTTGGACCGCTTTCTTATCGAGTCGAAGGGACGATGGCTATTATGTCTGAGAATCTTGAAGAGAAAGATGCTTACACTATGAACCTGGAGTGCATCGTTGCGGTACGGAAATCGTTTCATAGAGACTGTATTGTCCTCGCCTGGCCCCCAAGCTTATATAGTTGAGCCTAGGAGAACCTGGTACGCCATCTTACGCCATGCACACAAGTTAATACAAATGTGCACTTGATTGTATTCTAATACATTGCACATCGACGCCCGTTCATTTACATCTAATCATTAGCTGGATTGGGCTACTGGCTTGGTAGACGCCGCCACGGGGAATCATGAAACTGCCGATTCTGCGTGCAAGCGGCTGAGCAGCTATCTTATTATCCTAAGGGGTTCTCCTATAGTTATTGCAAACTCCGACCTCCGGACTATCAAGATTCCTGAGCTGTGACCATAACGATCATTCGAGGGCTCGCTCAATCTTCCACCTCAATATAGCGATAGAGAAAGACTCCAACATCCTGCGGTAATTCACAGTAAATAATGCTATATTCTTTCTGTCCTCTTCTATGTATTGTTGACAATATGCCTTATTTTATTTTAAGGCGTCAATCTCGTCCATGCAAACCTCATCCGCATCAATCTAACCCATGTCGGGCTCGCTATCAGGCTCGCTGTCAGTCTCATCCAAGTTGTCAGGCGCATCTAAGTTTTCAAAATAGAAAGGGATGCGATATATTAAGCGCTGCGCACCCTTGCAATCTAGCGTGAACTCGCTCGAGACTAGTTCGTCGATCAACTTTATCAGTGAACGGGGTAGGTGATTGCGTACCCATCGCTCACGCACTTGTCTTGCGATTTGGACAAGCTGGAACAGTTGCGGTGTGATTTCGAAAGCCTCCTCAATATTACCCTTTGCGATTTCTTCCCCCGATTTACGCATGCTGCGATATACATACCGAGGCAGATGATGTTTTCCACAGAGATGTGTAGGAAAAAATTCCAAGTCGCCACTCTGGACGACCGACCCGCAGAACCGGTCCAAGAACGCAGCATCTCTACACTCTCTGTTGATGATTTTCCAAACTTCTCTGTTGTAGAGTGGACCTGGTTTAGTTGCGAGAGATTGTGGATTCTCAAGATAGATGGCTGCGTTGAATTCGAGATTGAGCAGAGCGGCTCGTGATGCTTAGGTTGTTGTGTCTGGGCACCACGCTGGATAAGATACGGAACCATCGTCTTCCAAATATTGAAGGGTGAAGAGAGAGCACAGCACATTGGAGTGTCCCCCAAAATATTTGATGCATTTATGTCGAGTTCCCCTTTTACAAGGTAGTCCATGATGTCAGTTGAGCAAGATGTAGCGGCGAAATGGGCGGCTGTATTCGATTCTGCGAATTTAAGTAATGCTCCCTTTTCAATCAAGAATTTGGCAGTCTCAAATCGTCCTCCACAGATGCCAAACTGAAGTGGCGGCATGTTACAACCGCCGCCCTCATCGACCGAGACATCATTCAGGAGAAGCTCATTGACAATGCTGGTAAGGCCGCGAGCCGCAGCCATTTGGATTGGTACCAGTCGGTAGATGGCTGGATATCCTAGACGAGGTCGCATTAGGAGCATGTCCTGATTTTCCCAGAGGCCTGTTGCAGCTGCCTTTCTTCCAGCTGCCCTTGCTTTCTTAAAGGCAGCTAAGGCCCAGTCACCCTCGTCGTATTCAGACAAAATTCTGAAGAGTGCCTTAGGTTGGGAAGAGGTAGCGTCGTCTTGGTAAAGAACTTCGTTTTTCGAGAGGCTAGGATCAGAGAAGCTTGAGAGCGCCTTTTGCAGATTTGTAGATCATGAAAAAGACATCTTCAGGGATTCCTGTCATGCATGGGGCTGGGCAGCTTCCGCAGTGAATCTGTGATATTGTCAGAGTAAGTCTATATCGCAAATTTTAAGAGCGCAAACCTTCTTCTGGCTTTCAAGTTTCGCGTTCTCGTCTTCCTCGTCAGATGATTGCGCAGTGGCTGTGGCAAGCCGCTTTACAGGCTTGGGGAGAGTTCGGGAGCCATAATAGCATCGCCAGGGACAGACATCTATCGAATCTATCGAATCGAATACCGGGCCTTGCCATTCGATTCGATGGCTTGGCATTCGATTCGGGTGTAGTCATATATGATTCGACGCGAATCTAGCACGTCTCCTATAGATTCGATATCGAATCAAGCACCTGTCATTCGATTCGATGCCAAGATTCGATCGATTTCGATTCGAATTCGATCGAATAGATGACTAATCCCCGTGAAGGTAGAGAACGTTAGAGGAAATGGTGACTTGCCAATAAGAGGACCGTCTGACATGGAGTGATTCAAATCTGGTTTGTGCAAGGGCAATAGACAACACGAGGAAGCACATGAAGGGAGTATGTAACATAGCGGTAGGGCCCTATAGGAAATGTCCCTCCGGGCGGAATAAACATCATCATTATGATCGTGATTTGGGAAGAGACGTCGCAGAACAGAGTCAATTTGTGGAAAACAGGTGTTACTAGGCAGATCAGAAGTCGCTCGTGTCCTTCAGCGACGCAAGTACATCAACCCATTGGTCATCACTTAGGCTAAGCAGCGGCAGCGAAGGCGTGTAGATCCCAGCCTTGCTCCACGATCGAATGCACTGACCCATAGCCACTATCTCCCTCCCCAACCGATTTCTCAACGGCGCCATCATAAGCCCTGCGCTGCTAAACGTCCTCTCACTCTCTGCAGACGACGATGGGATACTGAGCATATCAACAGCCATGGTAGACAGCCGCGGGTACCGATAGGCATTGGTCTTCCACCAGTCAATTGGTCTGCTCCTGTAGTACTGACTGTTGACGATATCCTCGGCGCAGTACCTGGAATATTCATCATCAATCGCTGCCGCCGTGGTCGTCTGTTTCGCCTTGCGTGTGGTCTTGCGGAGGTTGGAAGCGGTGGCAGGTGAAGTCGTGGCAAATGCCGAGCTGGCGGCACTCCTGGCAAGCCTGCGCTCGATGTAATCCATTGAGGCCTCATCAGTTGTAGCGAGGACCTCGTTATCAACGTCGCGTTGACTGTAGCTGTTCTCCCAGATCTGCAATAGCTTCTCTTCGTAGTCGGCTCGCCAACCCTGCGCCTTGCGAGTAGGAACTCGAGACCACAATTGGTCGAGGAGACGCCACTTCTTCGCAGGATTAAAGACAACGGCGCCTACATATGCGGCACTGGTCAGAAGGGCATAGTACTTATGAAGCTTCTTCCACCCGAGCTTGATGAAAACCTTGAACAATTTACGAGTTCTGTTATCAAGTCCCGCGTAAATGGCAACCTCGACGTCTTTCCTCCTCTTGCTCACCGGATCCTCAACTTCTTCGTAGATTGTACCTTCGATTTCACTTTCGAGGTGGTCAAGGAGCATCTCGAAGACAGGGAAGTACTCGTCGAAGCTACCACAAGTCGATCTCACGCCGGGAACACCACTGCCCTGAAGCTGCTTAGTGGCGACCTCGAAAGGCTTCAGAAGCTTGACCAGCATCTCCATAATCTTCCAGTCGTACCCACTTAGCCGATCCTGTAGAACTGCGGGCTTGGCATTCTCACAGGCGCCCTTAGCTTCCCAGCGGTTCTGAACGTCATTGAAGAATGTGTTAAGTGCTGGGCGGAGACGAAGGGCCCTTTCCATCATACGCATGTCCGAGTCCCATCGAGTGGCGTTGTTAAAGACCCAGTGGAGTGTTAATTCCTTGCCAGATTCCTTGCGTTGAGACTGAAGAAACTGCCCATACAGTTGTGGACTCGCTCGTAGCTGAAGGCCGATGTTGTGAAGCATTCCCGGGGCGCCGTTCTGGCTGTACTCCCTGAACGTGGTGCTGTTGATCTCTTCCGGAGCCGGGTGGGACGACGTGAAGTTTTCATCAGGGCTACTGACAGCAACGTCAGGCTGTATCTCTTCGTCCTCGTCGTCTTCCATCTCTCCATCCAGTGTCTCGTTGATAGCTTGATCAACCCGTTCCTCATCGTCGTCCTGATCGTCGCCATCGGCTGCGACAATTGCAGCCAGGTTATCCCCTTGGAACCGTACAGCAGTGCCCGCACGCAGAGGTTAACGATGTGGCAAGCGCAGCGAATCCGTCGCTCTTCAGGAGAGAAGCTGTATTCGAATGCAAGGTCCCTAATACACGTGTTGTTGTTGGCTGCATTGTCGAGAGTGAAGTACCCAACCTTGTCAGGATCATTGATTTGCCAGAATGCAAGAGTATCCGCCATCTCGTCGGCAAGCGATGTGCCGGTGTGTCGCCCGGTGAGAGGTCGAAGTCCGAGGAGGATTTGGTGCTGGACGAAGTCGCGATCGACGAATTGAGCATTGATTCCAAGGAACGAGACGAATGATTTTGACGTCCAGCCGTCGAAGGAGAAATGGATTTGGGATCGAGCACTGCGCAATACTTCAGTGACCGGCCCAACGGCGCCTCTATACTCAGATTCGAGCATGCGAAGAAGAGTCTTCGCAGAGGGAATATGGGCCTTATCAAGGAGTGGGTTGCCGTAAAGCAGGATCCGTTGGAATCGCTCAGCATTGACTATCTCGAACGGCAAGTTGTGGTACGTAATCCAGTCGAGAAGAAGAACTCGAAGACCCTTGACGTTGAATTGTCCACGCAGGTTGCTGAGGAGGAACTGATCGTTAGGGTTATTGAAGTCGGCGTCGAGGAAATGAGTGATAGTCTGGTTATGCAACAATGAGCCTCCCCCGCGACGGGCAGCTTGGTTCGGGCCCTTTTAAATCAGCATGTCAACGGGCCGCGGACCAGGGGACATACCAAAATCCCATGGGCTGCGCGAAGGTGTTTCTTGATAGAGGTCCCTGTCGAGCAGACGAAGCAGAAGTCCGACTTCTTCTTGAAACCTCGCGCGAAGCAGTCTGCGCAGATCCACTTCAACTTATTGCCCTGTCGACAGGTGGAATGGTCTTCAACGCGGTACCCATATTCCTGCCACCACGCCCTCGTGTCTTGGCCGCCAGTATAGCGCTCGAATCCTGGCCATTTCATCCACTCTTGGCGGCCCCAGAGTGTCCAATCGACCTTGGTAAAGTCGGCGGCGGTCCCGCGAGGACGGGGCGATGGTGTCGCTGGCAACGACGTTGCTGGCGACGAGACAGCCGGCGAAGACGAAGAGAACTCAATGCGCTCTATAGCCTCTGGCTGATCGGAGAATGGGCTGTTTGAAGAGAATTTTTCGGAGGACATCGTGACACAGTTAGCTAGACGGGAAGGTCGGTCGTACGGATCGAGTGAGCTGAACGATGTTGCTGGAAGCCATTGAGGCTGCGTGCGGAGGGTCAAGTAATATCCATCCATCGCTGCACAGGTGTGTAAGGCCAATAACACGCGTGTATCACATGCATTTTGTGGTCAATGCGAAATTCGCGAGTCGCCAGTGCCGTTGAACTTACCGAGTCTTGTAAGAATGAATGAGCCATTGACCACCAGTGCGAGTGACGACATGGCGCGTCCCAATCCGAAGCAGTCGCGCGTGAAGACGCCAGCGTAGCGAAGGAGTCAACCTTTGTTCCAGCTATTGGCGGAGGGGGGTTCTTCCAAGTGTTGATCTACTAAACCTCCCCGCGCTTCGCAACCAACCAATTCACAGGTCTCGTTGGTCAGGTCCACAGACCCGGGCTAAAGGCAAGCTTTCCGGCGGCCAGGTTCCATATATTCCCCGTTCCTCTTGGTTCCAAGGCCCCTATTGGCTCGCGTCACTGCGCACACGCCTCCAAAAGCCTCATCCCCTCGTTGCCCAGTCTTTCTGCCTGTATCGGCTTTTACGTTTGGTCTCATTCCAATCTGGCGTCAATGGAGAACGATGCTTGAGCTCTTCGTAAACTGGACCACGTGAGGCGGAACGGTGGGCACTTGAAGTTGAGGCTCTAAGTGAAAGCACTGCGAGGTTCCTGCGAAGTCGCTGGTAATTCTGTTCACGGGTACGGCTTGGTTTGGTTACAGGTCCCCGAGACAAAGAGGGACCATTGGATGAACAAAGGAAGACCATAAGTCCCATACATGTCAATATATGAAAGTCCAAGTCTGAAATATTTATCTGATCATGCCAAGATTGGCAACAATAGAAAGCTCTCGGTGAGAGAATCTAGAGGCACTAATTTTTAGTTGCATTCATTTGATTCTGCTGAAAAATCGGCGTATGTTTGGGATATTTCGGCCTTGCGTGCGCCGTCACTGGTGTCGACCTACCCTATACAATTGCGTTAGAGCCCACTGCAGCTCTGGCCTTTAGAGGACATGAACTTTCCTGCCTTAGGGCACGGAAAGCTACTTGATCTATCTGTGCAAGAGAATTCTCGACTGGAGAGGGATTGGTTCCCGCTGACGGGATGCCCTCTTGAAACAATGCGCCTTTGAGCCGATGGTATGCTGGATGAACTAGATGGAGTAGCAGCTGCATGGGAGCTTTGCTAGGATCACCTGCATTGACGTCCTAGACGATGTGCTTTAAAACTACTGTAGGGCTGGCTGCGAGTAGGAAAGTTGTCTCTTGGGGGAATGAGCATGCACACGGCTCCCCGTTGATGCGAGAAGCCTTTGCGGGTATCCTAGGCGACGTTGAATGCGGCAGCAATTGTAGATAGTTTAGGTCAGCACGTCCTGTGCCCCAATAGGGGACTTCTACGGGCCTCACGGCTCCCCGGACGAAAAATATATATACATACATACATACATGCAGCTCTGGCCTCCGTAGGTAGAGAGCGCTGTCGGTGCTGATAATAAACACGTCCAGACGGTTTCCACTTCTTGCAACAGCTGCCGGTGGCCCTAACTAGACTCCAGTCAATACCTCAAAAGCCCGTTCTGCCCTCTCTGATCTGACAAAGCTGGCCGTCTTCGCCAATGGTGAAGACGCTGAGATAGTTCAGACCAGTGGAGACCGCTACAGCCTACAGCGCGATAAAGAAAGTACCCCTCATAAACTCATATCTCTAAGAACCGTTACCAACTTGGAACCCGTTTACGGTCTTACTATGAGAGTTCAGAAAGAAGACATCGATTCGATTGTCGCGGGAGACTGCGCTAATATGCCGGGCTGCTTTCCAGGACGCCATGCTTTGCTGGGAATGTCGACCTGACGACTAGAGTACTATTTTCGCGTCCGTGCACACGTCCGTGTCCCAAGCATTCTCGTCGTTTTTATACGCTGGAGGAGGGTCTTGCCAGTCTTTCGCAAAATACACGCTTTTCGCCCGTGCACGCCTGCAGGGTTCTTCCCCTGACTAGCACTGCGACCCCAGCGAGCTTCCAGCAATCCCGGGCTAACACACCCCTACCACCCATGTCCAATCCAACGACTGGTCAGCCGGACTCGGAGGAGGACGAAGATGGCCAAGCAAGATTAGACAATAGAGAATAAGCGAACAATAATGATCGGCTTCAGGGATCTTGTCACCCTAAGCTGAAGGGAACCATTCTTTCTCAGTTTTCCCACTCATTAATTTGACTTCGGGGTTGTACTTTGCGCCTCTGCTGTGAGCTGTATATGCGTCCTGTTAGTTGGCTGGTGCTGATCCGACCCGATCGATCCCTGGTAATCATCCAATGTAGATGAGAATGCTGCGCATCGTCTCTAAAGCAGACAGACGTCTAAATAAAGCCCTAATTTCCTGATCAAGTGTATTCAAGCCGATATATTGGTGTTCTGCACGGCTCTCGTGCGTTGAATGGTGTTTTGTGAGGGTCGAGCCTACTACGGTGGACTGAAGACCTTCGACCCCGCGTCCGGGCCGGTATGCATGGGCCTAAGACACTGGCGGCGGGAGATGGAGCTGTCAACCAGCCACATGCCCGACGAGGAGAAGGAGGATGATGACATGGCCATGACGAATTGGAGAGGAAGACGCAGATCCACTGCCACCTTTGAAAGTGCAGCAAAGCGTGGGCCTGAGCGTGCCGTTAGGACCCAACGTCAACGTTCAGTCAGCGGCTTGGTGCGCAACCCACTAAATTTGCCCGACCACGGCATGCTGTAGACTCCTAACCACCATTTATACCGCTCCTCTCTGCCCGATAAGCTCGAAACCGATACACCACACTTGGAAGTTCACAAACAAACCGTCTTGAATTGCCCCCGCCACGCGCTCCTTCCTGTCACTGTTGTCGCTGCGTTTTTACCTCATTTTCTCCCATTCTAGCAGCGCATTTTCCTTTATCTGACACAGTTCTAGTCCGAAATACGATTCTCTTTTTGTAGAGCCCGACCATACCGCTGCAATACACCAGACCAGACACCCATCATGCAGCGTAAGAAGTTTGTCTCTCCCGCTCGATCGGTCTCTCCACGGCCATCACACTGATTTCATGGCTGTAGCCAGATTTTCCTCGCTCGCCTCTGTGGCCAGGCTGAGCGCTACGATGATATGGTCCCCTTTCTGAAGGAAGTCGTCAAGACGGGTGGCGAGCTGAGTGTCGATGAGCGGAACCTTCTCACCACTGCTTTTAACAACGTGTTCGGCACCCGCCGTGCCAGCTGGCGCATTATCTCCTCGATCGAGCAAAACGAGTTAAGGGGTAATGAGACGCATACTACTACTATACGTGGATACCGCATTAAGATTGAGAATGAGCTCGAGAAGATCTGCCGGGACGTCTTGGATCTGCTAGACGGGAGCCTGATTCCCAATGCCAGTACTGGCGAGTCGAAGGCCTTATATTACAAGATGTATGCCTATTTTACTGGTCTCCCCTTCTCAAGGACACTTGGGCTGACTCCTCATATTTTTAGGAAGGGTGATTACAGCCGTTACCTGGCCGGGTTCGTGTCGGGTGAGGAGCACAATCTTGCAGTTACCTCTGCATACAAGGCCTACAAGGTGGGTTCCAAATATGTTGGTTCAGAATTCAGTCAGCCAAGGTGTACTGATCAGAGATTTTTGTTTGCTTCTTAGATTGCTGCCAATGTTGCTCAAACAGAGTTCACGGCCACTCACCCATTGCGGCTGGGCTTGGCTCTCAACTTCTCTGTCTTCTACTACAAAATTCTGGATTCACGCGATCTTGCCCGGCGTCTTGCGAAGCATGCTTTTGATGATGCCAAGGCCGAGCTCGATGCCCTGACCGAGGAGCCTGATGGCGACAGCATCCTCATCATGCAACTCCTTTGTGACAACCTGACCCTTTGGGCGTCTTCAGACAGTGATAAGCCTGAAGGCATCCGTTGAAGAAAGATGAGACATAGACTTGGCGCACTCATTTAGTCGACTTAGTCACATGCGTGCCCTTCATATATACCTCAGGCTATGGACTAGGAGAAGTTTATTTAGAGGTACTAATTGCGACTCGGATATATAAAGGTCCTCTGTCTCTCCCCATTCCTTCTCTTAGAGCGGGAGAAACTTCACACAACGCTGCTCATCATCACATCATACATCCTTAACAAAAACTAGCACCTCTTTTGGCCCTTACAAAGGTAAGGGTCTGATCAACTATCCCCTCAATTGTGGGAAGCTTCCCCTAAGTAACTTGCTCCAGTGTTATGGTACTAGCAGAAACTCAATGTGACAGTCACGATAACGTCTTATCTGTTATAATCTTATAACTGGTTGACTTGGGGTTAAGGCGAAGATCAGTGCTGGTGAAGGTATAGGCTGAATAAGGAATTCTTATTTGCTCGAATCCCTGCGAGTGACCGCGTGGGAGGCTTACCACAATTCAGGGGATGGTAGAGTTGGTTTTCCCGCCCCATATTTTATCCATCAGAGCTGGCTTATAGGACCGGGGTAGAGTTGGTTTCTATCGATAGAACTACAAGGGTGTCAGACGGAACGGACGAGGATGACACATCGCCGACTTCGGCAGTTAAAGGCATACCATTTTATATGCTTTTTACGGACTATTTTCCCAGACAGACTAATAGGCCCAACAGTTGATCTCGCTAGCAGCCCAACAGCTGATCCTGCTGTCAGTGGGCTGATCCCGATCGCTGTACTAAGACATCTAGTGTATTCAAATTCCTCTATAAAATACGGCCCTTCAGACCGTCAGTTAGCTAGGAATCAAGACCTTCTATCGTCATCAAGCTGCCTTATCTAATCCATCCTGTCTGATAGCTCATCTAGACGAAATAGTTGAAGAATCTTCATGATTTCAGGTCAACAACGAACATTTCTCTAACGCGTTTTGCTTCAGAGCCACTGTGCCGTGAGAACCCACTTCCACGGGGATCCTAGCCGTTCGTGTTTCTTCCTCGACCTTTGCAGCATGTCCAGATGCTCTGGGCCAAGTTTCCGTTCAACTTCTTGATCGCTCATCTCTGCAAGGCCCAAGACGCCCAAAGATATCGTAAGTATCAATATGTTGCCTAAAATTACATTCCATCCGTCAAACCGGTCGTTAACCTCCTCTGCACAGTCAACTTTGGGATAGCGCTTCCACCTGCGAGATTACTTCTGCCATTCTTTGATAACTCAACGATATCTCAGCTCCTTCCGCGGCCCATTTACAACCCTGTTTACGATAAGACCACCAACTATGGCTTCAGTCATCGTCCTTTTGCTATGCTTATTTGAATGTTTCTGAAGCATCGTGTCGATGACTGCTGCGCTAGCTGCTGCGGTGGCGACTCTAGCTCCCTTGGAACCAGTCCACTTGCCTGGCTTTCCTCTCAATCGGAATGCCTCCACAACCGCCGCATCAATTGCTGCATTTATTGCGCGATCCATCTTCTCATTTTCTAGGTGATTTTCTCAGCGAGTGTCGTCAAAAGACCTGTTTTGGGACATGCTCACCTGATTGATGATAGCGGTCGCGAGAATCAGATCGGTTGCGTCCTCTGCTAGACCGGGAGCGATTAGACAGTTGATTTCGTAATCGATTGATGAGATCGCGACCTCTGGATCTGGTCCGTGACCGGCGTTCGTCATCGCTGTAATAGAGGTAGTCGCTTGGATGATGACGCTCACGGCCACGGCCTTCTCGTCGTTTTGAATCGTAATCGGTCATGATGTTAGAATATTTGGGATTGTGTTCTCCAAGGCGAAATGCTGAGAACGGACGCTGTTACGCTTTACTTTAAGAGGCCTTGGGGTAGCGATGCTGTCCCACATAAACACATGTTCGACGTAACACTGACATATTATCGCCACTCAAGATACAGGATCATCCATGACCGATACCGTCGTTCCTGTCTTCTATTCGCCTGTGTCTGCGAGGCGGAATCCTGTATGCAGATCCCGGCAGACACATCATTGAGGCTACATCATCAGGTGGCAAGTGAAGCAATGACGCACACTCTGGTGACATAATATAGTGAGATTCCGGCAGGGTCCCCCTTTTCATAGCTCGCACAGGGAGGGGACAGGAAAACTTGATCTCTCGGAAGCGACAGCGGTCCATGGCCTAATGAACACCCTGTGCCATGGTCACCCGTCTTCATTCGAATGAAAGTACAGTATAGCGTAGGGACCCACAAGTCCGCCACAACCCCAATTCCGTCATCGTGATCCGCATCATCCGGCGTCATCCGTCAACAGCACAATTACGATAGATCACTCATTTCTCATTAAAAAATAGTCCAATTTAGATTGTTACAACTGGAATTCGATTTACATTGCTTCCTTTTCAGTGCGTGCGATTTCCAGCGCATCCTCTAGCAAATTGGGTCCGTGACGCTCCTCGTAAAGTGTTGCCGCAGTTGCAGCCTGATAATGAGCACGCCCAACTTCTGGGATTCGAGCGAAGGTCTTGTTGTGGTCAAAATCAACTGCCTTTCGGCCGGTGGTCTTCTGTGGCTCGAGCTTTTCTTCGAGGAATTGCACACGAAGGAGCAGGCCTGCGATGATGCTGTTCTTTCGGTCTAATTCCTTCGTAGATTTTCCCGTCAAGACCCGGAAGCCACGATCATCGCCATTGAGATCGCGACGAAGCAAGTCTGCTTGTGCCTTGAGCTCCTTTCCACTCTTTGGTGTATACCATAGATGATCCTTATCGACTTTCCTTTTCTTAGGCGTATTGGGGGCTGCTGGCGGCGATGGTGGTCTCTTCGGTTAAACGACCTGATCCAGTAGCTTCTGCTTGTTAATTGGCCACACACCGGCACCTCTGAAGCTGGCACGTATGTTGCGGTCTGTAAAAGACTTCCTAGTCGCATTATCATAGGCCGTTATGAACCGCTGCTTCTGAATTGGGGCGGTGGTGTTGAAAGACGCGAAGCCCCTAGTCCGGAAGTACGACTTCGTCGGTCCAAATAAACCCACATCTAGGGGCTGAGAGACATAGGATGAATGCGCCGGAAGGTATACGAGTTGTACTCTGTTCAGCCAAGCTGTATTCATAATTTCAATCGTTATGTGCGAGCTGTGGCCGTGAAAGATGAGGATTCGCCAGTCCCGCCCGTCGTCGGGTTCAGTCTTCGGCAGGAACACTAGGGTAAACCACTTCTGGAACACATCCCGGTTAGACCAGCCGGAGGGAGTGCAGTCAAAGTACCAGTCAGGCAATTTGCCGTCTGGAAACCACTGACCCTGGAGCTTAGAGCCATTGAGAATGAGGGCCGGGGGTAGTCTGAAGCCGCCGGCACTGATACACTCAATAATTGAAGTCCAGTTACGAGAATCACTAGATGACACGGTCGAATACTTCGTCAGGGAACTTCCGGCCACTCGGCCGAACCTAGTCTCTCCTTCCTGAAAGCCGTGCTCATCTACATTATAGATACGACCCCTGGGATATCCTTCTCCTTTATGAACCGCTCCAGCCGGTCAATGTGGTCACTGAGCCTCTCTTTCGTAGTTGATCGAGTACGAGATGCTTCCACTGACTGTGTCATCTTCATCTTAACATCTAGATGACGTCCTAGGAAGCGATATGCCCAGTTGTGGCCGATAGGATCCTCATCTTCGCTAGTGCTGAGAATAAGCTGTGCAAAGCCCCGTATCTGACTGAGTGTAGGGGCCCGGGCAGCTGCTTCTTCTTGTAGGATCCAATGCACCATATCATCCTCTTGCTCAGGGGACAACCTCTGATGCGATTCCATCGCTTTGTGGATATTGGTTGCCCCGCTGATGCGGTCTTGTAAGGTTGTACGGGGCAAGCCGTGGTCGGCTGCGCATATGACGACTGGGTCCCATTCTGCCTGCGCAATGGC